GACGTCAGGCTGTGCCAGCGCAGGTGGGTGCGAGTCGAGCGGTAGATTACTTGCTGCTCGAAGTTCGATTTGTCTCTTCGTCGCCCGTAGTATCTTTCGTTCCAGCAAAGGTAGGCCCCAGCCGCATTTCGTGCACTTGCGGTCAATATGTTGCTCGCACATACGATGCCACACGACGTCGTCGTCAGCGAGCTGTCTCCACCTCCTCGACACCTGTGCGGCTTTGCAGAGTGAGGTTGTGTCGAGGAAAGAAAGGATTCGGAAAGCCACTTCCGATGGCAATGCGGAGAGGAAATCGATGCGGATGAGATCTCGGACATTCGCCGAGAGAAAGGACAGTTGTGGGAAGCAGCATTGAGCGAGGACCCCCTGCAGCATGAGGTTTCGATGCTTGGAGGGCGCGGCCGAGAACAAGGACCAGACTTGGACGATGCCCTGCCGATCCTCTTGCGACAGCGTCTCCAAGCCCTTCTGCAACTTGTCCATGGTCATTTCATCCGCCTGTCGTCGACATAGCATATCAGGCCGATGGCGGTAGCAGAACTTGGAATTGGGATTCGGGTCCTTCAGCGGGTCGAAATGATGAAAGGCAGGATTGCCAACCTTGCCCAAGGGAGCGTACTGCGAGGGTATATGCTTTGCCAGGAAGGGCGCCACAGCCTGGTCGGCATGTTTGGCGGTCGATGCGATGGTGATACTCTTGTCTTTCCTTTCCTTGTCTTCCTCGGCTGGATTGAGTCGTTGCCTCTTCCTCGCCGGCTCCTCCCAATCGGCCTCGGTCTGTTCCTCCGCCAAGAGGCGCCTCCGGTGTTCTTCGATCAGATCAAACGGCATCGCGAAGTCGGATATCTCTTCACATTTCGACCGGAAGTGAATCTCGACGTCTGCTGCTGGGCCGCTCGACTTGAGAAACTCGAGTGTCGCTGTGGTGCGCAAAGAGTGGGCGATTCGGGGCGGTAGAAGCAGCTGCAAGGGTGGAAATCAAGGGCCAGCTCGGGAGAAGTTGACAGCAGATTGATAATGGTGCAAGATGGCGACTTGCAGATGCTCGCAGGCACAATGCTCCGGACCAAAACCTGGAGAATTGCGAATGGTCATTCATTCACAATTCACCGACTGCCGAAGCTCGAATGCCGACTTGCGAAGTCCACGGGGAGCGCCACCCATGCCCAGCGGGCCCGAGTTAGGCGACTTTCAGTGATTTTGGGCGCTGTGGGCGCCTGGATTGGCTCGCCTGGGGGACCAGGTCAGCGGAAACGCGGTAGCTCCCGGGGGCTCGGCGCCAGTGGGCGACATTCTCTGAGTCAGCCAGCGAAAACTGATGGCGATGCTATGGCTCCGATGGCGTGCGCGATAACGCCATTCTCGCCATCGATGAGCATTTTGAGGACAATACTCGTACTCCCTGCAGTTCCTTCTGCGCTGTGCACTACTGCGTACTCGTACCCAGTACTCGTGTTGTGGACTGGCTCCAGTTCCTGCGTCCTCGTCACCTTTATGCCCAGCTATGCCCATCCAGTCACTGGACACCTGCTTCCCGACTTCCCGTGTCCACTCCCGGCCGAGAAAACACGACGTGCCGTTCGAGGATTTTCCCCAGACTTTTCGCTGAGGCTGACGCAGGCTGCGCGCATGGTTCCCCACATCGACCAGGATCCTCGCTTTGGCCTAGGTTGACGCTCAGGCTCTGGCAAGTCGAAATCTCCTGAAGGCAGTGAGTATGTGTTGAGGTTGCACGAAATGCTTCCTAAGCACTTTCATCGCCGTCATTATCATCAACCAAAACCACTGGGTGCGGATTGATGCTGACCCGGGCACTGCTCACCGCAGCTTTCGTCCGTTCTCGAGTCAGATGAGGTAGCAGCCATGTCCTCACTCTCCCCTGCCATGGCGCAATCTCCTCACCTCCCAGCCGCCCAACGGCACGACCTCTCCGCGCGCTCCTCTCCTTCGCAGTCCCTACGGGCAACCAGCCCCTCACAGACATCTGTCGAGGTGTTGGTGTCATACCTGGTCGCCTCCAAGCGCTCCCTGGGCAGTATCCACCTTGTCCACCGTGCCACGACCATTCTCTCCGAAGCACGCATCTCCATCGAATCAACGACGGCTCTGCTCGCAAAGGCCACCTACCTGCGTCGTTCCTTGACCTCGCAGCTGAAAGTGCTGCGTGGCGTCCAATTCGAGTTAGAGACTGCTGCCCAGGGCATCCAGCTAGAGTTTCAGGCCGTGATCCGGGAGCTAGATGAAACGGGTGCGAGGCTGCTCCAATGCATAGACCTTTTGAAACAGACGAAGATCGAACATGCCTTCAAGGTGGCCACTGACGGCGAGCGGCCAGATGTCGCAGGCAAAAACACTCTACACGACTTTGTCGATGACAATGGCGTCGAGACGATCAAGCAAGCCATGGAAGTGGCCATAGACAATGTACAGAATGCACAGCAGGAAATGAATGACTCCATTCAAGCTCTCGAGGTGGATCTACAGTCGATCAATGAAGTACTCACCAGCAGAGGGGACCTCTCTGGTACCGAGAGCGACGTGCAGCAGCCTCTCCATATTGCAGGCACTCTCACCCTCCTCGAGAACCACGCCCATGAGATGGCCCGAGGTCTCGAGGGCCTGGTCAAGCACTTTGATCTCTGCGTCACCGCCATCAAACACACCGAGGGAGGTGGAGAAGCCGTCTTTCAAACCATGAATGCAGAGGAGGTCAATGCCGTCGGGCTCGGTATGGACGAACTGCAAGCGCCTGCCCAACCCATGAATGACGAGGAAAGAATAGAAATGCTTCAGGTGTTGGAGAATGACGCCCAAGAAGTCGATGAGGTGGTTATGGAGTTGCAAGACAGAAACGCCGAAATGGAAACACAGCTAGACAAGATCCACCGATGGCAGGAAAGGCAGGAAACAGCCTATGCAGATGTAGCCACGGCTTTCAAGCTTCTCGACAAAATCTCGGGACGTTTGTCCGGATACGTCGCCGAGACGGCACGACACGCGATGAGGTGGAACGAAGAAAAAGCCAAGATCGAAGACGGCATAGGTGGCATGGAAGAGCTGTGCGAATATTATGCACACTTCTTACATGCCTACGACGGTCTCATTGTCGAGGTCGCAAGGAGAAGGACGGTCAAGAAACAGATGGAAAGAATTGTCGCCGAAGCACATGCTCAGCTGGAGCAGATGTACGAGTCCGACCGACAGTTGAGGTTAGAATTCAAGACAGACCACGGCGAATACTTGCCGAGCGACATCTGGAGTGGTGCGAACACGTTACCTCCGAGGTATGCCATCACCAGAGCAGACGAAGAAGATGCCGTCAGTGTGCCCGAACTGCCGCGGCGGACAGTGGAAGAAGCGCTCCGGAGACTGAAGAATGGCAACAGCGCGAGAGCAGGGAGGTGACGCTTGTCCCCGGGATTCGAGGACGTTTTCAGCCACTTACATTCCTCCGACTTTCTCACGGGTTCTCAGAGTAAGTCTTTCCAATTTCGTTGCTCTCTGATTCTGAGTTCAACGACGCCGGGGTGAAAATGAAGACACATCACACACACTTGATATGAATCATACACACAGGTCGCTCTAGTACGATGGCCGAGCTGCATCCGCGCTTCTCAGCCTCTGCCCCTGAGCTGATCGGGATAATGATATACAAAGAGAGCACTGATTTTCCGCCGACATTGCCCTCATTCTCCCACATTGCTTCCATCAAGGGAAATTCGATCTGATGTGCGTTGATTAGGACACCGCTTCACCGATCATGGAAAGCGTATTCTCTTGTGACACCGGAGTCGATTTCTCCAATTGCCAGCCCTCAAGAAGCAGAAGCGATCTTTTGCCATTTGGCAGTCTAAAACAGAGACGCCTCTCCAAGTGAAAGAGAGGAAACACACAATCAGCGCGCAGCTCGGTCACATTGCATCGCCTTCTAGTCTACTCCTCCCGCACGGTAACCCTCTTCTTGTCTTGCCTCTCTGCTGTAAACATGGGGCCATACCGGAGGAAGGACAAGACGGCCCCGGCTCCCGTTATCGCGGCAGGGACTCGCCACTGGGATCGTCTGGGATGTTGGCTTTAAGTCAGCTTAGAGCATTTACCAGAGGAATCTGCAAACGCTGACGGGCCGACACACAGTGGGCCACGCGTCCCGTGTGGTGAGACCATATTCTGCAGTCTCGAAGACATTAGACGCATGGTCGCTGGTTGATCTCTGCTGAAACGAAACTTTGTTCGACGCCGGAGATTGAGCAGGTCGTTCGTTGATCGTGATTGTAGGTACAGTGCACTGGGCTGTGGCCAAAGACTTGGAAGTACAAGGGATCTGCTCTCACGGTCGTTATACAGCTAGGTACAAGCGGGACCACATTCGACACCACGAGCTTCTGAGCCGCCCATCTGTGTTTCACAGGAGTGGTTTCATCAGTTACCTCAGTACTCTGTACCTGGTATGTAAGTGCAGGCGCATTGCTTTATATATAGACTTCCGGTACGGCGTCGACAATGTCAAGGCAGCGACAGCCCCGATACCTTTACTATTCCCGGGGTATTTGGCATTCTGTGCGCCACCCCACGGGATACAGTACTCGTATTGTGTACTATGTACATACAGGGGACCACCAACATCTTGTGCACCTTTAAATGAACTCTCGCTACATAGAGTTCGTTCTTTTTCAATTGCCTCAAGTCCTCCATTCAGAAGATGATCCTGTTGTGTAAATTTTAGCTACATACACAGACTCGTAGCACCGGGCTCCTAGCACTCACTGGACGTTACGGTAATGCATTTGCTATACGCGAAAATAGCAGCTTCAACCCAGCCTGCGGCTTGCAGGACAACAGTATCGTGAGTCATTCCGGCCACGGGAGGTCCCTTTAGATTTGACAGTATCGTGCCAGAATCTACTCGTAGTGAGATTGAGGCTCATGCGTATGCAGACATACATACATGCACTCATACACGCACGCATTCATGCATTCATACATGCACGCTATATATATCACCGCTTCCGCCTCGCCGATTCCTTGAGCAGTCTCTTCTTCTCGGCCTTGGGCATCTTGGTCGCTCTCTTCTCGCGCTTCTCCGCCTTGACTTTCTCCTTGTGTGCCTTTTTCTCGTCCTTGTCCTGGAACCTCTTGCCCCGGGGTCGACCTTGCGTCGAGACTTCAGAGTCATTTTCCTCGGCAGACCCTGAGCCTGAGCCTGGGTCTGAGACCGAGGCTGCATCAGATTGTACTGACGCGTCAGAGTCGTGGTCCCGTGCTGATTCGATGCGGGCGCCTCCCTCGCCGTCTTCGTCGTCATCTTGCTGTCCATGCGGGAGATCGAGGTCTTGGTCTTGGCCCTGTGATGGACGGGACGCATCCTTTTCTCCCTTTAGTGGCGCAAGCAGGTCCTTGTACACGAGCGCGTCTCGGCCCTGCTGGTGCAGTGTCCTTGCGTCGCGCTCGGCGTCGTACACTTCATCCAGCGTCTGCGGGATATATTGCTTGCGGAAGACCTCGTTGTCGACTTCGTCTTCGTGCTGGTCCTGATCTGTCCGTTGGGCCATCGACGTGTCGATCTCCTGGCGCAAGACGTCCAGTCCACAGCTCTCAGGGCCCGAGGCTGCACGCGTGATGAACTCGTACGTCCTCCTATCAGACAGCGTGTGCACGCCCTTCCTGCGGAAGAAGTCGTTCACGTTCTTGATGTCCATGCGCAAGAACTCCAAACTGCGCGGGTGGTCGCCCTCGACGCTCTGGCTCACGTCGATGATATAAGTCCTGTCGTCGAAGTACAGCATGTTGTACTCGCTCAGATCCGCGTGCACGAGCTTACACACCTGCAGCATGATGCGCATGTAGGCCAAGACATCGATGTAGACGGCCCGCCACTTCGCCTCCGTGTCCTCAAACTCGACGTCCTTGAGGCGTGGCGCGGCTTTTCCCTTTTTGCCGTTCCCGATGAAACTCATCCCCAGGACGTGCCTTCTCAGGTAGAGTGGTTCAGGACATGGGATCCCCGCGGCGTGAATGCGTTTCAGGTTCCGCATCTCTTTCTCCGCCCACAGCTTCACCATGGCTCTATTGTCGCCGCTACGGAAGCCCTTGCGGAAGCGGAACTCGCCCGTCACGTACTTCTCGCGGTCCTTGAACACCAGGATCGACGTCTTGTATACTTTGATGGCGACGTGGGTATCTTCCTGCGCGGCGTCCTCGGGGATAGAGACCGCGTGGTAGACGTTGGCTTCCTTTCCCGTCGATATCGTCCCGTAGATCTCCGACACGATGCCCTTCTGGATCATTTGGAAGAGAATCAGCCGCGTCTTCGGGTCGAGGACTTGCTCGGCCGTTGCACGCTCGCTCTTGTCGCGATCGCGGCGACTGCCGCCCTGGCTTCCTCCTCCGGCCCCAGACAGGAGATCGTCTTCGGTGAGTTTCATGTTTTTGACGTGATGTCGGAGGTCGAGCTGGTCCTGTTTCGACGACCTCTGCTGCGGGTTTGCCATGGGATACTGCCATGAGGGGACGTTGGGGTCTGCAGTGGCGTCGTCGCGGCGGATGCGGTTGTATGATTTTGTCAGGTCCCCCGGGTTAGACGTTGCGAGGTCTTCCGGGTCGAGGAGGTCCTCGCGGGGTATGTCTTGGTGGAGGCCGCTTTCTTCTGGATCTTCACCGTCGTCGTCGTCGCCGTTGTCGTCATCATTCTCATCGTCCACGTCTTCGTCTTCTTGAATGAATTGCCCGAGGGTTATTCTCCGGCGGGGTGGCGCGACGTCGTCGTGGACATAGCCTTGATGTGGGATGTAAGTGTGCGGTGGGGCGAGGCCGTCGGCGATCCCTCTGGGTGGTTGAGTCGACATACTGTCGTCTGTAGTATGTAACTGTGGCTATTGTGCTGTGTTCGGATACCAATAATAGAGGGATCCCACGAAACCAAGCACGGACACGTTCAAAAGGTGATTGAGCGATTGATTCATTTTGATGCCATCGCCACGAAAATTAAAGTGGGCCTGATGTGGGTCATTTGAACGTCATTTGCCCAGCAATGCTTAGATAAGCTACGGTGGGCAAATAAGCTACGGTGGGCCACTGATGCCAGCCAGATGCCACTTCTCAATATCCGAATCTCGTCCTTGTTCATGCCCACCCTCCGCACATTGACACCCGCGCTCACCTGGGCTCCCCTCTCAGTGACTCCATCACGGTCTACTCCCTCCGTAGAACTGCTGTTCTTCCTTGGCTGGAGGGATGAACCAGTTGGTCTCTGTGTCAACGACCAACTTGACGCGGTGAAGGTCATTCGTGACGATCTTCTGCTTCTCCGCTTCATACGATTCCACCTTTCTGGAGCAATCAATATACCTGCCAGAGAGGAAGTCCATCTTCCCACTCGAGAGCAATACCACATATCCTGCCGGCATCTGCGGCGTGTCCCACGTAACATCCTTGAAGAAACCGACGGCGGTGTTCGCCGACTTCTCTTCACCGGGCAGCGACTTAGAAACATAGCTATTCTCCTTGATATTACCCTCTGCCGCGTCCTTGAAGTCGTGGAAGAACCGAGTCGGTATGGCGCCCGGGTGGATGGCGAACGTCCTGATGTTTGCGTCTTTGTTCTCGTGGTGCAGAATCTCGGCCAGTCGCACCAGGCCCAGCTTTCCCAGCGCGTAGCTGCCCATGCCGTTACTCACATGCGCTCCGGCGCTTGAGGTGAAAACGATGCTCCCGCCCTTCTCCCTCCGCATGACCGGAAGCACGGCTCGAGCGAAGTTGAACCCTCCTTGCAAGGACACCGCCAGAGTATCCCACCATACACCGGGGTCGGACTCCCATGTGGCGAGCCACTGCGGCGGGCGACCTGCGTTGGCGAAGACCACGTCAATCTTCCCGAATTCCTTGTCAACCTCGGTGATGAATTGCTCGACCTTTGCATAGTCCTTGACGTCGAATGCCGCAGTCTTGGTCCGCAGATCTGGGTTGATCTTCTTGCATATGTTGGCTGTTTCGTCGACTTCGTTCAGTTCCAGGGCCATCAGACTGAGTGATTTGGCGTTCGTGTGAGCGAAGAATTCGGCCGTGGCTCTTCCAATACCCCGTCCGGCACCGGCGATCACGACATTTTTGTCCTTGAAGGCAGCGGCTAATTCTTTGTTTGTCCGTGGGTCGGTTGCAGGTTGACAGTCGTGTTGATCCCCGAGAAATCTCTCGACCATTGGGTCAGGATTTGCTTCGCCCATGCTTCCTTTCTCACAGGCTGAGATGTGATGGCTCAAGTATGAACTCTGGCGTCTAAGGTTCAACTCTGGTGTCCTAGACCCGATATCTCATCAACAATCAATGATCAAGTCTGGGCATCAGCACTGTGTCAGGCCTGATGTTTGGTATCTAACCGCTGCTACCTGTTACGACGATAATTATGGGCAACTGTCGACGACCCCTGGACATGGTTTGGACGAAATCGAGAAACAGCATTTCATATGGATGCCTGGCCGTCCCCCACATGTTCGAACCCTGCCACCACTACCAAGTGGAGTAGGTGCATTTGCCGTTTCCCATCTGGTCGGCAATGCCTAGGAGAGGCTGTAGGCTGTGGGCCTCGTCGGTTATCGGCCACTGTCGAATGTGTGGGGAAAGAGTTTGTGGGGTTTTGGAGAACGACGGCGAGGATGCGTACGAGGACCAAGTACAGATATGTATGGTGGGTTCGTCCGCGAACGAGCTGTGTCAATCTCGCCTATCACGGCTTTACTGATACCAACATGGGCTCGATAAGTCCAGCGACATCAGAATACCACCGTGTCATCATCGTCGGTGCCGGCCCTGTCGGCCTGACCACGGCCACAAATCTCGCACGGCTGGGCGTCCCAGTCCTCGTACTCGAGAGAAACCATCAAGTCGACCAGTCTCCTCGCGCGGCATCGTACCAACCATGTGCGCAAGCCGAGCTGCTCGAGACGGGGACGTTGGAGGATGTCAAGAAGGAATCCGTCATCAATGACGTTGTTTCATTCTGGATCAAAGGCAAGAAAGTCGCCTACGTGGAGAAGAAGGAAGGAGGCAGCTTGTTCCCTTCTGGCATCAATTGTCCGCAGCCCAGACTGGCAGATATCCTGCTCCGGCACCTTACGACAAAGTATCACTCGCAAGTCCGATTCAACCAGAAGGTCATTGAGATCTCGCAGGACGAGAAGCAGACGACGGTCTCCTTGGTCGCGGTGGATCCGACCACGGGTGAAGAAACGCAATACACCTGCGACTGGCTGGTGGGCTGCGATGGCGCCGGCTCATCGGTGCGCAAACTCTCAAACATTCCGTTCGAGGGCTTCTCCTGGCCGAAGGAGGACTTTGTCGCCACGAACATCCGCTTCGACTTTTTCAAACACGGCTTCAACACCGCTAACATCGTCATGGATCCCGTCCACTGGGCGGTCGTGACCATCCTTGACGACACGGGTCTTTGGCGCGTGGCCTTTGGCGTCCGGGCCGGCCTGACGAACGAGGAGATCCGGGCAGAGTTGGACGAGCATTACAAACACATCTTCCCTGTCTGGCCGGTCGAGTACGAGCTGGTCCAGCTGAACAAGTACAAGCCGCATCAGAGGTGTGCCCAGACGTTCAGGCAGGGAAGGATACTCCTAGCCGGGGATGCTGCACATGTGAGCCCTTGCACAGCGTTTTTCCAAAGGGGCAGACTACTGACCGACATTGGCAGAGCAACAACCCCATCGGCGGCCTCGGATTGACAACAGGTCTCCTCGACGCGGGGCCCCTCGGCCGCGCCCTTGCCGCCGTCATCAACGGCAGAGCCCCTGACACGCTGCTCGACACGTGGGCCCAGCGCCGGCGCGAGAAATGGCTCACTTTCACGAATGAGTTCTCGATCGAAAATAAACGCATGGCGCAACTAGGCGGCTACAGCGATGACCCGCTGGGCATATGGGTGATTGATGATGTGGCCAGGGAGCACAAGATGGAGCAATGGCTTGCGATGGCGACGCCGGAGAAGAAGGAAGCCGACGCTAGGATGGTGAGTGGTTGGTACCGTTCCTTGCTTCGAGCCCACGTTTGCCTTTGCCGACGCCTCTTATACTCCGCTTCATTCCACTTCACCTTGCCTTCCAGTTTGCGGTTTATCAGTGCACACGTCCTAACATCTCGCAGTATAAAGCGTTAGAAGACCCGCAGGCCCAGCTGGTGAGTCGGATGAAACAGTGGGAAATCACAATGGATCCGATGTGGATGGCAGAGTACGAAGATCCAGAACTAGTCAAGTATAGGATCAGTCTGAGGCCCGCAGTGTTGAGCGCACCGGAGGCAGCAACGTGATGTTATAGATTGACCGGATACTACTTATCGAATTCTGATTCCTGAGCGTTACAATATGGATGTTGACACACTATCCAGGCCTGTTCTGCCCTTCAAGCCCCGTTCTTGTCCACCACGCGGTCTGGAATTTGAATGTTCGGCTCCTCGAACGGTTTCGCGCCCATAAGTCTCCACGCTTGCGCCGCGTGCATGGCTTCGTCTGTCATCTTCTTGGAAAACGACACGTCGGTCGTGCCGTCGCTGATGTAGGTCACGTTCTTGGTCTGCGAAGGCATCGAATGCGGGTCAGCTTGTCAGATTCTCACGAGGAGAAGAAACGTAGAAGCGAAAGAAGGGCTGGACTCGAAAAATTGAAGTCGCACTTGGACTCGACTTGTATTCGACCTCGAATTCGACCTCGAAAAGGGCGTCGGGACCGGAATCAGACCTACCAACCCTAACGTCAATTCGATCGATGAATCGATCAACGAGGGGACATAGTCCCTCAACTTCTTCCCCCGAATGGATCGCACAATGTTCTCCGCGACAAGGAAACCCTGCATCGAGGCGGCGCGCCCCATCTTCGGACCGGGCAGGTCGACCACGTCGCCCAGAGCGTACACGTTAGGTGAGGGCGCGTTCTCGATCTTGACCTGCAGCGTGGGGTGAACCAATATGGCGCCCGACGCGGCGATGCTGGATGGCGAGAACGCCCGGACGAGCTGCGAGTTGGGGGTTTGGCCCGTACATTTGATCTACAAGCAGCGTCAATAATGCATTTGGCCCCTTAGCGAAGAAGAAGCGCCGTTCGACGGAATGCGGGACTACCTTACCAGCAGGTCGCACGGTAAAACCGTGCCACTACTTAGGACGACATTGCCGGGCCCGTCGAGGTCGAGTTCGAGGTCAAACCCGCCGACGACGCGCTCTCCAAGGTGCAGCTTCACGCCCAGCTCCTCGAGCGCGGGCCTCGCGATGGCATGAAGGCCCGGCGCGAAACTGTTCAGCAGCCTGTCTCGCGAGTGCACCAACGTGACGGTCTTGAGGGGATACTTGCTGCGAATATCGCCCGCGACTTCCACCCCCGCGGCCCCGCCGCCGACCACGACGATGGTCTCGGCATGCTGGATCCGGGTTTGGACGTCTGCGAAGAATCTCACCGCCCCGCCCTTGTCGTCGGAATGAAGAGCCGCCGGGTAGCGGTGCTGGCTCCCTGTCGCGAGAGCTAGATATGCATACTCGACCACTTCCCCGGTCGCTAACACTACGCTCTTCTCGTTGATGGTGGTGACGACGCCGCGCTTCAACTCGAATGACCCCTCCGGCGTGTCGGCGGGCTTGTCAGGGTACGGGATGAAGGCCTTGTGCTCTTGACCCGGTACGACGGTGCTGCGGGGGAAATTCCACGTGAAGTGGAAGTGCGTGTGCTTTTCGATCAATATCACTTTATACCCGCTCGGAAGAGACTCCGCAAGCCGCGTGGCGAGGAAATAGCCCCCGAAGGAGCCGCCTATGATCACAATGTTCTTGGGGTGGGAAACCACGCGGTATGTGAGGCGGTGGAGTTTCGCGGAGAGGACGAGAGACAGTCTCTGCGTGATGAGCGAGAAGGTGAATCCGAGGAGACGGAGGATGAGGAGGAATTTTAGAAACATTTTGGAGAGGGCATCAACGTGGTGGGAGGCAAGAAAGGCAACATGGCATGCACAGACAAGGCATCGCGGGAAAAGGGGTGATGGAGATCTTATCTGATAAAATGAACGCTTGTACTGTGTACTCCGTACACAGTAGGGAGATATTATTTGAGTGGGGAACGCCGTTCTCCTGGTTTAGGGTCCGTGGTCGGTCCGGGGTGTTGAGGCAAAGGCGAGGCCGATGTCGGCCTCGATGCTGTTGCATATAGTAATTGGTGCCTATGTCGCTCGGCTCGGTTGCGATGCGGATGCTGGTGCCTGGGCGATTCAAATGCATTCAGCCGTATGTAGAAATACGCAATTGCGCGCTGCTCCTGTTCTTCTTTCTCTAAGGCTCCAGCAACCCCTTCTTAAGCGTTGTTGCAGGCTTCTCGGCTTTCACATAGCGAATGGTTTCTCTCGTCTGCCGAAAGTGCACCGTCCCGTACCTGAACAGCTCGGCGAAAGTCCCTGGCAGGTGGTCCTTGTCTTCATTGCCGGGTTCCTCCCACAGCACACCTGCAGCGGGAGTCTGCGTCAGGTTCTTGCCGTGCGTGATTTTCTGCAGTGTCGACTCGGTCAACAGTCTCCACACGAGCTTGTACGCCGTCTTGTATTCGTCCGAGTCCTTCGGCGTGTCGAGCCTCGTGGCCAGCGCGTTAAAGAGCACCGGCCCACCGAATCCGATGGTTGCTTCCGCGGCCCAGTTTTCCTGTAGGGAGTCGTAGACGAGGACCTTGTTCAACCAGTATTTCGTTGCGTTGAAGCCGTCTCCCGCGTCTTCGAGCATGCAGAGTCGCTGCCAAGAGAGGACTTGACTGATATACTCCATCACCGTCTGTGGTGCGACCTTGAAGTCCCATTTGAAGTTTGCTTGTTGAGACTCTTCGAAGGTAAGAGTCAAGGCGAAGGCTAGCAACGGGTGGTAAATGAGACCTTCGTGATTCTGGCGGTCTTTCCACAGGTGGATGAACAGGTCGTGCCTGGGAGTCATTGTCAGCGTGGACAGCTTTCCTGGACTGACCCTAGGTCTGCTTACCAGCATTTGATGAATGGATTACCTTTGCGGCTGGCGACGAAGTGATTGGCCATGACTGTTGCATACATGATAGGCACGCAAACTTCATACGGAGAACTTGGGTCAGCGAGCTGATTCCAACACACGCGGTCGAGGTCGCGAATCAGAATGTTTCCAGTGTCCTTGTAGACGCCGCCGTGCGAGTACAAACAGGCGCCGCGTAGGAAGTCCGAGCTGTGGGGTCCAGTGTATACTCCGGTCATGGTTCCCTTGACGAATGCTTCTGGAAGGAGGTCGGCGGAAATGTATTCCAGCGCATTTGTGGGTGACCCTGGGACAGTGTCAAGGATACGAACCGTCCAGGAAGGCCCACAGATTCTGACCCAGTCGACGACGTTGCGTTGGCACCAGGCCGGCATATTGCGGACTCCCTTGTCCCAGAATGCCCAGATGTTCTTCTCAGATGTGATGGGCGTGTACTGCTCTAAAGAATCCAGAATCTCTTGATTGGTGCGTTTGTCATCTGGTTCGATATGGAGGAGTTGGGCCTGAAATTCCTGAGGGATGTTGAACTCGGGAGTGGATGCCATTGCTCGATCACTGGAGGCACTGCTTCTTGCTGAGCTGCTTCAAGGTGAGCTGGTTTGCAAAAATATACACGACAGCTCAATGTTGATTCTTGGGGTTCATATAGAAACCGCCTCATCTCCACTCATAGTGGCCTGAACCGGGTATTGGGTACCTTCGCAGATCAAATAGTAAGTGAATACTAGGTGAATACTAGGTGAGTGGTCGGTGAGTGGTCGGTGAGTGTTGGGTGAGTGGCTACTGTAAGAATTATTTGCTGTCGATAGGAACAGATACCCGTACCTGGCATGGTCAGCTAAGGTACATGGGGTAGCTTACATAATCCTGGTTTGCTCCTACGAGTTAGTTCTCCATCGCCCATCGCGCAGCGCGTTGATGGGTCTCGCGTCCTGCTGGCGATTGCTGTGCTCTCCCACTTCCCCTCCGCTTTCTTCGACACTGGTTCAAATGCTTTTCAAGCCCTGGCAGGGTCAAGATGCATATCAAACAGATCACGATCCAAGGCTTTAAGAGGTGCGTTTCTCCGCGCTGCAACGAGTGAGCGCGGCTTCTAATGTGCGACACAGTTACAAGAATCAAACAGTGGTCAACCCGTTCTCGCCCAAACTCAATGTCATTGTCGGTCGCAATGGCTCAGGCAAGAGCAACTTCTTCGCCGCGATCCGCTTCGTCCTCAGCGATGCCTACTCCCAGATGGGTCGGGAAGAGCGCCAGGCCCTCATCCACGAAGGTTCCGGGTCCGCGGTCATGTCGGCCTACGTCGAGATCGTTTTCGACAACTCAGATGGCCGTTTCCCCACGGGCAACGACGAGTTGATCCTACGTCGTACCATTGGCCTCAAGAAAGACGAATACTCCCTCGATCGCAAGAACGCGACCAAACAAGACGTGATGCAGCTACTGGAAAACGCAGGCTTTTCGCGCGCAAATCCCTACTACATCGTGCCTCAGGGTCGCATCACGAGGTTGACCAATATGAAGGATTCGGAACGTCTGGATGTCCTGAAGAGCGTCGCCGGTACACAACAGTTTGTCGCCAAGAAGGAAGAGTCCCAGAAGATTATGGTCGATACTAACAACAAGATGGCCGCCATTGACCAGACCTTTGACCAGATCAATGAACGTCTACAGGAACTTGAGGAGGAGCAGAAGGAGCTGCGAGAATTCCAAGACGCCGACCGTCAGAAGCGCGCCCTGGAATACACGCTCTTCCATCGGGAGCAGGATGAGATCAATAGAGCCCTGGCCGAATTAGAGGAAAAGCGCGTCGGCGGCATAGATGACGCGGACGAGAGTCGCGACCGTTATGCCCAAGGAGAGGATGAGTTGGCCAAAATAACTCACCAGATCCAACAGCTCAACCAGCAAGTCCAGACGGCGCGGCTTCAGAAGCGGCAACTCGAAGAGGAAAAGCGCGAAAAGGCCAAAGCAAGAGCACAAGTCGAATTGGAGGAGAGAAATCTCGTCCATGGACAGGCGGCCGCGCAGCGAACCAAGGAGACCCGTGATAAAGAGCTACACCAAGTGCGGAGCCAGATAGAAGAGATTGAGGCAGAGCTTCGCACCATCGTACCACAGTTCAATGCCGAGCGCACAAAAGAACAAGCGGTCAAAACACGGCTGGAGGAAGCAGTTGCGATGCAGCAGCGGCTGTATGACAAACAAGGACGAAGCGCCCGGTTTAAGACCAAGAAGGATCGGGACGCCTGGCTGCAAGCTCAGATCGACGATACCTTCGAGTCCCTATCACGTTTCAAAGCCACCCGCATGCAGACCGCCGAGGGCATCGCCGAAGATGAGAAGGCTATTGCCGCTCTTGAAAAGGAGATCGAAAGTCTTCAGCAACGTCTCGGGAGTCAGGACGATTCCATCGACCGACAAATTCAAGCAGCTCACGAGAAGAAAGAAGCGCTCATGGACGAGCGAAAGATGCTATGGCGCAGAGAAGCCCAACTCGATTCAGAATATGCCAGCGTCCAGGATGATCTACGAAAGGCCGAGCGAAATCTGTCGCATACGATGGACGGCAATACCAGTCGCGGTCTGGATGCCGTACGGCGAATCAAGGAGCAGTACAAGCTTGACGGGTGCTACGGTACTCTTGCCGAGCTGATCGATGTCCCCCTGCATCACACCGCTGTAGAGGTCACGGCTGGCAACTCCCTTTTTCACTATGTCGTCGACAACGATGACACGGCCACGAAAGTGATGGAGATCCTGAACACAGAGCGAGCAGGCCGTATCACTTTCATGCCGCTCAATCGACTCAAGCCAAAAACAGCGAATATCCCCAATGCGCAAGATGCGAGACCACTCATGTCACTCATCAAGTACGACCCGATGTACGAAAAGGCCGTTCAACAAGTCTTCGGAAAGGCCATCATTGCTCAGAACCTCAGCATTGCGGCCCAGTACGCCAGGACGCATGGTCTGACAGCCGTGACACCCGAAGGCGATAGATCTGACAAGAAGGGAGCCCTGACCGGTGGTTACCACGACATCCGATCCTCAAGGCTCAAGGCCACGAAAGCGGTGATGGCTGCTCGCGAGAAATTCGAGGCAGTCCGGACCGAGGGCAGGGAAAATAAGCGGAAGATAGAAAAGATCGATCAGACAATCACAATGGCCATGGGCGAAGCTCAAGTGCTCGAGCAACAAAAGAACAAAACACAAGGGAATCAGAGGCTGCTGAGGCAGGAGATCCGCAACAAGACGGAGATGCTACAGCGGAAGAGAGATGATCTTGAGGCGAAGCAGAAGCAGGAAGCAGCCATTGCCGCCCAAGTCAAGATTGTGACTGACAAGCAGAGTGCTGACCAAGCTGAGCTGAACACAGACTATAAGAAAGCACTGTCTCCAGCTGAAGAGAAGCAGCTTGAGAAGCTCACCGCCGACATTCAAAAGCTGAGACGTGAGTACAATGATGTTTCTGCGTCCAGAGCAGAGATCGAGACCAGGAAGGCGGATTTGGAAGTCCGACTCAACTCAAGCCTGAAACCACAACTTGCGGCTCTCGAAGGCGACGACATGAACGCAGAGGGTGAGGGTGGTGGTACCCTGCGTTCCAAGAGGGCGGAACTGGTACGTCTGACCAAAGAGCTGGAGTCTGTTCAAAGAGACCTGGACGAACTCGAAAACCGGCTGGAAAGTTCGGCAGCTCAGATTGCTCAGCTTGAGAACCAAGCAGCTGAGACCAGGCGACATCAAGAGGAGCTCGCCAAGGCCATTGAGCGTCATCAGCGGCGTCTGGAAAAGTCGGTCCAGAAGAAGGCTGCTCTTCTTGCGTCGAAGCAGGAGTGTGCTGAGAACATCAGAGAATTGGGTGCCATCACCGAGGATCTGCGAAAGAAATACCAGACAACCAGCTCCGAGGCCATCGTGAAGAAGCTGCAGAAGGCGAAGGAGTCTCTGAAGAAGTACAGCCAGGTCAACAAGCATGCCTTTGAACACTACCGGAAATCCATGAAGCAGCGCGAGGAGCTGGAAAGCCGAAGAAAGGAGCTCGAGGCGGCGAAGAAATCAATCGAGAATCTGATCAAGGTGCTCGACCAGAGAAAGGACGAAGCCATCGAACGTACCTTCAAGCAAGTCAGCAAAGCGTTTGCCGAGGTCTTCCAGAAGCTGGTGCCAGCCGGTCGTGGGCGCTTGGTCATCCAGAGGAAGACCGACAAGGGACACGCACGGGACGAAGACGAAGAGTCAGACGCCGAGCCTGTCAACAAGCGCGGTGTCGAAAACTACACCGGGGTGAGCATTAGCGTCAGCTTCAACAGCAAGCATGATGATCAGCAGCGCATCCAACAGCTCAGCGGCGGACAAAAGAGTGAGTCGCTCCCATGTCTTCATTTGTGGAGGCCTTGTGATCTCAGCTAACACACCATCAGGTCTTTGCAGTCTTGCCCTCATCTTCGCCATCCAGGCCACAGACCCGGCCCCATTCTACATCTTCGATGAGATCGACGCCAATCTCGACGCGCAGTACCGGACAGCTGTAGCTGATCACCTGTTGTATCTGGCCAACCGGGCGGACGATGAGCCTGAAGATGGCGATGGACGACCGACTGGTGGTCAGTTCATCTGTACCACTTTCCGACCGGAAATGCTGAGGGTTGCTGACATGTGCTTTGGCGTGCGGTTTGGGAACAACGTCAGCAGCATTAGACAGGAGACGAAGGAGAATGCGCTGGATTTCATCGAGAGCCAGACTCAATGATCCGCGGCCGGGACATTATTGCTGTGTACATGTACGAAATGGTAGGATGTCTTTCGAATTCCACCAGTCAAAGCCAACGCCCAGGGTTTACGAAGGCTCGAGTATGCGGAGTTGGAGGAGCGATTTTGCGATGACATTCGACTTGGAGCAGAGAGCCGTTTGGCTTGATCATCTAGGCAGTACTTGCACAGCCGCAATGGTAAGGGCAGGGCCGCGCCGGACGTCAATCTGTTCGCCTTCCATTTCCCGAAGACTCCCATGAACGTCGGCGAATGTTTGCCTTCTCCAGGCGTCTGGCACAATGGTCCCAAAGGTCCCGACCTAGTGCTGCTTGGCGATGTGGGAAGCATTGGCCGATGAAAGCCACGGCTGCCGAGAGAGCTGAGGGCCGCGCCACGTTTCCCCAGCACTAAGGTGAGGCTACATTTCTGGGCCGCGCCGCTGCGGATAATGCCATCCGTGATTCCTCCCCAAGGCAAACTGTTATATTGCCTCCGTTCCGCCTGCACAAAGGTGAATTCTTGCAAATCCTCCTGTTACGTCTATCTGTTTGCTGCGCGGCTTCCGGCACAGTCGGAAGCAGACGTTGTGGCAATGTCTCTTTCTGGCTTCAGGTCTGTGGCCACACGCTTCCGAAGACTTCGCCGAGCAATGAGCCACAGGAGGCAGAGGATCGACGACGATCAACTTCAATACTCTGCTACCATCGATATCGAAGAGTGGTGTGCTGCTTTACAGAAGCTCGCCAGGGGTCCTACCGGTGCCGCAACAGGTAACCCTCCCCATTGCGGAGACCAAGTCAGAATCTTCCCTTACACTCTTTGCGATAGAGGAGGTTGACGCCGTGTCGGAAGCCTTGACAGCAGGCTTTCGACTTGCTCGGAAATATTACGCCAACAGTTCATGGCCCTCTGAGCTGCCCTTCGTCGATTCAAACGGGGAGACGAGCGCCAAAGGCATAACGCCCCAGGAGATCACATGTTTAGTGATCTCTGCAGTGTCTGCGAACCAAGAAATCTTGCACCACCGTGATGGGACTCACAGAGTACAGTTTGACCCATCTCACTATCTTCGAGAGGAACACCACGCTCTACCCTTCCCACGCCTGGACACGAGTGGACCAACGGACATTGATTTCACCATCAAATATGTTCCAGATGGAGCAAGTGGAACGGTCATTGTCACTCTACGCTGCCTTACCGACTGGCTAGACCTGGCAGCGCGATGCGATCATTCCCCGGTTGAAGGCGGCCACTTCATGGTGTGTTGCCTCAATAAGACTCGGTAGGGTCTTGTATCTCTATGAACTGACGATTGGCCTCAGGGTCTCGAAGACTACGAGTTCCATGCGGAGCTGTTCGCTATGGCATACTTCGTCTCAGACAGCCTAAGTGGTCCTCTAAGGCGTTCCTGTCAACAATTACCTCCCCTAGAAGGCGGAAGAAAGCCCAGGTTACTTCTTACAGGCCACTCAGCAGGTCGCGTACACTGGCCGAGAGGCCCAGGGGCAGTAGCTGATCGGTTGCAGGTGGTAGCCTAGCTACACTCATCTGGATGAATCTTGTTCACAACCAGTACCTGGTTCGCAAACACGATTGGAATCCTATCGACCCCCGAGTGAGAGGTATTTCTCCAAAGGATGTTGATTGCTCCAATGCTATGGCTGCTAATTCGACACTAGGCACTGAGTCTGTTACGACATATTTCGAATCTCTTCATTGTATTACGTTCGGCGCACCGCCTTTCTCACGGCTTGAGGGCTTTAACCACCCGAAAGCCTTCGAAGACGACCCCGATAATATGCATATTGCCTTCATCAACGAGGGAGATCCTATACCTCGGGCCGACCCAGAGTACATAGCTAACCTGTTTTTTTTCTCTCTGGAGATGCGTTTTCGCCAAGACCTCGAACGCCATGCTCCTGATGGTTTCACGCGGGGTTTTCTGTGTCACTTACCGCGCATGCGTCTTCACACCGTCGGCTTCCATGTCGGTCTACGCTTGTACGAGATAGGAACGCGCGGCAATACGGACGTCATGTGCGCGGTGCGTCTAGGGGAGAGCTCAGAGGAGAGGGCAGAGCTCATGGAGCGCACATTGGCACTCGATTTTGAAGCGCACACCATGGACTGCTACGCCCGCAACATCACATCTTGGTTAAAGACCAATATCAAGAGGCTTCAATCACAGCGCTTCAAAATAAGTACTGCGAGGAACGTACTGACTTTAGGGGCGACCGTGACGACCGACCTCGATTTTTTTGGGTTCGACAAATGGGCAGCTGCCGGCGATCTCAACTGCTTTCAAGTGTGGCGGGTGTCTGTGATGACTGAAGGCCACTGGCTCCCACGTCTATTCGAGTTCTCAATTCCTGCACATGGCACTTCAATCAGGAACGGGATCGACGTTTTCACAACACCTGGGCACCTCCTGAGCGTGGGGCCATATGGTGGCTATGTGTGCTCAGACTCATGTCCTCTTTGCTCTGTATTCGTTTCGCAGACCAACGTCCTCCGGTTTCAAGCGGGCGAGGATCTTGACCTGGGACGGCTTGACGGAATCGCTTTCTATGCGCGGAGAGGCTGTGAATTCTCAACCTTCGTCATCCGCTTCTTGTGCAAACAGGTACGTCAGCGAGGCAAATTCCACTGCAGGATGATATACAAGATCTAACAATGCGAATGAAAAAGCGAATCCGGCCAACGGCACAAATCACGGCTAGATTTAGATCTGTGCATGGCTTTCCACCTTCTGAACTCCGGTCGCTCACGATTCAGGCGGAGGAGACTTTGACTTCTGCTCTTCATCGGACGAAACAGGAACTTCACCTTGGCGTATTCGCTTATGCAGGTAAGAGCCGTCGGTCAAAATGTGGTTATTATCTTGAAACGTGGCTAACACCCGTCCCGGTAGAGGATGAAGCGGCAGCACTCGTCAAGGGGCGGCCCCCGAACGACATGATTGCCACACATGGAGCATCAGAGACGTTTGCCAATATCCGCAGATGGCTGAGTGACTGCTTGGCCACGCATAGCTGTGGTGACATGCCCCGGGGTGTCAAAGCCGTCCTGCCGACCCGTGTCCTGGACGTCCGTGTGGACCCAGGCGATGACCTTGTACGATTGTACCCAACGGGAGGGGAAAGAGCTGAATACGCAGCACTGAGCTATTGCTGGGGTAGCGACCAAAACTTCTTGACCACCAGGGAGAATCTCGCAACACTTACAGCGGGTATTGCAGTGCACCGTTTACCAAAGACCATCCAGGATGCGATCTATGTGACCAGACAGCTCGGCATCCCATATCTATGGGTCGACGCGTTGTGTATCATACAAGACTCAGAGATTGACAAACCACAAGAGCTTGAAAAGATGTCTCACATCTACAAACAAGCTACCGTCACCATCTCGGCCGCCGTTGCATCGAATTGCCATGAAGGATTCTTACACCCTCGGGAAGCGATCCGAAGGCGCCTGGATTCGTCCTTTCCGGTTCGGTTTGCAACTAGCTCCGCCTATGCTAATCATGCCCCTCCAAGGAGCTCGAGAGTCGAAAGTGCTGTGTCGATGGGAACGGCCTACATCTGTCCTGATGAAAAATGCGGCAACGAGGTCGCCACGTGGGAAGAGGAGCCCATTGAAACCCGAGCGTGGACGCTGCAGGAATCATGGCTGGCGCCGCGACTGCTGATGTTTGGAGCCGGACCACCACGATGGAAGTGCCTATGTGCAACCCACATCGCCGGCGGTTGGCGGGACTCGGACAATTGGTTTGTCCCGAGATTCTATCATCGCGACATGTTTTTTCGAAACATGGTGCCAGCCCGGGCTACAACGGCAATCGAGCAGCAGGAGCAGGGGCAGGAGCAGGACCAAGAGATGTCTGGGTCGCCTTCACGTCCTTCAGACCTGGATCGATTACACGACGAATGGAACAGGCTCGTCAGCGTCTTCAGCAAGCGCCGATTGACGGATCCGGAAGACAAGCTCCCGGCGCTTTCAGGCATTGCTTCAGAGTTCCATAAGATGCTCAACAGCGCTTATCTTGCCGGACTCTGGGAAAGCAACTTGCTGCCCGACTTGCTCTGGTATCATGATTGCTCGCGTTCGGCAGCATTAGGTAACAGCTCGTCTTCGCGGCCTCCACGGTTTCGAGCTCCGTCGTGGTCGTGGGCCTCCATCGATGGCAGCGTTAGCTTTGACCACTTCGGTGCGCAATACCGCAGTGAGACAAAGGCTGTCATCCGGGCCTGTGAAATCGAGCCGGAATTCTACCCGAGGCGATTCACCTCCGTTTCCAAGGCACTGCTGACCATCACGGCGCCGCTACGTCGGATGACGGCGCAACAAGTTTATCAACGGTTCGTCGTCAGCATAGACAAGAGGCCCAGTTACTTCAGCGACTATGTCATCCCTGACATTGTCGACAACAACGAACACTTTGGAGATATCCCTGCTTCGAATGCCGATCTGCACGGCACCCTGAGGGCAGGACCGCCGCTTGGGTTTTTCAACCAGAGGATAATCCCCCAATATCAGGGCTATCCAGCTGGCACCTCGGCGGCGTTTCCCAAGCCGGGGCAAACGAAGTTGCAGAAGCTCGGCGGAGGCGTGGAGACCCTTTCTACGGAGACCAGTGCTGACCACTCTGCATCTGTAACCGTTCGCTCCTTCTGGTTTCTCGAGTTGGCTCGCAGCGATGGACCACGCGGGCTTGTCCTCGTCCGCTCAGCTGGCGGTCTTTTCGAGCGCACAGGCTATTTCAGGCTGGGTCGGACGGGGCCAGTGGGTGATTGGCTCGTCGATGACCAAAATCCCGCGGGTAAGAGGGACTGGGACTGGGACGAAGACCTGGAGCTAGCAACGATTCGCATCAAGTGACTGTGACGTGACGGAACCGATCATTGCCGGCCCATCTGCTCCTCTTCGGGGAAAATGACAAGAAATGTGAGTTTGGTTTGGTACTTCGTGGCAGTCTTGGTGTGGTATTATTAGAGCAGAGGCACGAGGGCGGGCGGTCCTCATGAATCGCGAAATGAACAACGGTGGTAGAGAGCAATCCAGTGCTAATCGTCCCGTCTCATGCAATGTCAGGAGGCCATCCGTTGTTGGGTGTTTCGATCCTCCCTTTCTTTCGCCGCACCGATGCAACGTTTACGCGTACCGTCCATAATAGTCATTGGCATGGACATTCATGCCCTTGAAGCCATTCATGCCGTTCATGCCGCCGCTTGCACCGCCTACAAATCCTCCAGCTGACGCTCCGGCTCCTCCGCCCATCCCGGGATACGCACCGGCCACGTCGGTCATGCCACCACCACCACCACCCGCGACCGGATGACCATGCATCGTCATGTCGCGGAGGATCTCCCGACCCTTCCAGCTCAGGTAGACCGTCTCGTGCACCTGCACGTACGCGCCGCTGCCGGGCGGATCCTCGTCATAGTCGTATTCCTTTTCGATGGTGAATTCCGTGTGCGTGCGGCGTTCGATGCGGCGGACCACGAAGCTGGCCCCGAGCCACCACAGCGCGGCGAAACCGAGGACAGCCCACCCGACAGTGGGGACGACGAACCAGGCGAGGGGGGAAGTGGGATTTGCTGTCGGCTCGCCAGTCCCGGCGGAGACGACCGAGTTCGAATCCGGCAGCAGCGAGGTCGTCGTCGTCGTCGAGGCGAACGACTTTTCCGGCTTGACCCACGAGGTGATGACCGGAAAGAGGTTCCCGATCAAGTACACGGTCGCAGCGGCGACGCTGAGCCACGGGTGGATGTTGGTGGCCTTGAGGCGCCAGTTGCGAGACTTTGTGAATCGGAGGTACAGGATGCCTGCGGCGAGGAGGCTGCCGAAGCAGGCGTTCACGACGTAGGCCGCGATCCCCGTCAGGAGGAGGTATGCGTTTTGCGGGGTCTCGCCGTAGGTGGCGAACAGGAGCACGATGCAGGTGAGCAGGTGCAGCACCAGGGCACCCACGGGCGTGCGTTCCGAGTGATGCTCGGGCGCCAGCCAGCGGAGACGCAGGATGGATCCGAACGGCTTGTTGAGGGCCTCGGTGCGTTGCGCCCACCGGAGCAGGCGGCCGAAGGAGAGGTCCTTGTTCTGGCCGAAGAACTTGGGCCAGGGGAGGAGGCCTTCCTTGGCGATCTCCTGCTTGACGCGCGCCGCGGTGTAGGTCATGACGATGATGTTCCCCAGGCTGGAGATCGCGAGGAAGGCGCTGAAGATGCGCGCCCCCGTGTTGTCGTCCGGCGAGAGCGCGCCGTAGGTCAGTTGGAAGAAGGACTGCGCCACGCTGGAGCCTTGCTGGAGCTGCTTCTCTTTCGGCACAACCACCATCTAGGACGGGAGCGATGAGTCAGTATACGTTTCTTGGGGGAAGGTGCAGGCACCTCAAGGGCAAGCAATCGGGATATACACTCACGTAACTGACGTTGACGGCCATGTAGAGCACACACACGATACTCACGGACGTGGCCATGGCGATCGGGTAGGTCCGATGAGGCCGACTGATCTCGCCGAGCACGTAGTTGGGCTGCTCGAAGCCGCCGAAGGCAAAGATGATGGCGAGAAACGCTTGGGCATACCCATTGGCACTAGATGACGACTCGCTGAATGCGTGGGCTGGAGAGAGGTTTTGCGTCAGGGTCTCGTCGCGGTCGATGTTGCTGTTGGGGAGGTCTGGGAATGTGCCGCGGCCGTAGCAGATGGCGGTCACGATGATGAAGAGCATCATGCAGATCTTGATCAAGGCAAAGACGCTGCTGAGCAGGATGCCGCCCTTTCGTGAGAACGTGTGGATGAACCCGGCGACCACGGACACGGCCACCGCTATGCCTCGAACCGCTCCGTTCGTGACTTCGACGTTGGACGCTTCCAACACACGCACGCCGAAGCTGATGGCGTTCCCGGCCATGTTGCCCAGGATGATGAACGAGATGCCGAAGAGGGATGCGATGAACATGAGCGTGTCTGGCCGATACGCCGGCTTCTGGTAGACATATTTCAACTGCGACGCGTCCGTCAGTTTCCCCGGCGGCGGTCGTAGGGGAAGGAGTCACTCGTACATAGTTCAGATCGCCGCCAGATCGGGGCACTCCTCGCTCGGTGGTCCCTATTGTCCGGCGTGGGACATTGAGGCCATACTCGATGTATACGTGCACTCCTGAGAATGCGTAGATCACGCCGGCAAACCAGAACATCAGTGTCGCTCCTGTGCTTCCCGTGCCTTGGACCACTCTGGCCGGCGTCATGAAGATACCAGTCCCTTACCATCTGTCAGTCCGCTGTGTCTTCATCGCGCAATGAAGGGCACCATGCTACTCCGTACCTATCATCCGGTTAATCACCAGGCCCATCACAGCGAGATAGCCGAGTTTGAAGCGATTCTGCGGCGACCGCGTGACGATCCGGTTCGGGTCCTCATTCTCAGAGAACAGACTCTCGTCGTCGGTCCAGCCGCTCTGTTGAGAGGCACGTCGCTGGAGAGCGCCATCCATGATGATGGACTTCGGGGTAAAGGACGCGACAGCCTGTTCGCACGGCTGCGAGAGGTGGATGCGGCCATTATTTGAGGCTTGGTGACACCACCTGGCGTTCCCTCCGTCAAGCCGTGAGGCTGACTCGACTCTGGCCAGGAGGGCTGCCAAGGGCACGTCGTCTCGAGCCCAAGGCCACTAGGTGAAGCCTTTTCCAGAACGGGAGAGCGTGTTCGCCTCGCTGCGAGGTGAGGCGGTGGCTGGCTCTGCTGCCGTATAGCCGCCGCCCAGGACGAGGGCATTGCCTTGTGGAAAGCCGTGCAGAAGCAGCGCCGGCTTGGTGCGTCCACTGCGTCTCTTGTGTGACGGCTCCGCCACCGTCCGACGCCCTGGGGGCTTGTCACCTTGGAACCAGCAGCGGCCAGCTCACCGGTTGCTTGGTAGAATGCTTGGACTGGTGGGGTCAAGGCGCCTTGTCGAACCCATGTGAAACCTACGACAAGTAGCGACCCTCCAAGCGACACTTAAGCGAACTGCCCAGCGCCTTCGGTCCACTCGAGCCTTATCACGAGTCTCCACGCCGTCGACGCAGATAAACGACGTGAATTGTCAACCTCGCCATGTGCTGGGAAGCCGGAGAAAGTCGAAGTCGTCCTCAACGTCTCCAGCCCGACGGATCGACGCCGTGTCTGAGCTCTGCGTGGGCGGCCCCAGCTCTTGCGTTGCTTCTGCAGAGGGGATGGCCGGCCTTTTCCAGTTGGGCGACATCATTCAGATCAGTCGGGCTGCCTGGGAACTCTACAAGTTCGGATGGGATGATAATCTCAACGCGGGTGAGTGTGGCTGTTCAGTCTCCCTCCAGCTGCTCGCCGCTGACTGCCATGCAGCGACACAGTTCGGGCGATTCGGTCAAGATGTGAAAGGACTCGCCGAGAGCCTCGACGGCCTGATTCGCATGATAAACAGTGCCTACAACCAGGTGCGTGGTGGCATAGGCGCTCACAGGGCGCCGCGCTGGAATTTCGCCTCGCTGAACGAGATCATCGGCGACTATCAACGCACCATCTTCGAATGTCGACGGCTGGTCGAGTCGAACCGCCAGTATGGACAGGGAGTCGGCCCATGGCGCAACATCGAGTGGAACATCTTGATCCAACCCCAGGCGGCGGCGCTGCAACAGCGAATCCTGCACCACAATTCCAAGATCCTCATCATCATCAAGCCCCTGGAGATTGACCTGCTCAGTCAAATCATCTCCAGGCTGGACGCTGTTCAGGGTCAAGTCGAACAAGTCATCGGTATTCTGACTTCAGACATTCCTCAAGCGGTCCGCCAGCAGGAGCAGCAACTCTCCCATACGCTCGACTGTCCTCCAGGTATCGCGGCCAGATTCCAAAGCGCCGCTGAACTGGGCCCCAGCAACCAACGAAGCAATTCGAGTCGGCCCTTGTCAGACTTCACCGAAGCATTTCTTCTGCACCTCAGACAGTCGACCATCAGCTTCCTACCAGAGGCGACGTGGGAAGCTCAAATCGCTCCGCCGAAAGAATACGTCAATCTCTTGAAGTGTGTTTGGCTGATGACCCGGATTGAACAACATCCGGATCTCCTCTCAGGAAACGACGAGTCTCATTGGCCCTCGTATGTCAAGGGCTTGAAAGCTGTAAGTGGCATCTTTCGCCGCTATGGACACCCAGTGACTCTTTTCTGCAGGAACTGTCCCGGGAGTGCTGGAGGTTCGATCCCAGGAGTCCCGACCAGGTCCTTCCCCCAGACCTCCGATCACTGAACAACGTCGACTTCTCAATCTGGCCAGTAAAGGCGCCAGAGTCTATTCTTCCTCCAATCGTCCAGCTCCCTGCGGCGATGATGGACGAGCTTCTCAATGTGTACGTGGCAATATTGTTGACAGCAAGCACTCACTTCCTGACTGACATGTCGGGCGACAGAACGATGGCGTCCCCTAGACCGTCGCTCGTCCACCACCTCCGTCTTCTTCGCGGCGTCAACGGTAAGATGAGTGCCGTGATCTCCGCAGTAGACTACGAGGGCGAAGAGGAGAGGAGAGACGGTATGCAGCCTTCCCGAGCATCGTTCATTCGCTGTAACTGACCCTTCAACTCTCTAGGTCGAACGTTGGACTTCAATATCGAGAGCGCCGGACTCGTCCCTTTATATGCCGTCTCCTTTGGCCAAGGACCCCTCAGCGTCATCTTGAAGACAGAATCGGTCATGGCAGAGTTGGCCTTCAGACACGTGGACGAGCTACTGCGGTTTCAGCGAGCTCTGACGGGGTATAAAGTCTATCAAGACTATACACAGTGAGTCAACCCAGTCCGCAGACGCCTCCTACAATTGAGTCCGGGGGCTAAAACCACGCAGGCCCAGCGTGGTGCTAGAGCTAATCATGTCAGATCGCAAGACGCCTCGAGTCCACACGGCTCACGTGCAATTGTGGATTGCGAAGGAACTGGATGGCCGAGCCAGTACTGGACCAGGATCGGATAGCGACCTCGATCCTAGTTCTCGCCGAACATCCACTGCCTCTCCGCGATCTTCTCCGACTGCCCCCTATCCCGGGGGCGGGAGTAACTTGAATGTGCGGTCAGTGCCTCCGGCCACTGACCCGCTGATCACCCGACTGAGCCACTTCAACATAGGCCAACGGCAGGCCTGGCACAACGGGGGTCCTTCATCCAATGGTGTATCTCCGGGACGTGGCCTTCCACGACCATTCCCATTCCACGCCGCTCTCCCTCCCCAGGGGATCAATCGAGCCGATTCCATGGCATCCATCCAGACCACGACCTCGGCCTCGACGGCACGGGAGTCACACTCGATATTCTCCACCCAGTCAAAAGCCTCACGATCTACCAGCGCCACGTCACGTAAGCTCGCCAGCCCCGACTTTGGCACCGGCCGCGGATACGTCTATCAGAAACCCGTGGAGCCATTGCTGGTGCTGCTGTTGAAATCGACGCCCGACCCAACGGTCCAAGTCGGACCCGCAAACGGCGTCAACAACGCGCCGCCACCCTTCAGCGTGGTCATCATCCAGCTGGACGAAAACACGGCCCCCAACTACGAGCGCTGCAGCTGCCAAAGTCACCCCGACCAATGCGACATTACGGCCCTGGAGCGAGACAGGGGCAAAGAAGACCTTTCCGCCCGTATCATTGAAGCAGACGAGCTCGAAGCCTGGGACCTCATGCGCCTCCGCCCGTCGACGCGCCAGGGTCAACTCTCGGCCGACGCGGCCACGGCCGGGACCTTCTTCGCCAGACAGCCCAACCCGCTGCCGAAGCTACGACGAGTCACGCTGAAGTTCCCGGACGTGCAGTCTCGGTATCGGTTGAGTGGGCGGCCGTGCAGTTGTAACAAGACCAGAACCACGGGCGAACTGATGGCCTGTCTGGCCGAGAAGCACCAGGGTTTGCTAGGTCAGATACGACAGTACCACAAGAAAGAACTCGAGCGGTTCGAGGAGGCACAGAGGAGGAGGTCGGATGTGATACTAGGGCCGATGGCGATTGGGTGAGACGTGGTGACGTGTACACAAGGAGATGAGTAGTGAATCTGTGGGTGGGATGGGTTAATGACTAACAGTGTCAGTGTTATCTCAGTGGGGTTATGAGTACGAGTATGGTGATGATATGATCAGGACCAGCCAGGGCAGCGGCATAGAATGATCTTCTTCTTCTTGTACTGTACAACAGCATATGCCATGGGTGCCCAGATGATGTGTATGTATGTACGCTTGGGCGGAGGCGGTTGCGCACGACCTCGAGGGTGGGCAGTAATTAAGCCCATGGCTCGCAAAGAGGACGGTCGGTAGGTCAGCAGTACAAGAGCGAGGAACTGTAGTAGCCCACACGTATGGCGATCCCTTGCCATTCCCTAGGATACGTAGTCGACGGGACGTTGTCTGCGTGCATCTTCACTTCACATACTCCGTACTGAGTACTTGAATTACCACCATTAAAGCGGCATGGCCTGGGCTGCCGGGCCGTATAGCACGTGACCTCGACCTCCCGATCCAACGCGTCTGCGACACGCCAAGCACTGACGTGCATGTGGGTCCCGGAGAATTTTATGGTCGTCGAGTGTGCCGCCTCGAAGACTTGCTCCCCTTCCCGCCTGGCTGCTGCCAGCGACGGACTCCTACCTTTTTCATTTTGGGATCTGCTGGGCTGGCCCTACACTGTCGTGGTTGACAGAAGTGAAGATCCTGCATATCGAGCGCCGAGATCAGCTGCGAGTGATCGTTCCCCAATCCTCGACTTGGCCAGGCCGCAGTTGCACTGTTGTCGACGTGTTACACCACGCAGAACTTCAAGATGAAGTACGTTCTAGTGTCTGGAGGTGTCATAAGTGGCATGTGAGTCTTGACGGATCTGTCATTCGTGAAGGTGCTGTGGAGTCATCGGTGCTAATAGTCATTTGCAGCGGCAAGGGTATCATTGCCTCGTCCACGGGATTGTTGCTCAAGACCGTCGGGCTGAAGGTCACGGCCATCAAGATCGACCCGTATCTCAATGTCGACGCCGGGACCATGGCCCCAACCGAGTATGAAATCCTTCAGATATGCCCACCGACTCAAGTCTAATCGATCTCAGGCACGGGGAGTGTTTCGTGCTCGACGATGGTGGTGAAGTTGACCTCGATCTGGGCAACTACGAGCGCTACCTCAACGTCACTTTGACCTTGGAGAACAGCATCACGACTGGCAAAATGTACCAGCACGTCATCGAACGCGAGCGGCGAGGAGACTACCTGGGAAAGACTGTGCAGGTGGTTCCGCACATCACAAACGCGATCCAGGACTGGATAGAGCGAGTGGCCAGGATCCCCGTGGATGACACAAAGGAAGAGCCGGACGTCTGCATAATCGAGCTTGGTGGAACGGTGGGTGACATTGAGAGCGCACCCTTCATCGAGGCCATGCGCCAGCTGAGAAGAAGGGCTGGCCGTGACAATTTCGTCCACATCCACGTTTCTCTGGTTCCCGTCATCAGCGGCGAGCAGAAGACGAAGCCTACGCAGCAAGCTATCCGGGACGCGCGCGCAGCTGGTCTGGCGCCTGACTTGGTACCACCCACAACCCCGCCTCCCATGCGCTTGAGACACTGACGACCGTCTAGATTGGTTGCCGTTGTCAGCAACCACTCGAGGACGCCACCATCAACAAGATCGCCATGTTTTGTCAGGTCGAGCCCATGCAGGTATTGGCCGTCCACGATGTCGAGTCGACCTACCACGTTCCGCTGCTGCTAGAGCAACAAAAACTACCGGATCAATTACGCGACCTTTTCCGGCTCGATGCATACCCCATCGCGCCCACGCTGGTGACGAGAGGCCACCAGCTATGGAGCGACTGGAAGAAGCTGACCACTTCACAAGAACGCTTCCTAGAGACGGAGAAAGTCACCATCGCCCTGGTCGGCAAGTACACTAACCTCCACGACTCCTACCTCTCCGTCATCAAGGCGCTCGAGCACAGCGCCATGGCCTGCCAACGCAAACTCAACCTCATCTGGGTCGATGCGGGTAACCTCGAAAAGGCCACGCTGGAATCCAATCCCGAAACATATCACAAAGCCTGGCATGAACTGTGCACCGCCGACGGCGTTCTCGTACCTGGCGGCTTCGGCCATCGCGGCACAGAGGGCATGGTCGCGGCCGCAAACTGGGCCCGTACCAAGCCCAAGCCCTACCTCGGGATATGCCTAGGCATGCAAGTCGCCGTCATTGAATACGCCCGCAACGTCTGCGGTCTCAAGGGCGCCCACTCGGTCGAGCTCGACGCCCGAACCACCGACCCTGTCGTGGTCTTCATGCCCGAGATCGACAAGGCAACCATGGGAGGAAACATGCGCCTCGGACTGCGTCCCACTCTTTTCCAAGAGAAGACTTCCTGGTCCCGCCTGCGCAAACTGTACGGCAACGCCCCCGCGGTGAATGAACGGCACCGCCACCGCTACGAAGTCAACCCCGAATATATCACGCGCCTCTCCGACGCGGGCCTCACGTTCATCGGCAAGGACGACAAGGGCGAACGAATGGAGGTCATCGAGCTGGAGGACCATCCCTGGTTCGTGGGCGTGCAGTTCCACCCCGAGTATCTGTCCCGGGTGCTCAGGCCAAGTCCGCCTTATTTGGGCTTCGTGGCCGCCAGCGCGGGCGTACTGGAGAAGGTCACCGCGCAGAGTGCCGCGATGCAGGAACAAGTCAACGGTGATGCCGCCGGTGAAGTGCACGGAGGCGTGAATGGCGTGAACGGCCTGACGAATGGAGTCAAACCGGCCTCACATGGCTTTTAGCCGCTCCATATGATGAATGAAGGCGACCCAAGAGGACGAGAATGATGACGAGCATCTGTGGAGTAGTTCAGTAACTGATTATGATTATTTTTGGTGCATCCCACGTTGATGACTGCATGAATCATCCCCTGCGAGGTAAAGAATGGATTGATCAATGGATGAACGGATGGGTGGCTTTTGTGTGTGTTATCGTGGAATCTACAAGCACATACATACAACATGGGGAGTTCTTGCAGAGCCATCTTGTAGTTCAGGGTCATTCTTGACCCGACTTCATAGGTCCGATCATACTACAGTATAGTTAGCACCTAGGTATCAAATGAATTCACGGTCGTCATATCTGGCGTTGCTTCCTCCCCAACATACGGGGTATATGTATATGGTCTAGGTTGTCGTCGTCGTCTTCCTCTTCCTAGTATTTGGTTCCGTGGCTTGACTTTCGACTCAGGCGTGAGACCTTTCGAAGGTACCTAGGTACCTAGGCACTGTATGTATTTGTATATGCGCGTCGTAGGTGTTTATGTACCTACCGTAGGTATGGATACAATATCGTGTCGTGTAATCGTTCCTGCACAGCACCTAAGTCTATGTCTAAGTCTATGTCTATGTCAATGAGTATATCTTTACAGTAGCCTGTGTCAGTCGATCGGTCGGGACCGTGATCTCTGATCTGTTCTCATTCATCGTTTCTAATCTATCCGTCTCTGATATCTAGTCATCGTCTTATGTATCGTCATATACGATGCACGACCCTCATCAGCCTAGGTATGTACTTGCCTATCTTAAGCACGACTTCCCTCTCCACCTCCACTTGCACCAGGAGGCCCCACATCCGCCGCTTGTGCAGGACTGTCGAATGCTTTCCCATCGACCCTCCCCCTCGTCACGGTACTAGTACCCCCCTTACCGTCTGTGTTGGCGTCCACGTCGACCAATTCGGCCTCCCCGACGTACACGGCCTCTGGTTCGTCGTCCACGTCGTAGACGGTCTCGTTACCTGTATGTACATTGCCGCTGCCTGCTGCTGCTGCTGCTGTGCCCCTCTCGAGCCCCCTAAGTCGCGCTCTCTCGCGCTCAACCCACGCCCTCCACGGCTTGTAGCACAGCACGCCGAGGGCGCCGAAGACGACGAAACTCCCACAGATGGCCCCGCCTATGACTTCGTAGTAGTCGCCCGCGGTGGCGACGCCGTCCCAGAACCGGCCCGTCGGCGACGCCACGTTCAGGATGAGCGAGAGCAGTTGCAGGATGCCGATGACGATGGCGCACACGACCGTCAGGCTGGTGAGCACGATGCTGTAGTACAGAAAGGTGAGCGGGTCTTTGACGCCTGGGCGGAGTTGGAGTTGAACTGCCGTAGTCTCTTGAGTGGCAGAAGAAGAGAGCGCCGCGGGGTGCGGTTGCGTGTAGGGATTTGCTGCTTCTGATGCTGCTGCTGACCGCTCGACGTCATCGAGGATCAAGGGCTTGGTTGTTGCGGTGAAGATGTCCGTATCGGTATCGGCTTCAATGTCGAATCGTTGATCCTGGTCCCGGTCTTGGTCCCGGTCTTGGTCCCGCGCTTGTGCTTGTTGATTGGAGGTATCTTTTTTGTCGTCTCCACCCATACCCATGGGTGCGACGTACAGGCTCATCATCAATGCTCCGTCGGTGGTGTCGACGAGACACATCCCCGCCGTGAACAGGACCGGGAAGATGAGGATGAGCCAGATGCTCGTGCCCTTTGCGCCTTGAATGCTGCTGATGCCCAGGAGCGCGATCTCGGAGCTGGTGTCGAAGCCCATCCCGAAGAGGACGCCGAGCGGGTACATCTTCCAGGGCCGGTCTATGAGTTTGAACATGCGTTTCAGGAGGCGGAAGAAGCAGCCGCCGCCTTCGATCTTCCAGGCCTCTTGGCCTTCTTGTTCCGGTTGAAGGCGGATGACTTTCCTGATCTGCACGATCAGCTTGTAGAGAATGTAGGCGTTCATGATGCCCAGCAGGATGAGGAACGCCGCTGATACGGAGGTACCGATGATCCCGCCGACGGTGCCAAAACTGTCAAAGCGGCCGGCAATGCCTGCTGCGGTGGCCGCAACGACAATCGAGGTGATGATGACGATGGTGCTGTGCCCGAGGCTGAAGAATGTGCCCACGGTGACGGGTCTTTGGCCCGTAGCTATGAGTCGCCGGGTCATCAGGTCAATTGCTGAGATGTGGTCCGCGTCGAGAGCGTGGCGGAGACCCAGTGTGTATGCCAACGCAGCCGTGGAGAGGAGATGTGTATGTGACGAGAGAATGAGGCCGCATATTGCCCAGACGACGAGGTTGACGAAGATCAGGAAGGCGATGATCAGGATGGCCCGAAGAGGGAGCTTCCGCAAGTATGGTATGCGAGCATGCCAGCGAGAGAGCCGGCGATGGACCCGGTGCTGACGGTGCTTGTAGTATGCCTTCCAGGACTTTCTGACCGTTTGAGGACGAGGCAGATGATGGTCGTCTCTGGAGCTTTGCCCGTCCATGACTTTGGTCGTCGTCCTTGGCTTTCCTGATCCTCCGGCACTTCACAGCCCCCCTGCTCCGTCTGCACCAACCTCAGGCGCACAAGCTGTTCGGCCGCCCTCGAGTAGCAATGAGCTCTCGACACTGACGGGGAGAGAGAGAAAGCCGTGAATGGGAAGTTTTCCATTATCAGCTGTGATGGTGTAGCGCGGGGTTCAAGCCCGAGCGACGCGGGGTCACCGATAAGATAAGGATGGATCCACCAACTCGACGAGGCTGCACAAGGCTGACACCCTCGGCTCTCGGCCAGGAACCGGAGCCGGCGCAGGCCTCCATACTGTACAAGGATGTCATGCCTGTTTCCCCTCTTGAAGTATAAATATCCCTCAGCCCTGGAGAGCATGTGCTGCGTCGTATCCTGTCCGCACAAACCTACCTCTCCGTCACCATGTCGTGGCCACCTCTCCAGGAACGTCTGCTATCTCTCCTTGAACCAGGATACCTCCTCTACGCCAGCGCATACGGTAAGCGAAATACTCCATGCTCAACGCTCATAGTTCCAAAACTGACCAAGTGACAGCTTTCATCACCACCGCATTCAATTTCTACGTCTTGGGATTCAACGTCCCCTCGAGGTCCAACTTCAAGAAAGTCCGCGATGACGCCTTTTCCGACTTCTGGACCAAAGCCACTGGTAAGTTTGTTCGAGAGTATTACAGCTGGAGGGACCTCCCTTCTTACCCACCGCTTTCTCCAGCACCGGTCGAAAACCCACCCCCTCTAAAGGGGTCAGCGACACTGGTTCCCCCGCTCCTGTCCCGCGCCCGTGGCGTCGTTCTAGATATCGGACCAGGATCCGGTACCCACGTGGCATTGTTCTCGGACAACGCCAACATCAGCGCCATCTACGGAGCGGAGCCCACGACAGGACTGCACAAGCCGCTACAGCTTCGGATCGACGAAGCCAGACTCACGGGCAAATACCACATTCTGAGCTCCACGGCAGACAAGGCCGAGCTGTTACCAGCCCTGGCGAAGGCCGGGGTTCAAGTCTCGCCAAAGGGCATCTTCGACACGATTGTCTGCGTACGGGTTCTGTGCTCGGTGCCGAATCTCGAGGAGACGGTCCGGGATTTCCACTCCCTTCTGCGCCCGGGCGGCGAGCTCATGGTCGTCGAACACATCAGGAATCCGTGGACGACGACGGGCAGCATCTTGGGCCGTCTGATGCAAATCGTCTACCATTTCTTGGGATGGACCTTCTTCCTTGCTGGCTGTCAGATGAATCGCGATACGCCGGCGGTACTGAGGAGAGCTGCGCCCTGGGAGGCGGTTGAGCTGAAGACGCATTTTGAGTGGACCGCATTGCCATACTTGGCCGGTACTTTGACGAAGAAACGGTAATGAAAGACGCGAGGCTGGAGGTTGGGTCTTGAAGGGCCTGGAGGTCCTGCGGCAAGTAAGCCATACCGACCGACGGTTGGTTCCCGCTGTTGTCGTGCTCTATGTCACGAGACTGTACTCTGACAAGTTGTAAGGAGTACCGGGAATGGTTGTTCTTTGCCTGGCTACCAGCTTAGGGTCTCGTCTCGATTCAAGATGGCGGAGCTTCTCTGATGGCGGCATGTTTCGTCTAGCACAGTCCTCTTCGTTCTGAGATGTCACAACATCAAGATCACCAACCAAGTACTACTGTCCAACAACTCTCCGATTTCTCACCGACCGCGTCTGATCATTCCACAATGAAAAGGTAATTCGCCGCCCTCAACCGAAAGTGATGCCCACCGCGACAATCACAAGAATAGAGTACGGCAGATGTGCGTTGCGACCACCGTTGCCGCTACAACGAAAAGCATTCCTTTTAGGGATGTCGGTCCGGGAGTGTATTGTGCTCGGATTAAGTCTATGGTTGGCGGCTACTCGGACCGCAAATCTCTCCTACTGTGTACCACGCACACCTATCTTTCTGAGTATCACTACCCCGCGCAAATCTGGTCCTCACAGTGTAGCCTCGGATCTCCTAGCACGCGATTGTGGTTTGACGCGGAGCCGCGGCGAGGCTGCCTGGTATAGAGGTTTGGCTTGGCAAGGCCCAACGTGAAGCCTCGGGTACCTAGGGAGGGAGCATACAAAAATCCTGCATCTCGGTGCATTAGCACACAGCGCCGACGCGTGTGCATTCTTGAGCTGACATAGACGTCCCTCGCTGCCCCACGAGATGTACTGCCATTCGCCGTCAATGGAGGAGTACCCTGCCGATGCATTCGGTCGACTATCGAGCGTGGCGTGACAAGCATGTGCCGCTGTGAGCTGCACAGTGGCCGAGACGCGGCCCTCTAAAGCTTCCACGATCTTCGACGAGCTCAACATGTGATATTCACTCTCATGATCGTCGCCTGTGCCGAAAAGAGGCTTGTGACTTCGTATAAGCGCGAAAATGCGTTCTCTTCAACAGTTATATCTAACGCCGTAGCCACGCAGCCCATGGAGCGATCAACTACTGTGATAAACATGTTACCCACGAACACAAGAAACAAAACGAACACCTTGAAATCAGAGTCATTCACCTTGCTAAGACACCCAATTGGCTTGGATCAACGCAAACGCACCTCACCTTCAGAAGACAAAATTACCTCAACCAAACCTCCACGATGCTAAAACAAATCCTACCCCTCTCGATCCTCTACTTCACCCTCGTCTTCCTCGCCGGCCTGGTCCTCGACTCAGTCCGGCTTCCATACCTCCAGCCCCTCCTCGGCGCGCGCTACGCCGAGCTCCTGGAAACGCCTCTCATGATCTTCATAATCTGGCATGCCGCTCAAATCACCGTCTGGAACCTCGACCTCGATCTCGGCAGCATGCCGAAACAATCCGCGCGTTGGTGGTCTACAATGCCGCTCACGATCGGCCTAATGTCGCTAACGTGGCTGGTCACAGTCGAGGTGGGCATCATGACGATATTGTACGATAACTGGTTGTGGGATGCACTGAAGTTGTATTTCTTGCAGAGGGACCTTGTGGCGGGATCGGTGTCGGGATTCGTCCTGCTGGCGTATGCCTTGATGCCGTGGATCGTGTGGCTTGTCGGCGGGCAGAATGGGGAGGACGAAGCGAAGCTCATCTTGGACTTTGACTCCGTGAGGACCGAGGATGAGGATTACTGTACCCGTTGAGGGGTATCGTACTGGTTACAGTAGAGAGCGGGCTAAGGTGCAGGGTGAACAACAACGCTCATGCGGAAACGGTGCACTCATCGGTGCTGATATTCAAGCCCGTGACGTTTGGACAGGCAGGCCTGGGCACAGTGGCTAGTTGCTTGGACATCTGGACACAATCATTCTCAGTTCAAAGGACTGTAGGGCGCGCCTGTGCTGGGCATTCTGAATGGCATTCCAAAGCTAGTGCACTACACATCGACATCAACATCAGTAGTGAGAGTATCTGCCTCTGTCCTCTGTGCGAGATAATGAGTGCGAGTAACGAAGGAACGGGTTGTGATGCTGTGGTGCTGTGTTGCACTACCTAATCATTCAGGACAGTACTCCATACCCGATACGTGGCAGAGTACGCGCAAAAGTGCGGCGTGGTTTCGAGCACCAACGCGTGTGCGCGTAAAACGACGATAACGTCACGCGTGGTCGCTTCACCATTCTATTCTGGGTTAGTGCCAGACGGTTGTCTGGGTTGCCTCGATGAAATCTCCAAACATCCCTTGGGAGACGGACTGCTGTCCAACTCAGAATTCGAGAGCTTCGGCCTCGTCAATGCCTTTTGACGCATGGCTGCCGTGTTGCAGACCAAGACAACGACACCGACGGAGCTCGATCGTCCACAACGAGTCTGACTAGCAGGAGGTCTTTGGGGGAGGACGCGCAGCGGCTGATTTGACTCATAGAATCGAATGGTGTCTAAAGTTCGGGAGTCAAGCAGGGGAAGGAGCAGCTTCTATGCAGAAGCGCCTATTTTAGACGGGTATCATTACAGCCTGAGCAGAGATCATATCAAGTGTTGCTGTGACCAGACGTGGACAGCTGCAAGCATTCGATCTTTCTGGATGACTTGAGCAACAGCGTGAAGAACATTCTGCGGGAGCAACCAAACCATATCCCCACTATGGTACATTCATATGAGAATCGTAAGCCCAAATTGGTAGACTCCTCAGGTCAGGATGCCATGCGACAATCAAGGGCCTTGTTCACTTCCGCCTCAAACCGTAGACCGGGTTGAAGATGTATTTATCAGTCTGGTGCTGGAAGGCGGACGCTGTTTTTCTTCCCTACCAGTGCGAAAGCTGGTATTCGACGAGCGGTCGGGCGCCGTGAATGGCTGACGCAAGCACTGTGAATGTTCTGCCGTCTATTGCTTCGAGATAGCCCCGCTGTAATCATGGCTGTGTAGACTTTATCGAGGCTACCAATGCGACCTTCCCAGCCTTGGAGAACAGCTGCCTCCCATGAGCGACTGCTAGAGAAATTGAAACTACTTGGGAACCCCCCTCTTTCCGTGCCAGCTGTCCAATATCGTACTGAGTCGCCGTCAAAACCTCAGCAAAGCTGCGAGTTGCACAATGGAAGCATCCACATTGCTTTCTTGGATCCCGCCCTGGCGTCTGTTCATTCCTTGCTACAGTCCTGCCATATCGCCACCCTTGACTCGGATGTAGAAGTCGCATGTCTCGATGGTCGAGATCAAGGAAAGCTCTTGACTTGGCGGGCCAGTCCAGCAATGAGGGTCCCGTCTGTATCCACTCCAAGCGTCCTGCCAAACTTCACTTTCAGTTGTCCAAGTTGGGAAGGTGTATCGGCCTGGAGAGAATCCACGCTGGCCTCCTTGACTATATGTGCGGTTTGGCAGCTTTTCAAGAACTCGCTGAGACTCGCCAGCCGCCTGAGCGGTATCTTGTACTTCCGGTGAAGAAGCTCGGACCAGGAAACCAGTAAAGCCGTGACGATTAGCATCGTAGCAACGGGCAATATGAGCAGTCGGACCCTCGCACTCGCCAACTTGACCGTCGTGGTGAGTGATTGTATTTGCACATCATGCGCGGCTGGTTGATTGACCACAAGCTCCTGCGCGACTGCACTGATGGAGGCATTGATAAAACCTTCCAATTGCTCCGAAGTCCAATGGTCTCCTTTTCCGATTGTCGTCGTGTATAGATGGGGAAGAGGAGCGTTGGGCGAGTGATAAAACAGAGGCTGAGCACCATTTACACTTACTCCAACTACTATTGGTGCCATAGCCATCCACACGGCAATCTCGTTCAGTGATTTGCGATAGATATCTTGCAGCGATGTGAGTGTCTGAGTTGTCGAGTCTTTCTCCCGGCATTCCTCGTTGCCGATGCAAAGAATATCGTCCACCAGATCGATGTCAATGTCGCAGGCGACCGCTTCGAGCGAATGAATTTCCTCATGCTCCACATAGGCTGGTATCCCATTCTCAATCGTGCCGTTCAAGGATGCGAAGACGAGTGTAGAGCGAGCCCGACTGGAAGAAGGAAGCTGACAATCGTCCGCCCAGACCGTCAGCTGGGGCCTCATTAACAAACCCACTTTCTCAGACCCTCTAGGGAGTGGTCCTTGGCCGTCATCAAAAGTGCGATTTTCCATTCGTGTGGACACCTTCCCTTCAGAGATGTTGTTGACTTGGTACCCTCGGCAGGTAATGGTCTTTTTCAGCCTGACTGCATGAGCTGCGAGGTTGCCCTTGTCAGCCAGCTTGTATCTGTCCACGAACCAATCTCGATAGTCTTGCATCGGCTCTGTAGACAGGGGCTCAGCCCAAGAGGCATACCTGACGACTGCAGGGGCCAGAAGTGATACTGGTAGGTTGTGCTGCGTAAAATGCCTCCCGGTACCACCTCCACCTGTGTAGTTGCTCTTGGCTTCCAAAGGCACTATCTGCTGGTGAAAGACATAGCCCACGAGAGGCGCTGCCGTAAGTGGGATGAATGTAATCAACGCGGTGCATATCAAGACGAGCGCGGCGTCGAAATTTGCAACCTGGCGAAAGGCAACTGGTGTCGAGGGGGACCGAGCCGCGGCTGGCGGATAGGAAAGTCTCAATTTGTCCAATACTGTAGGGTCGCTGAGCAAGTAGAGGCCAAATCGAAGCTTCGGACCATGCGTGGGCCGCGTACGCCATGGCTGCCAGGCTTGTAGCATAGACGAATGTGACAAAACCTAGGACAGTACCGATGTTGGCTCTCAGCCATTCCACTGGCGGTGGTATTGAGCAGTCAATTGCCCACTTAGGGCATTGAAGCTTCTCGCCGCTGAGCCACCAAGTGAAAGTAATGGCTGTACTGCCAAATAGGAAGCCGACGCAGAGTGCAACAGGGATGGTTTGGTTGTGCCGAATGAACTGCAACAGTCCATTTCTTCGTTTCCAGCCTAGAGTTGAGCTGGGAGACTTGTCGTTCGAATCGCGTGCTTCCTTGAAGGGTTGCAGCGGAATATCTTCCTCCGCCATTGTGGTCAGGTTATCGGAGTTAATGCATAGACATGCAACGTCCTCATAGGTAAGGGAGATCGGTGGGAGAATACTTGCCCTGCTCGCTTTATGTAGGACGAGCCCATATGAGAGGAGGCCATGAGGCTGTGAGGTTAGTGATAGTGCAAGGCAGATTCATTCCGCCCTATTTACAATGTTCCTGTAGCATGAGAGATCAACTGCAGGAAGCCGAACTGAAAGCAATCGTCTTCTCGCATAGCAGAACGCACGGGTATCACATTCGAAGCTTGGTGTCTCAGCGCAACCGTACCCAAGCCTAACGTTCAAGACTTTGCGTGCATCTCTCCGATCATCATGGTAGAACCTACCCAGGTACTTACCGATGTGTGGCAGGTATACGCAACGGGCACCGCAATGCAAATGTCCTATCGTTGGCTGAGAGGGGCATGCTGGAGCGCTCCAGAAGGCTTCGGATTCGAGATAACTGCTGTACAACACGCACTGCTGTACTCCGTGACAGAGACGTAAACCTTCGTGGGGGATGATAGGTCTCAATGTAGGGTTCGACCTTTGGTGTAGCACTGAGTACGCAGGCAGAGTAGGACGGGCAGGGAATGTTGCGACCTCTTACAGTCCAGCCTGGAATTGCTTCATTTAGTCCAGCAGTCTCGCTCAGCCTCAACGTACGGTCGGGTACTGCTCTTCTAGAGCTAACATTGTCAATCGCAGTTGTCGTTCATAATCACCTGTGTTGGTGAACAAAGTGAACAAAAGTGCAGATGAAGGCGTTACGCTACGTCATGCTTGCCAAGGGTCATTTCACGTGATTAGCACGTGACTAGAGTCAACAAACTTGACCGCTTCCTCGCGTCGTCGAAAGTCGCTTAAGGGATGAGCAGCGAAATGGACAGGGGTCTGCTCGAATCACAAGGCTTGCCCTGAGAAGTTGGCTACAAGTGACTGAGAGGTAGGTTTAGATGATCGGCGTGGAACTAGATTTGGCCCTTCTATCCTCGGTGACTTCATCAGGTAGGACTAAAACGACCTGGGTTTCAGCATCTACGAGAGCTTCCTCATTCAATAGCTGTCAAGTCCAGGATCGACCGAAGCACTGTTGACCTTGACATCCTCAAGACTTCACGAAAAATGGCTACCGCCGACAGCACGGGACTCAATTTCCGCCCTCCAACGACATCCTCCGCGTCTTCGAGAGACTTTGTCCCCCCAAGTGTGTCCTTCCTACAAGGCAAATGGCACGTCACTCATGCAACGCTTCCGATGTGGAAGAAGAACCAGAATGTCACTATCACCTACACGCCACTCCCTCAGAACGCCGATCTCCTAGACGACCTTGTCGAATACCAGCCTCTGAACTCGACCAAGCAAAAGAAGGTTGAGGGTATTGACACACCGGATGCCACAACAAAAGCCGCATACAGCTGGCGCGGAAAGGGTCTCCTGAAGATTGCGTCCAGCCATTGGCAGGTCCTTGGATATGGTGAGGAGGACGGCGGTTGGGCAGTCACCTTCTTCCAGAAGACCCTCTTCACGCCAGCCGGCATTGACATATACGCTCGCCAAAAGAGTGGATTGTCCGAGACGCTGCTGGAGCGAATCAAGCAGGAATTGAGAGCGATTGAGGACCCTAATGTGCAGAAACTGGCGGAAACAATCTTCTCTATCAAGCACGACCCGTGAATAGTGCGTGATGACATGCACCATGTCCAGGCAAACCTACCGCTTTGCACGATTTAGCGAGCAGTCCGACCCTTCTGAATTATAATACCATCCGCCGTCCAGCAGTTCTTGCTCCATGGCCGCCCATTTCTGTACCTTTCCTCCCTCGGTGGTCTTCAAATCCAGATCCGCGAACTTGACGTCCACAACATCCATTCCTTCGGTGGTGCTGCGTCTGAGCGCCAAGAAGACACTACAGTCTCTCAAGGCCATGGCAACGCCAAAGTCCTTGCCGGCTGGCTTCTGGAAGTCGTCCAAACCCACAGAGCCATGCTCCTGCTCCAGTCCCTGCAAATGCCGTAAAGCCGGTTGGACCTTACTCGTGAATTCGGCCACAAACTTGTCAATCCCCTCATTAAGCGGCCATATATTCTTCAGCGCTCGGGTCAAGACGTCCCCCTCCTCAGGCCCCACCAGCAGGTCGAAGGGACAAAACCCGCAATCACCTCTTCCTTTATGCTTCCCACCTTTTCTCCTCATTGCGTTGAGAGCACAGGTCCTGCAATTTCTCGCATCCGAGGGCGCGCTAGGACTCTGGACCAACCACTTTGGCTTGAACTCGATCAGCCAGTCGATCCCTGGGCCTTGCAAGTTTTGCATCAAAATGCCATACTGTTCCACGTGGTAGGACGGCAGATAGACATGGCGTCTGTGGGCATGTCGAACTTTTCTGCCTACAGCTTTGAGCCCCTCAGCGGACACGGCCGACTCATCAACTTGGTCCATCTCTCTCAATTCGTCATTCGCCTTCTGCACCATTTCCACTGGAAGCTGATACAACGCCTGCTCCATTAGCAGAGACCTATATTCGTCGCCAAATAAAGGGAGTATCGCAGTGTTGAAGTCTGACATGACTTCCTGTGCGGGCTTGGTGAAGGAAAGATCTTTCCGTAGGCGCATAATGCAGCAATGAGAGTGATGCTTCAGATGGTCCGGTGAGATAACAGACACGCTGTATATGACATTCGCGGCCCCTTCCGCGAGGTAGTGGAGCTGGAGAGCCGCTTCCTTGAGGGCGGAAGGACATGACGGCGAGGGACAACGCGTATGGGTTGAGGTTGACATTGTATAAGATGGCTTTGAGATTGAGTCTGAGACTGAGTTCGTGGCCGTGATCGTCGTCCTTGTCGTGGTCGTCTCTTCGGGTGGCTCCCGCGCGTACGGCGTACTGTACGGTGAGACTAGCTAGCCACACGATAAGCAGGACGAAGGACGAAGTATATATGTACCCTATATCCTATCTTCCACTCGACAAACAGATAACTAGATAGATGCAGGTGATCTGGATCGTGAACAGAATCTAGTGTACGGAGCGACAGTAGACGTACGTCTCTTCGAGGCAGTGCCGTTCTCGCGGCTAGTAGACGGTACCGAGCAAGTGAAAGCTTGTCAACAGCACGAGACACTGCAGGAGTGCACCTTTGGACTGAGGGCTTCTCCCCCGGTATGTGTGACCATAGGCTCAGCACCGTGTAGGCGAGTCCACCTCGATTTACTCCGTACAATACTGATACTGGGTACGAGAAGGACCCCAGAGCTGACACCCGAGAGCCTGCGTGCGAGAGTGCGGAAGAGACCACTCCCTCCGCAGTAATTTTAGTATGTGCATCGGCATATTTACTACGGCGAAGCACGTATTCTCCGGGCGTTGAATCCACGGGCCCGAGCAGAATCTTGTCCGAGATCAAGAAACACGAAGCTTCTGCTCAGGAGACACACGACGCACTCAGGACCTACACTGTCCATCTCGGCCCATCTCGGCCGCCCGTGAAATGCAGTCAGCCGATGACGATTTCCCAGATCTTGAAACCCGATCTTGGACTCCGATCAGGTAGGTACATAGGTAGGTAGGTAATTATATTACAGCTCATATCTCCCGACGCTGGCTTCGCCCGCCCGATGAAGCTGCATTGTCGTGTCGTGCAGCTTCTTTTCGGTCTCTGCGCCACGAGGCTCAACAAGTGCTCGGTTCCCAGCTCCAGTAGGTAGATCACGTCTCCCAGGAAGTTCTCCACGTCCACGAACGGGAAGGGAAAGGGAGCCGTACCTCATAGAAATCAGTCCACCACGACCCGATCCGATCCAAACAATCAAGCCGAACACCAGAACACCACCTCACTCGCCACACGCCACACACTTCTCACGCGCCCAAGTGCTCGCGCTGGGTCAAAGCACGATGTTGAAACCCCTCCGCGTCCTTGTCGTCGGGGCGTCCATCGCTGGCCCCACCACCGCGTACTGGCTCGCCCGCGCCGGCGCAGCCGTCACAGTCGTTGAACGATTCCCCGCGCTCCGCACCGCCGGACAGGCCGTCGACATCCGCACCGCAGGCGTGACGGTCATGCGGAGGATGAAGGGCATGGAAGACGCGGTGAGGGCGAAGAGCACGACGCTCGCGGGCGTCAGCTTTGTGAATTCGGCGGGACGGTCGTTTGGCACGATTCGCCCGACGGGGAATCCGGAGCAACAGAGCCTGGTGAGTGAGTATGAGATCTTCCGGGGCGACTTGGCGGGCGTCTTGTTTGGTTTGACGGGTGGCAACGACGCGACCAGCAATCGAGGTATAAGTCAAGGTCAAGATCAAGGCGACCATCCCGGTCACAATCGCAATCGAGCTCAAGATGACGATCACGGTCACAATCTCAATCAAGCTCAAGGTGACACCCACGACCACGACCACGATCAAATTCAAAAGATCAAATATGTCTTCGGAGAGCAAGTGGCCGGTATACAACAGCAGGAAAACCTCGACGGCCCCGTCACCGTGGACTTTATGAACGGCAAACTGCCCACCACGGAATATGATCTCGTCGTGGCGTGCGACGGGGCCACGTCCAGGACGAGAGCCCTCGGCCTTGACTGCCAGGTACGCGACCACGTCCACCCCGTCAACTTGTGGGCCGCGTACTTTTCCCTGCCGGGAGATCTCCTCGGGGGCAGCAAGGTCGGACGCGCATACACGGCTGTCGGGGGCCGATTTATCGCCCTGGGACCTGACCCTGATCCGGCGGGCGTCACGCGCGTCACGCTGATGAGCGTCCACCCGCGAAAGGACCACAACGCGCCGATCCCCTTCCGCGAAGCCGCCGCCAAGGGAGACGAGGCGCTGAAACGACATGTCGCGGCGCGTTTCGCGGGCGCGGGCTGGAAAACCGACCAAGTGCTCCGGCTCATGATGGACTCGGCTTCGGACTTTTACGCCAGTGAAGTCGTGCAGGTCAAACTCCCCGACGGTTTGTCCAAAGGACGGTTCGTCCTCGTCGGCGATGCGGGATACGCGGCTGGTCCGACGGGAGGGGGCACGACGCTGGCTCTGGCCGGCGGGTACGTTCTCGCCGGCGAGATCTGTAAACATAAAGGCGATATCGCGGCGGGGCTGAGGGGCTACGAGCAGACCATGAGGCCGATCATCACGGACCTGCAGAAGATTCCGCCGCTCATCCCGGCCGTGTTGGCACCGCAGACCGTGTGGGGGATTTGGTTGCGGAATAATATGTTTAGGCTGATCGCGCGGAGCGGCATCATGGAGTTTGCGCACCGATGGTTCGGCAACGCGTTTGCCGAGGGAGACAAGTACCGTCTGCCGGAATATGAATGGGTGCGGCGATGACCTGTGTGGACGTGCTGGCGTTGGAGCAGAGCTCGTCTGCCAGTGCTGTGTGGGCGGAAAGTGTGAAAACTCTGCAAAGCACACGGGGAAGAAGACGAATTGCGATGTGCAGGGAAGACCTGTTTATACAGTGTCGATGTTCGACTTGCCTGGTTTAAAGAGCCATGAATGAAGGCGAAACTTCCTTGGTGGAAAGCCAAGATGGTCCTAGGACAGAAATTGAGCCACAGAGCAGGGGAGTACAAGTGCGTCGGACAAGAGTACACGACGGCGTGTCAGTCCGGGATCAACGGATGTCAAGGCAGACATTGAGACTACAAAGGACTCTTCTGGAGGACGGGGTCAGGGGCAGAAGTTATTGAGCATGTACTAAATCTCGGCTGGGGGAGCATGGGCCAGGCTGGTAGATACACATGGAGACATCAGACATGCCGGGGATGGGAACTGTAGATCTCTCGGTCACAAGTTGGGGACCATAGTATCAGTGTTCGACTCTCCTAACTTGCTGTTCTGAATATCATATCGTGGCTAGAGCATGTGTATATCGGGATACAGGCGCCGGTCTGCAGTACTATGTAGGGATTGCCAGCTCGACACCCTTCTTGTAGCCGATACGAGTCAGGAATAGTCAGAACATACCGCTCGTAACTGCCGTGCTCGATTCAGAGCATGCAACACTATCCACGTAAGGGTGCCCAGGTAGTTCGTCGTAGATGTGTCGAGACGTCGTCCGCCAGTGAGGTGGCAGTGAGGTGACGGCCACAGAAGGACGGAATATCCTATCCGTACTGTCTGCTGTGGAGGAACCACTAATGTACTTCGTACTGTACGGAGCGTCGTCGCTCGGAGATAAGGTAACGACTCGGCCGGCTCAGTGTTACGGCGTCGTATCGATGCTGAGTTCATTGACTCGAGAGCTACTCCGTACAGTATCCATTTATCTGGCGACTCAGGTCAAGACATCATCGGCAATCTCGAACCACACGTCCAAGTGTCCGTCATTCGAGGAATAGATCTCGCTGGACATTACCCTGCTGTCGCTTCGGAGACAGTCCGCTCCACGGCTCGATAACTGCAGCAGAGGGGACAAGGCGTCGAGCGTAAGTTAAAACAAGCTGGACTACGACCATAGGCGGGGCGCGAGAGACGATACTCGACGGTGGCAGCAGTCTACTCTATACATCCCGTGCTTGTACTACGGAGACTTGGACATCGCGGCTCACATCCACCAACCTGATTTCAATTCATCACCCGAGCACCCATATATCGAGTCGTCACGATGGCCCTAGTCACAGACCTTTCGTCCCACCTCGCCCTGATCACGGGCGCGACAGGTGGAATCGGAAAGGCTACATGCCTGGCGCTCGCACGCCTCAATTGCTCCATTGCCGTACACTACAACACCGCCGCCGATACGGCGGAATCGCTCGTTTCCCAGCTGAAAGCTATGGGCGTGCGCGCCGCTGCCTTCAAGGCCGACCTCTCTTCTTACGAGGAGACGCGCAAGCTGCACGCCGCGGTTGTGGAACAAATAGGACATCCGACCATTCTGTTCAACAACGCCGGCCTCACGATGGGAAAGTCCAGGGTCAAGGATATCAGTGAGATCAGCGTAGAAGATTTCGAGCAGACGTGGAGGGCCAACTGTGGGACGGGATTCCTGTTGACGCAGCTTTGTCTACCGAAGATGCTCGAGCAGGGGTGGGGAAGAGTGATTTTCTGTTCCAGTGTCGCTGCTTTCACCGGCGGTGTCGTTGGACCGCATTATGCGTATGTCCGGGATCTGCGTCGGCGCACGTCTTCACCACGCTTCCACAGTACTGACTCTGGCGGACCAGGTCGTCGAAATCGGCACTGCATGGCTTGGTGCATTGGCTGGCCGGTGCATATGCGAAGAAGGGCATCACTGTGAATGGTGTCGCCCCCGCGTTGATCGAGGAGACCAAGATGTTGCCGGGGGCATCAGCTGAGTTGGCTGCGAGTAAGTTGCGACTTCGCTCCATGGATCTCCTGATACACTGGGCCGTGGAGTTGACTGACACGTTGAACTGCTTCAGGGGTCCCAGTTGGCAGGCTGGGGAAGCCGGACGAGATCGCCGAGACAGTGGTCTGGATCGTCAAGACGGGTTACGTCCACAACAAGGTGATTGCAGTAGATGGCGGCATGTTCATCCAGTAAGGAGAGTCGTGGAGTGGTTGCTGATTTCCGTGTCAACCGCCACTGCCGGCCTCTTTCTTCTTTCTTGCTTCTTCCTCTCTTTCCTTCTTCCGCTGCAGATATCTCTCCCTGGCTGACATCTTGTCAGCCTCAGTGACTCTGCTCTTATTCTTCTCCTGCTGTGCTTTGTTCTCCTCGGCCTCGGCTTGCTTCTGTTTCTCCAGCATGTCTTCGATCTGCCGCTCCATCATACGTGACTGCCTCTCACGTTGGGCTTCACGGGCATCAAGTGCCTTGGATGATCGCCAGTATTCTTGTGGTCGAGCACCTTCTTGTTTCGTCGTCGCTTGTTGCTCCTTGCCAGGCTTCTTCGGCGCAACATTGAGGCCAGCGGATAGAAGCTGTCGCTTGTCCACGACTTCACCCTCATCGTTGACCACAACCCTGGCACCTCGTTTGTTCAGATCCTCAGCGATCTTCGCGTCGGATGTTTCTTCATCAGCCTCCTGCTCAACTTCGACACCACGTTCCTTCCTCTCGGCGGCCTGTTCCTCGGCCTCCTTGATCATCTGCATCCGCTCTTCATCCTTCTCCAGCATGCGCTTGTGGAACGCTGTCATGCCACCACCTTTCCGCCGGCGTTCTTCTTCGGCTTCTTCGCGCTTCTTCTCTTCCTCTTCCATCTTCCTGATTTCCTCTTGTTGTTTCTTGTATGCGCCTGTCACGAACTTCTCCTTGTCGGCAAACTCATCTCCTTCGGCTTCTCTTTCCCGTTGCAGTAGCTTCTCTCGTGCTCGCAGCTGATCTCGCTTTCGCACTTCTGCGCTCTGTAGTAATGAGCCCATATACTTCGGTCCCGAATCTTGTGCGCCGCTATTGGAGTTCTTTTCCTTGTGTGCATGAAATGTATCATAGACCGCGTCGTAGTCGTACACCGAGGCGTCAAGCTTGGAAGCCTCTTCATCGTGTAATTTTGCGCTCCTCAACGCCGACAGGTTCGTGTACTTGTCGCTCCCAAGCGTAGGTCCGGGGGATTTCCCTTTCGCGGGCTGCAAGCCATACGACGAGAGCTTTGGCGATTTTTTGGGAGGCTGCCCCTCATCCTCGTCGTCGCCCAGATCGGTCAGCGGTCGGAGGGGCTTCGAGGACTTCTTCGCTCCATATGCTGGGGCGGGCACATCTTCTGGAGCGTCGTCATCTTGGTCGAAGAATGCCTTGCGCTTTTGCGCTGGCTTTGAGGGTCCCGACCTAGCGGCATTGAGTCCAAACGCAAGCGCGGGCATTGCAACCGGCTTCACAGACAGACTGATCGAGTAAACGGGAAAGGAATGGCATCGACTACGAGTCCCACGTATTCCGCCGTTTCGGTGCTTTGGGAGATTAATGCTCCCCCAGATACGGTAGAGCAAACATAGATTTGCGCTAAGATAAGATAAGATGGGGCTCGACTTGCTCTTGCATCAACTTCTTGCCTACAACAAGCTGAGCCGGCAAGGTGTCGATATCACCATATTTCCGCCCTCATACCCTACTCTTTGCCTATGGAAGGCACTTGACGTCTCACCGGCTTCTGTCCTTCTTGCACAACGACCATATCGAAAGCACCATGTCTTACTATTTTGTCATCATCTCTCCGACGGACACACCGGTCTTCGAACTGACGTTTGGCACGTCAAAGGCCGGCGGCGATGGTGTTGCCCGCTTTCGAAACGCCGAAACCTCACGGTACATGAACCAATTCATCGTCCATGCCGCTCTGGACGTGGTCGAAGAAGTCCAGTGGCTTCAGCCAAACATGTGGCTCAAGGTCATCGACAACTACGCGCCGACCAATTCCCACATCAGCTGTTTCATCACGGGCACCAACGTCCGATTCATGCTTCTCCATCAACCCTCGACGACAAACGCATCCGCCGGAAGTAGGACGTCCACCATCTCGTCGACGTCGATCCCTCAGAACCCGACCAGCCCGCAAACGGAGGAAGCCATCCGGCAGTTCATGAACGAAGTCTTCGAACTATGGGTGAAGACTTTGATGAACCCGTTCTACACGGTCGGCAACCAGATCAAGAGTCCGATTTTCCGCCAACGAGTCACCGCTGCCGGCAAGAAGTGGCTATAACGGGCTGTGCGGTCTTTATACTGGAGTTTGTCTTTGTTTGTTTGCAGACATGGCAAACTGATGATTGTGACAAAGCCGAACGTTAAGACCGTAGCCGTGCTTCGACCACGCGATTACTCTTTTTGCTTATCTGCATGGGCTGCGCTCCGACCACAAACACTTATGCTCGAATTACGTGGTCAAAAACGACGAGTTTTGATGCCGAGAAAACAACTCACATTCCAGTCCTATGAGCCACGCCGCGCCACGCCGCGTTGAGATTTAGACATTTGCTCGAAGCACGAGTGATCCTGAAGGAGAACAAGGAGAAGCTTAAAGCAACATCTGACACAAATTCATGTGAGTCGGTCTCGATCCTGTGATCGCCCTCTGGGCCATTCGCTGACAGTCTACTCGTAATCCCAGAGGAGCGATCGCAACGACAGTACACTTAAACCCTCCGGAAGGACACGCTCGGCCACAAAGGATCGAAATGGCACCGATACGCGACTTGGCCTTACGCGCCCATCACCAGAGTGTGCCGAGGTCATCTGCCAATTACCTCGACTGGCCACTGTGGGCACAAATATTGATCGTCGTCGTGGGCATCACATTCTGGATCCCGGTCTATTTCCTTGTCCAGCTGCTGAAGGAGTTCTCATGTCTGCAAAGGTGGCGGGACAGACGAGCCTAGGTGGAATCCACACGTCCCTCCTGGCTCGCGGTTGGAGTATCGATATCAAAAGAGCCCGCTGACTGGTCAAATCTTGAGAGCTGTAGCGTTGTAGCATCTGGCGGTCACTGTCAGAGGCGGGAATTGAATGTCATGTCAGCAGGGTTCTCATCCATATCATTGTCCGCAAGAATATACCTCTAACATACAGCCATGGGGCTGAGCCCACGCCGCCGCTGCCAGCACCACCACCGTGAGCTAGAAACACAGCGTCCTGAGAGAGAGAGCGGGAGACTAAAAGAGAGTTACAGTACAAAGACGGTGAACATCAGCGTCAGTATTGCACGCCGTTTAGACACGTGACAAAGACTGATTTGATTGCATGTTGGACCGCCATTTGCCTATTAATTATCCCTATCCCGACAACAGGTACAATCGGTTGTGGGCTTGTATCAGGACCCTCTTCACATATCATAAAGGTACAATCGGTTGTGGGTTGTGTTAAGACCCTCTTCACGTATCATAAAGGTACAATTGACTGTGGTTTGTATTAGGGCCCTCTTCACCTATTATAGAGGTCCAACCAAGGCACGACCGGCCCACCACAGGTGTTGTTGATGTTGTAGACAGGCATTGCCTACTTAGGACGTACTTTCACGCAAAGACAGATCCACAGTCCTGGCAGGACACAGGACACGCCTTGAAAACTATAGTAGATACCTAGGTTGAGATTTCATCTAGGGAGACTTCTCAGGCATCGCAAGGTCCACGAGAGGCGTCGTCTGTAATGGCAATAGTATGTAGAGCTGTTCGGCGTATCCTTGTACTATCAATAGACAAGTCGCAGTGGTCTTGTAGAGCGGTAAGGACAATGCAAGCCTCTGTCGACGCCGACATCGATTTATAACGACACGAACAACGACGTCGTCATCGCGGTACAAGGCCCAACGGCGCCACTGGTGACAATAAGGGGAGCATCGCGACGCTCAGGGACAGGTGCGCCATCCTGCCGCCCCCCTTCTTTTTCTTTGGCCTAAATCTTGCCTTTGACTCCGGCTACCTCTTCTTCAAATAATCTGTTCGTCACGATCCCTCCTTCCTTACTCTCCACTGGTATCGATGGAGATGACTAGCGGCTCAGCGACAATGAAGGCCTGCTGGCGGCAAGCACCTCATGGCAAAGGATATGGGTTCTTCGTAAGTAGCGACCTAGCCTTCTGCGTCCTGAAGGCGTGGGCGTTGGCTAACGAAGTCACAGGCGTCTCAGGACTTCAACGCTGGTGAAAAGATCTTCCTTGAACCTGGCTTCGGCGTCGTCCCAGAGTCACCACAAGACTTCAGCCCACCATTCCCCGGTCCAGATCGCGTTGGAAGCGGGACCTTCGCCACCATCTGCTTCCACATCACCGAAGAGATGTATCGAGTGTACCACTTGATGACAGACCCTGAACTTTCGCGCGGAAGCTTAAACTGCACCATCCAAGAGGCGGAATTCCTCTTCACTCGCCCCGACCGGACACCCCTCTATGATCACATCGTGGAGGCGGCCTCCTTGCGAATGCGGAGCCTGGATGACACCACAATCTCCAAGAGCATAGTCCGGATGGCGGTAAGATTCTTTTCTGACGCTGGCGAGTACAAAGTGTACATGGACGACGTCGACGACAACAGCACCGGATTCGGACTCATGACGGGCTCCATCAACCATTCCTGTCAACCCAACGCGGAGCTGTACGTCTCTTGCGACCTAAAGCAGTCAGCTCCGTTTAAGCAGGTCGGCTGGTACCGCATGCAGTCTCCTCGCTATTCAATGCTGCTCCAGGCCACCAGAGGCATCAAGGCCGGTGAAGAGATCACCATCTCGTACGACCGTGCGAGTGACCATTTCCCGGAAAGTCGAGAATCTCGTCTCGAAGACATCAAGAGAACGTACGGCTTCGATTGCCGCTGCGACGCCTGCATTCGTGAGGAAAATGACCCTCTGATCATGCGGTTGAAGGATGATGTCTTGAGATTGCTGAATGACTTCGAAGACTATGAGGAGATTCCGGCGCCCAAGATGTACCGTCGGGCCGCATACATCCTGGACGCACTTGCAGAACTTGGGGTGGACGATTGCACTGTCAAATCAATTTGGGACATGTGCGCCGAAAGAGCCTGGTCGTCCTGTGACATGATCCGAGTACACTGGTTTGCCACCAAGGCATTACAACATGGCCAAAACATGTATGGTGGACCGGCAGGACTTGAACGACGAGAGATGCTTCAAGCATACGTGATGCTGGGGCGATCCAGAATCAACGCAGGTCTCGGCAACCCCGACATTCAAGGCTATACCACGATCCCAACAGATGGGTATGACGTGAAACAAGCAGATCTGGAAGAACTGATGTTCGCCTTGCAGCACACCAACGCCGAAATGTACTACCCCTGCCTGCAACTGGTCGAAGGGAAAGTTCAAGAGATCAGCAGAAACGTCAACCGCAGACGACTGGCTAGAATCGAGGCTGAGCGAAGGAAGGGACAGGAGGAAATCAGAGCTGGCAAAGTCGCCGAGCAGGAAGAAGAGAAGCTGTACAACAAGGGCGTCGATGAAGTCATGTCGATGCTGGAAGAGTCGCCCACGGAGCCCAACAGGAAGAAGAGGGAGAAGAGGAGAGGGAGGAGGGGGAGGGGGAAGAAGGCGGCCAAAGTGGCACAGGAAGGCACGAAGACGTCCACGGCGTCAACCTCCAAAGTGTCTTCGGAGGGCTGCTCGGAGTCGACGGCTGGCTTCCACTCACGATTTACCGCTGAAGGGGGTGATCCCGAGGGCGTTTCCAAGCAAGAATGGCATGCAAATGCCATGAGCATAGACGCTATGCGCGTCAACAAGGCACGCGATATCGGGCACCTGCTAGCGGCTAAGGATGGCTATGCCATCAACAACGAGAGCTACATCCTCAGCACTCGTCGGGATTCAGTGTGCGGTCGTGTTGAAGGCCAGCGCGAGCTGGTGGAGTTGGGAGCCAGGGCGTTGCGTCGGGAGAGGACACATTCATTTGGGAATGACCAGGGGCGGAGGGATATGTTGAAGCTGGCGGACGTGCGAGAGAGCAAGGAGTTTTGAGGTCCCGCTTGCTGGCGGGGTGGTCTTATGGTTTCTTCTGTAGAACAATGAGATGAGATGGAAGATGAAGATGGTGAACAGACGCGAAGTTCGGATAATCTTTACATGGCGTGTCCTGATCCGATGTTTAGCCGTCAAATGCGCTTCCAACGACAAGGGTTGGTACGGAGGATCGTAAGGGTCGTCAACTACGGAGGATCGTTAGTGACATCAACTCCACCGACAGTAACTCATTGCTTTCCACTCGACATTAACTAGTATTGTTTATCTCTGCGACATCACCAGTATCGTTGTCTATGAATATCGACCAGCATCGCTATCCGTTGTGACAGCAACTAGCATTAGGGTCCGGTGGCAGGATATCCTACAAGAAGTTACCACCATTAATACCACCAGTACGCTCTCTTAGCAACAGAACAGCTACAGCTACAGGCAGTCGTCACCACCAGTCCATCGATACTAATTGTTGGAGACACGGTGATTGAGGCGATATACATAAGTTGTCGTCGTTCCCTGTCACCATCAGCGACATAGACCCGACGGTCCCCCTACTAAGGCGTCTTCCCGGACAGAGTATTCAAGGACATAGTACTGGCATCCTGCCCTTCTGTGCTGTCGTCACAACGACCACCTCGACATCCTATCTGTCTGTCCTGTCACGGGCGTCGACTATCCACAAATCAGCGGATTCTAATTTGAACCATAAAGGCTGAATATCCACTGGGGTTACCTGCACTATCTATACTGCGACGTCAAAACCCCCAGCTCAACGTCCCTCGTCTGGCGTGAGCGCGGGAGCAAGGTTGTCTACTTAGTTGGTTAGCCCGCCATTCTTCGAGCTTGAACCGGGTTGGAGCTAAACAACGACATCACCTATTCAACCGCGGGCATTATCCCGAGTGCTCAGGACAACACACAGTCGTGTTGAAGGTGTCACATTGAGTCGAAGCGGATTCATCTCAGACTGGGCGCTATCGACAAACAATCACACGGTCTACATCTACCATCACCACGAACGGTGCTCTGACATCTGAACCTCCTTCTCTCACTCTCTCTTTCTCGCACCCACCAGACGTAACAAAATGTCCCACTCCAAGCGCAACACCTCCCTCGCGTACTTCACCTCTCATGAGCGCTCACTCCTCCGCTCAACATGGGGCACACAATCCACGCGCCTCACGCGCGAGAGTTTCCTCCCCTTTGGATTCTGTCGATTATGCCTATCTTACGCGCGCGATCCCGTATGTTGTTCGGGCGTTGGCGGTGGTGGGAGCGAAATCAAGTCGAACACCGAGAAAGACAAATCCAATCCCAGACCCCAAGTCCACCTATTTTGCCGCGAATGCGCCCTCAACGACATGATATCCCAGCGGCGAGAAATTCGGCGTCTCGAACGTGAAACCCAGCTTCGAGAGCGCGAAGCCCTCGAAGCACAGGCTATGGAGGCGGAACAGCGACAACAGAAGGAACTCCAGCGCTTTGAGCGGAACGAACTGGGGTTTGAGGATGAGGCGGCGGCGAAAAAGAACAAGAGGAAGAGGGGAGCGCACGACGCGGACGATGGCGACGACGACGACGACGACGACGATGATGACCACCATGGGAATGCATCAAGAACTCAAGACAAAAGTAACAGCAGTAGTTTCTGGATCCCCAGCGTCGCCACTGCTACGGCCGCGACGAACTCGAACTCGAAATCTTCCCTTAAAACCTCAAAGCCCAAGAAAGTCCATCCTATATGTCCGGCCTCAACGCCACACACGCAGCATACATACTCCCTAAAATCGCTCATCTCCGTAACGTTCAGTCTCAGCGACTCCGATGCTCGGGGAACGCGTACCGGTGGCGAGGGCAGCCCAGCGGACCAGGACCACGACCAAACAAGCAGAATATGTCCCTCGTGTAAGAAGGTGTTGACGAATACTTCGCGCCCTGTGCTCGGCACGGCGGAGCAGTGCGGACACGTCATTTGTGGGAGTTGTGCGGATTTGTTATTCCAGACACGTCAGGGTGCGGGCAGTGCTGCGGACGACAGAAAGCCCACGCCCGCGCCGAGAACCGTCATCAGGTGCTTCGTATGTGATGCGGATTTGAGCGGCATGGATGATGGAGGAGATGGAGAAGGAGAAGACGAAGACGAAGACACCACCGATGGGAAGCACAAGCACAGGCATAAGAACGCCAAACTCAACCACCACACGCATACGGACAAAGCCAAAGAGAAAGAGAGAGAGAAAGATGATGCCAAAGCCGAAACCAAAACCAAAACCAAAACCAAAACCAAAACCAAAACCAAAACCAGACCACACAGACAAGGCAGACTCGTCGAAATCAGCTGCGAGGGAACGGGCTTCGCGGCGGGCGGAGGCTCTAGCATGGCGAGGCGTGAAGGCGTGGCTTTTCGGTGTTGATTGCTGGGAGTGTAGGGAAGGGAGTGTGGCGGGGAGTGTAGGGAAGGAGAGGATTGATCAAAGCAGCGGAATGCAATCATCAGTAACGGTGCGACCATGTACGGTATCAAGTAGACACCATACTGGTGCTGTCTTGATGGTAATGTGGTTGATTGTACGGAGTAAACTACCAGTCTATCCAAAGCACCAAAGCACCAAAGCACAACACCAGTGGCAAGCACCAGGTGCCACCCAGCAACGGGCAGTGGCGGGCATACCAGGCGCCGCCTGTCCTCACATACGGGGTGTCTGTGCGTTTGTGCGTATCTACGTATATAGTACGGTTACTGTACTCTGTACAATAAGCTACACCAGGCTGATCAGAGCTGGACAGCGTAACAGCGGAGGCTGCTCCATCTCGGAAAATACTTTATAGCCATCCTGATGGCAGGTTATATACACGCATACTCCGTACTTTGTACACACAAATAGATCGTGCACTCACAGACACGTAATATATAGGTTAAAGTCCTAGTTCGACAACACCACCATCTATATAGACATGCATATATACATATATACTTACATATAGAGCAGTACTCGGAATCTGCTGTATTCACGTCCAATGAATTCGAGGCAAGCCTTTTACTTGTGCTTGTGCTCAACGCACGCACCGGGTATCCCGCCTCTGTGACTCGCATCACACGCAAAAAATGACACCAAGCAATACTTAGGCAAGGCAAATAGAACACAGGCAATTAGAACAGAATGGATTCAATACGAAGCTGTGCCGCTCAATCGCTCGCTTGCCAAAATGATAGTGTCGATCAAGGATCAAAACGCGGGTAAACAATAAAACTCGAGACCAGACTCGACGTCGACATCGACATCGATCTTCGAGACAAAGAAATCCACAAGGCTCTCCCACACTCATCTCATCGTCCCATGAGCGTGGTCTAGCCTGCCTCTGTTCCCGCCGTCACGCATCTTCTGCCTCTGTTCGCTCCGTCACGCATCTCTGCTGGTCCCAGACTCACTACAAGTACCAACACCATTCATATCCATCAGCAGACACCTCTCGACAATGACCACTAGTCCGCTTTCTCCAATCCTTCTTCGCCCTCAAAGTCAACGCTGACATATTGGGTCTCGTCGTCGACGCGACTCAATATACTGGCCATCTTCTGATGATCCTCCAGAAAGTCTTCGCTCATTTCGTCAAGCTGTCGGATCTGCTCGTGAATGCCTGCCAGCTGTCCCGCCACGTTACGTGGTTTCTTATCAGTGGCAGTCGTGGTGTCGTCGTCGTCTTCACCGCTGCCGCCTCTCAGCGCAGGAGCGTCTTCGACAGGATTGGCCCATTTACTCGATTCCAATCCTGGCTTCGACGTCGCAGGTGATTGCGCGTTCATTGACTTTCTCTTGGGACTTTTGCTCTTCCGGCGAGGCTTGGGACTCGGCAGCGCAATGGCCTGAGTCTTCAACTGCTCCAGCTCTTTCCGCGCGGTCTCGGCCAGCGTCCGTTGTGTCTCGATCTCAAGCATTGCTCCTTCGAGCTCGACTTGGAGTGAACTGATGATCTTGTTTGCATCGGCCAGGCTTGCATTAGGGGCATCGGTATCCTTCGAATCTGGCTCTTTTTCATTCGCCTTCTCCATTGCATGTAGGCGCGTGAGGGCCGTCTCCAGCTGAACCTCGTACTCTGCTCTGGCTTCCCGAACGGCTTGCTCATGCTTAGCCTGCAGTGCCGAAAGCTCGTGCTGGGCGTCAAGGTACTTTCTGTTCAGCTCTTCGAGTTGTGATGGATCTAGGTGCGCGGCGGCTTCCTTTGCAGCCTCGAGCTCTCGCCTCATGATGGCCAGAGCGGATTCCCGTTCCTCGATGGCAGCAACCATCGCCTTGCTGTGCTGCTCTTCAAGCTCTTTGGTCCGCTCGAGCTGCTGCGCATGAGCCTCCTTTGCGGCGCCAAGCTCTTTTCTTATCGCTGCCAGGGCGGATGCATTCTCCTCGATTGCGAGATCAACTGCTTCATGTTGCTTTTGCTCCAGTTCCTTGGCTCGCTCCAGGTGCTGTGTGGCAAGGGTTTCCGCTTCGGTGAGCTGTTGCTTCAGGGTGGCCAAAGTGGATTCCCGCTCCTGGTCCGCCTCCGCGTGTTTCATTTCTAGCTTCTGCGCCTGCTCGTGGGCCTGAGCCAGCTGTTTCCGAAGTAGGTCCAGCTCGGTCGACGATTGGCCGGCTTCGGCAGCCTCGCGCACCTCCTGTAGCTCCGCAAGGAGTTTGCCTAATGCCGCGTCGTGCTCCAATTCGAGCTTCTGCACCGCTTGCTCGTGATCCGTTTGCGCTTTGCTCAAGCGGGAACTAGCGGCCGCATTCTGCTCCTCCAGTTGGTCGACCTGAGACTTCCACTGGCTCTCGAGGGTCTTCATAACCTCATCCAATTGCGCATCGTGGGTTTCCTTCAGCTTCTTTTCCAGTTCTTCCACCTCCAACTTGGCGGCCGATCGAGTCGACTCGATGCTTTTCGCGTGATCTTCTTGCATCTGCTCGACCGCCCGCTGGTGCTGTTGTTCCAGACTAGCCTGCAGTTCAGCCAGTGATTTCTCGTGTTCGGCGCGCAAGGCATCCAAGTCTTCTTGAACCTTGGCTTCCAAGGCGGTCTTCGCGGCCACAACTTGGTCATGTTGGAACTGAATCTCGCTCATGCGAGCAAGCTTCATCACAGATGTCGACATGTCTGCTCTCAGTTTCTCGATTTCGTCATTGAGCTGCTCTTCCTTCTCTCGGCTGTCCTTCTCTGTGTCTTGAATGATACTCTTCATCATCTGAGTTTGCGCTCTTGCACCTTGAAGGTCCTGTTGGATCGAGTTCAGCTGTGATTCTAGCTGACGCTTCTCCTCCGCGAGACTCGAGCGTAGCTCCTCCAGAGCCTCTTCCCGGCTTGACTCGGCTTTGCTCTCCATGTCTTGAAGTTGTTTGGCTTGCTCTTCCTTCAAGGCGTTGATTGTCTCGGCATGACGGGATGATATCTCATCTTCCACCAGTTTCAGTTGCTCGGCATGCTCAGCCTTGACCGTCTCCATGGAGTCATCGGAGAGTTTCAACTGATCCTCCAGACCCTGGATTGCTGCGGCATGAGACTCTTTCAACGAGTTCAAAGAGACTTCGTGCTCGGAGGTTCGTTGTTTCTCCAGATCTTCTAGTTGCGAGCTATGACTCGCTCTGAGTTCTGCTATATCCGCCTGTGCCGCATGAAGCTGTTGCTCGAGGTCCCGCACTCTCTCAATGTGGATCTTCTCCGCTTCTTCAACGGCTCTCTGCTGCGACTCAGCCGCCTCGGCCTTGATGCGATCGACCTGTTCAAAGTGACCGGCTTCGATGAGCCCGAGGTCTTTGAGCGACGCATTCATCTGGTCCTCCAATTGCTTGATCTGAGCTGCATGTGTCTTTTTGAGGGACGAAACCTCCTGTTGTGACGCCTGAAGCCTCTCCTCAAGCTGCCGAATTTGCTCGCCATGGCCGTTCTTCAGAGCATCAAGTTCTTCGTCGTTCTTTGACTGTAACTTCGACTGGAGATCCGCCACCTCCTTGGCATGAGCAGCTTTCAGTGCGGTGATCTCCTCTTCATGCTTTGACTGGATTCCAGAGTGGATATCAGCAAGCTCCTTTCCATGGGAAGCCTTCAGCGCAGCGAGCTCTTCCTCAGCAGATTTACTACGAGCCTCATGGTCTTTCAGGATCGTTTCGTGGTTCGATGTGGCCTCGAGAAGAGCACTCTTCGCTGCATCCAATTGGCTTTGTAGACCGGCGAGAGCTCCCTCGTGCTCTGATGCCTTGGTCACTGCTTCATCCTGTATCTTTTGGAGCTGTGCCTCGAGGTCTTGGATCCTGCTCGAATTCGAACTCTTGGCAGCCTCAAGCTCGGCGTTGGCAGCGGCAATGTCGGCTTCCGATTTCTTAAGCATGTCCTGCAATTTGGTATCGCCTGAATCTTGGGCTTTCTTCAGCTGGTCCTGGGCTTCGCTCAACTGTCGCTTGATAGCTTCTAACTGCTCAGCCTGGGTTTTCTCGACCCTTGCTAAAGAGGCTGCTGCTGTGGCAGCGGCATCGGCCTTTTCTTGTTGCAATGTTTTAATCTGCTCCTCAAGCTGTTTGATTGTCCTTGATTGCGCGTCATCCGCTTCTTTCTTTGCCTGCTCGAAACCCAAGACCTGATCCTTCAAGGATTGAATGACCTGCTTCTGACGAGATGCCTCTTTGTTGACCTTTGCAAGCTCCTCCTGCTTTTGGGTGATCTCCTTCTGCTTGGTGGCGACCTCGGTCTCCACCTGGTCCATCTTCCGCTGGCTTTCGGCCGATTGTGATTTGAGCTGGACTTCGAGGCTTCCGATCTTGGTCTCCAATGTGTTCTTCATTTCGCTGTAGCTGTCTGCCGCAGACGCTCGCTCGGCAGCTGTTTTGCGAAGTTCCTCCAAATCCAACTTCAACTGAGCGGCAACATCTTGGGATGCGGCAAGTTCTTGCGACAGCTGGCCTTTTTCAGACTCGTGTCCATCAGAAAGCTTTTGCAGGCGTTCTCGATGCGCATTCTCCAGCTCCTGGACTCTGGTCTCGTGGAGAGACCCTAATTCATCGATTTTGGCTGTGTGCTCCTTGCGAACTGCTTCGGTGGCTTCCTGCACACGACCGCTCTCCTCCGCTGCACTCTGAGTGGACACTTCCAGCTTGGCCTTCAGTTCCATCAATTCGGTCTGCAAAGCCTCAGCTTGGGCTCTGCTTTCAGCCAAGTCCTTCTGTAACTCGGTGACAGAGGCATCTTGAACTTCCTCAACCAAGCGGGCGTCGGCATCGTCATGAGGCTCAGGAATCGATCCTCCGGCGACAGATTGAATCTCTTCCAATTCTGCCGTTGTAGGCACTCGACCATGCTTCCGTTCGTAATCCCTGACCTTTGCCAAGTCTGACTTTAGTTTTGCGATTGTGGTGGCAGCCTCTTGATCCATGGAATGTTGCTCTTGTTCATCGGCACCATCAGCAGTCATGGCGGCTTGCAACATACTGTTGACGAGTTCAAACTCCCTGATACGTTGCTCGATTAAGACTGACCGGGTGGACTTTCTCGATCCCAACGCCGGACGGACGGGAACAGTCATGGGCTCTGTTTTAGACGTAGTGTTTTCCTTATTATCCTCCGACTCGGCGCCTGATTTGACCACGGGAGAGGCAGGTATTGTGCTTAGACGTTTCCTCTCCCCAACCGATGCGGCGCCGGTGGGCCTTGACGAGGGGACGAGAGGTCGAGTCCGAGCGGTAGTCGGTTTCGTCGCCGTCGTTGAGGGCTGGATGCTAGTTCGCCGCGCAGGGGTGGCAGCGACTGACTTTGTAGTAGTGGAGGCTCGATCAGAAGAGGTAGATGCCGCCAGCGACATCCGCTTGGGCTTCGCAGAAATGCCATCCTTTGTCTTTTCGTCGCCCGAAGGTTTCTCGTCTACCGTGCTGTCCGAGTCTCGTTTCTTGTGGGTAGTGGTGGTGGCAGGCTTGCGAACAGTGGACGAGGTGGTGCTGGGTCTCGCTGGCGGCTTGCTCAGCGAACTTCCGACAGCCGGTCTGGTCGCAGAAGAAGTCGTGGACGGCCGCGAGGTTGTGGGCAACCTAGGAGAAGCAGTCTTGGTCAATGGCCTCGTCGCGGGCTGCGCCGTTTTCGGCCTGACGGTTGTGGTCTCATCCTTCTTGTCCATGGCTGCGTGCTCAACAGGAAATCTGGCGAGAACAACGTAGCAGGAGAGGTGAAGGGAACGTGTTGAAGAATTGAGGGAGAGGTGTCAATCAGGCAAGGGCCGTGTCTCAGACCTGCTGGCCGGTGCTGGCATCGAGCGATTGGCAACGAAAAAATCGGGGAGCCGCGACGCGTTTATCGATGTGACCGTGCGAAGCGTGCCGGAGCGTGATATGGAGGTGTACCCAGTAAATGCCCGGGTCCGCCGTTAGGCAGGTTAGGGTCGCCCCGAGTGCCTAGGCTGCCTGTTTTGGGGGTTAGTGGTGGGACAAGGAGAGGCCGGTAGGCTAGGCTAGTGGTGGGCAGGTGTCTGTAGGCTTGGCTAGGGGTGCTAGGCACCTACGTAGTGTCCTGTAGCCCCGGTGCCCACACCATGAAGCCACCAGTGACGAGGCTAACATTTCCATCACAGACATTCTCATCCCTGGCTTCTTCCCCGAGATTATCGGTTTCAGCCTTTCGCTTCACTCGGTCCTGTTTTACATGGCTGCCTCAAAGTAACTACACAGCACGGAGGACATGCTACTCTGTACGGAGTACAGTAGTCGGGGTATCTCTGGTCTGCACAAGCATGGTGGTACATGTTGTGCTCAACTTCAACCTGGAACACTCTTCAACCAGTCCCACTCGCCGCTCATGTCCTGTTCAAGCTTGCTTGACATGATCTGCTTGCACCACTTAGCCTTGGCCACGAGCGTGTCCATGTCATATTTCCCCAGACACCGGCTATACTCGTTCATGATTTCTTCCCACCTTGACTCGCCCGTGAATTTCTGCAGCCCATTGGTGAGCGCCGTCAGTTCTCGGTCAGTCCATTCCGGCTCGTTGGGGGCAGGAATATCTTCTGTCGGTTCTCGACGAATATTTGGTCTCCTCCGTACAGCTGTGCCCTTGGTCTGGCGTAAATGGTGGTTCGGTGCCTCTGTTTCGTCGTTGGCAATGTCGTCGACGTCGACAACGTGGCCTTGTTCGCTGGGGGCGGATTGGTGCTCGAAGCCGGCGTTCTCATATTGATAATCACTCCTGGAGCGACTGTACTTGGTGCGAATCGAATCTCGCCATGTCCGATGCTGCTCTTCTAGCTGCATCGAACTCTGGATTGCTAGACGGTTGTGTTCATTCAGCCACCGCGACCTGCCACTTTCTACCAGAGCCTCATTGTAGCGCTTCTTGAGAGACTGGATAGGCTGCGCGATCTCGGATTTTGTCTTGCTCTTGACGCCACTTTCCAGCCCGGGTCTCGGAGTCCACTTGCTCGCGCTGTCTACCAATTTCTCTGTGATCTCCAGCAGCTGGCAGATTTTTCCGATGGCATATGCGCTGAGCCTGTTGTTCCGAAAGTAGCTCTTCAACGCCAATACTGACAGCTTTAGCGAACGGCGGATTAGATGTCCGTAAATGTCTCGAACCATTTTCTGTCTCTCTCTGTCAAAATGCATGTCCGGCCTGTAAGAATATCGGCATATCTCGTGGCAACGTTGTACCAGAACGCCCAGTTTATCCAACTCTTCGTCGCTTAGCTTCCTTTGGCGCTCAGGGTTTGCTGTATGCATCCCTTCGAACACAGCGGTCATCTCTTTGAACGAACGGTCACACGCTTTGCCAAGTGTGGATTGAACCTCTTTTGAGGCCCTGTCCTCTGCGACTTCAGTGGCACCGACCAGAGCGCTAGTCCAGAGCTCCTTACAACTATGGAGGTCTACAGCCTCTTCAGCGCCCGCCAGCTCTTTGTTGATTATTTCTTGGCGCCGCGCCTCGTCTTCGGCCGCTTGCCGCTCTGCAGCTCTGCGATCAGCTTCGGTATGGGGTCGCTGAGACTGAGGCCGCGCCTCAGAAGGTCGATGATGTTCCTCTCCCTGGTGAAATTCGGTCGATACAGTGTCGGGATTGGCATTCTTAGTCTGTCCGTAGTCCTCCGAATCTCCTCCTGTGTCGCCATTCTCTCTTCGCTCGTCGGGGAGTATCTCCTCCGCTGATTGGTCATCTTCTACTGTGCGATCTGTAGGTTGGCCATCTCGAGCAGCTCCGTCGAGAGGCTGGTGTCTCATTCCCGCCAGCCTGGCAGCCTCTGCTAGTGGATTGATCGCCCCTGTTGCTGGACGACGATGTTTCTCGATCCGGGTTTGCTGAAGATGGGATCGCTGAACAGCTTTATTGGGTTCCAGAGACTCCGGTAGAGGAGATGCATCCCTAGCTGCACTCGAGAACCGGCCACGAGGTCCACGACCCCTAGGAGGCTTCTCGGCGGGCCTGTCCGGATGTGCGGCATTCGGCGCAGCTTCTCCAAGTGGTTGTTCGTCGAGCTGGGAGGCCGGCGCATCATCCTCTCTCTCAGCAGCTCCAAAGATGTCGTCCTCATCGAGGTGTCCTGCGACAGCCGGGGAAGTTGACACGTTCTTTGGACGACGACCTTTTCTCTGCAAGGACTTGGCTATTTTTGCCAACTTCTCTGTCTCCTTAGGTGGTCTTCCACGGCGCTTCCTTGGTGAGTCATCTAGGTTGATTCTGGCGTTTGTGCGTGTTACCAGTTCCCCATGGCCCTTGAAAGGCGATGCTGTATTTTGAGGCAACGTCTTCTTCAGCAACCGCAGCTTTTTGACCGGTTCTGTCGATGCACGCGGTGCCTCCTCTCCATCATCTTCCGCCGGATATTCAAATAGATTTCGATTGTTGGGACGCATCGGCGCGGACAGCGACTTGCGGGCCTGTAGCCTGCCAGATTGGCGCCGTGGAGAAGTCGTTGTTACGGCCAGATGCTGGAGCTGAATCCGTTTTCTGGAGGGGCTCTCCACCGTAGCATCACCACTTGAAGTCCGCGTTCTCTTCTTAGAAGGTGGCCGAGCGGCGCCTGCGGCTTCCTCATTTAGGATTGCGGTAACATCTTCGGCGTCCTGCTCGTCAACTTCGACAGATCGATGCACGGCCGAGCTGCGCGTGAGTCGCCTCATGAATGGTACTGGAAGAGGACATGAAGATATGGAGGATTGAGTCCGGGGTACTATGGCTGGCGTGTCGTCGCGTTCAGTGCGTTGAATGCGTTGTGGGGGGGAACGAGGCTCTACGGCGCCGGATTCGCGGCGAGGACCCAAAGAGGCAAGTTAGACGTCATCGGCAAGGCTGGCGAACAGCCTCGTCAAAGACCGCACGGACCGTTGGCCCTTTTTCTGCCTCCTGTCTGCCACCATGATCTCTCCTTCTGCGCCAGAGTGATCTCCGCTCTCTAAATTGTAGTTTAGATCTCGTTCTACGGAAGCGACTGCGTCGAAGCAACGCGACCATGGCGAGTTTCCCGAGTCTGCAGAAAATCCCCGATATCACAACTCATCACTTCGAGAAACCAGTCAAGAAGATATACGATGGGCCGGACGTCTCTTTCTTTCTCACTTCTCTCGCCTACGGCGATATCATGACATATATGCTTCAATTAAACAGATCAGTGGTGCCACGCAAAGGCCACGTCGGCGAAGCAGCCACAACCTCAACCTGGGTCTTGAACGCCGAGGACATCACCTTTTCAGACGCAGTTTCTAGATTACGTGCTTTACTGGACAAACTATCGCGCATTGTTGATGATGTCCCGCCAGACACAGGACCCACTAGATTCGGCAACGTCAGCTTCCGCAAGTGGTACAAGATTGTTGAAGACAGGATCGACGAACTGCTGGCCGATGTTCTACCCGAACAGATAAAGCCAGCGTCAGAGGAAATTGCAGCGTATTTGCTGGGCTCGTTCGGTAGCGCACAGAGGCTCGACTATGGCACAGGTCATGAGCTCAGCTTCCTCGCTTTTTTGGCGTGCCTGTGGAAACTGGACTTCTTTCCCCCATCGGAATCCGGCGTGGAGGAAAGAGGCATCGTCCTTGGCGTTTTCGAACAGTATCTCTCTGTCATCCGCAAACTCATCAAGGTCTACAACCTGGAACCGGCCGGGTCGCATGGTGTATGGGGTCTAGACGACAATTCGTTTCTCCCGTACATCTTCGGCTCGGCTCAACTATGTCCCGCCATTGATGAGACCGACGAGACGCCTATAGAAGGGTCCCTCGTCAACGCGCCCGAACCGTCCTCGGTAACCAAGCAGAACCTGGTGGACAAGGAGAAAGGCTCAAATATGTACTTCTCTGCCATCGCCTTCATCTACGACGTCAAGAAGGGCCCGTTTTGGGAACATAGCCCCATGCTCTACGACATATCCGGCATCAAGGATGGCTGGGGCAAGATCAACAAAGGCATGATCAAGATGTACAACGCCGAAGTGCTGTCCAAGTTTCCCGTGGTCCAGCACTTCCCCTTTGGGTCTCTCTTCAAGTGGGAAAAAGATCCTCAAGCAAAAGACCTGCCGCCCTCGACGCACACTCAGAGCCAACCACTTCGGAACCCAACCGACACTCATGCGCCGAGCACGATGCGGCCGGGCGGTCCGCCGATCGGCACTACCGCTGCTCCTTGGGCTGCTAAGCCTCCAGCTGCCCCAATTGGGTTTGCCAACGGAGTCACGCAAGCGCCGTGGGCAAGTCGAACTCCAGCACCACCCCTACCTCGAGGGGGCTTTGCAGCGGCACGAAGACAGCCGATGCCTTCCGTGAATGAGTCTGGCACAAAGCCGACCCAACAGTCTTTAGATGAGCAGAAATGAGCACATGCTAGGAGGAGCAGAACCGAGGTGTAGGATTATGATAATGAAAACTCTGCTATGATGATGAACATAGTCTTGGGCCCGTTCCGGGGCAAACGCAGCCTTTGTTCAGAAGGACCGTACTCAAGCGCGTACGAAGTACCGATGATTGTGTACTGTACTCCGTACTCCGTATTGATACTGGTATCGCTTCATGCTGGCGGAGTGGCCGCGTGCCCGTAGCGACGCAGCCACAGCGCGGAGGTGGCGGGTGAGTGGCGCATCACCAGCGCGGCGGCTTAAGTAACGCATTAGTCATCCACAAAAATCCCCACCATTCGGGTATCCAACGAGGACTGCGAACTACTCGAAATTCTGGCGCACAGGAACATTGTGATCACGAGCCACAGCACCAACACTCTACAGTACACAAGACACAGTGTAACCAGGCGAATACCGCTGTATCTTCGCCACTGCCTCGATCCTTGCATACCCTCTCCTCGCCCTTCAGGGCCTGCGCACCCAATAACCTTCCCACAAGAAATGTATTTAGCGCGCCCCCCAATCCTCACGGACGGCACCTCCCAAGCAACTCCGGGCCAGACTGATCTGTAGAGTCTAGAGACTACAGTCCAGGATCTACAAGTGGCTACCATAAATACATTCCACCCCCATCGAACTCTCCTAGCTGTTCACCCGTCCCTTGTCCCCCTTCTCAGACTGCGCGAGCCGCCACCGCTGGTGCCACCACCAACGCCAAAATGCAAGGCTTCAACATGGGCCGCTACGTCCCGCCGGACCTCGAAGGCCGCGTGTCCGCCAACGCGGCCTCGGGCAAGGGCCACGCGCTCGGTTCCCGTGCCCGCAAGCTCAAGTCAGAGGGCGTCCTGACCGTGCGGTTCGAATGCCCGTTCCCCATCTGGTGCACGACATGCCAGCCCGAGGAAATCATCGCGCAAGGAGTACGGTTCAACGCGGAGAAGAAGAAAGTGGGTGCCTATTTCAGCACCCCCATCTGGGAGTTCCGGTTCAAACATACCGTGTGCGGCGGGTGGGTGGGCGTGCGGACGGATCCGAAGAACGCGGAATATGTGGTCACAGAGGGGGGACGACGGCGCGATTTCGGCACAGACGAGGGTGGGATACGCGTCGACGCATTCGGGTCTAGCGCGGTCACGGAGGAGCAGAAAGACAGACTCGAAAAGGACGGCGGGTTCGGGGCCGTGGAGAAGAAGGTCGCGGACAGGACGGCGGCAGAGACGCAGAAGGCCAGGCTGGAGGAGTTGATGCGAGTCAGTCAGCGGGACTGGGGCGATCCGTACGAAAAGAGCAGGATGGTGAGGAGAGGGTTTCGCATCGGCAGGAGGAAGAGGCAGGCGGACGAGAGGACGGGCGAGGCGTTGAAGGATAAATTCGGCTTGGCCGTCGACATGGAGATGTTGCCCGAGAGGGAGGAGGATAACGAGAGGGTCAAGTTCTTGGAGTTTGGCGAGCAGAGCGGTGGGCAGGAAACTCTGAGCTCGACCAAGCCGTTGTTTCGTCCGAATCCTACTGCCGCTGCTGCTACTACTGCTACTGCTAGTGCCGGCGGCTCCTCGAATACTATGTCGAGCTCTGGCAAGATGAAGGCAAAAGTGGACAAAAAGGAGATGTTGGGCACCGCATTAAGAGGCAACTCTAGGATTGCGGTTGATCCATTCTTGCGCGACGAGAATCTTTGGCAACCGAGAGTGAAACGGAAAAGAGAGGATGGACAACCTGAGCCGGAACTGGAGAGGAAACCCGCCCCTGTTGACAGCAGGACCAGCATGGCGTTGGTTGGTTATGACTCGGATTCAACATGATACCCCGGACGTCAACGTCCATGCACTGTATGACTTTACGGATAGTACTCGTGTATGAGCTTTTACACCCAAGATATCTGCCCCCGAGTTCTATATTGTTCGAGTGCGCTTTGAGCTCCTCCCGTGGCGTGACATCATGTAGACCCTTAATAGGCTTCCTGTGTCCTGGGCTTCCCTAGGTCATGTTGCAAATGCACCCTCGAAGCAACCAGCAGTTAGTCCATCTCTCCCAGGCTATTCAACAACCACTCAGGCTCAGCATCGTCTTCCTCGGGGTCATGCGAGAGGAGGGACCCCGGCGTCGGAGCCGAGACAGGACTCCCTCCATGTGAAGCCTCGTTCTGGTTCAGGCTCAGGTTCAGTGTACCCTCGTCCGGTTTAGCAGGAGGCGGACGCGGAAGCGACTGTGCGGTCGATGGACCGGCGTCAGTTGGATGACCCGTGGCCGCTTCAGTATTTTCGGCATCTCCAGCGTCCCGGTATTCATGGCGCATGTTGTTGGATTCAGGGCCTCCCAGAGTGGCAGACGCGGTCGCATGGTCCGCAGCGGCGGCGGCGTCGTTGGCCGAGGCCGCGCCCGTTTCCGGACCGAGTAGAAAGCCCCCTGCTTGTTCCTCGCCAGTCGTGCTTGCTTGAGCATGCGCTTTGGATGCTTCGGTCTCAGCCACGAAGCCACCACCTACTTCATCCGTGTCGTCTGGCAGAAATCCGCCACCTTCATTGTCGTCCTCAACCTTGTCCTTGCGGCCAGATCCGCCGCTCTCTGCATTGGCGGCCGCTCCGGAATTTAACTTCTCTGCCGCGAGGATTGTGGGATGGTTATTGTCGAACATGAAACCCCCACCGTCGGCCACGTCCGACCTGTTTTCTTGATAATTACTCTGCTGCATTGGTGGCTCTTGGGCTGGCGGCTGTGGGAGCTTATGGGGAGACCGAACAACAATAACCTCTTGATGCACCACTTCTGGCGGAAGCTCGAGAGGTCTCAGATTGGGCATCTTGGAAGGGGTCAGTGCCGTGGTAGCGCCCTCGTCGCTCTCATCGGGTTCAGCTCCTTCGAGCATGAACCCACCGCCGTCGTCTTCCGGCCTATAGGTAATGTCGTCTTCGTCATCGTCGTCGACCAAGAGGCCTTTGCCTTTTGTACCTTCTTCCCGATCCCCATATTGGTGCTGCACATGCTCTCGTACACGTAGTGCAGTGAGCCAGCGTTTCCACATCGCTAGAAGGATTTTAGATCGTGCCTCTTCGGCTTCTTCTGATGCCTGCGACTCCAATGCTTCAATCACGGTGATCATTGCATTTGTCATGTTCATGGCGACGACTACGCCGTCGATGACGGCCGTGCCTTGTCGACCCTTGAATTGAAAACCTGTCACAGCATCCGCGTAGTCAATCCCAAGAATCCGGGCTGCTTTCGCGGCAAGAGCATGTCGAATGTGGACCGCCCCTGCTGGAATCATCGACGCCACGTAGACGTCGAGGTTACCGTAGGCATTCCTCGGTACTTTGCCGTTGACAACGGGTGGTGGCTCGTACAAGCTAGTCTGGAACTCCGCGTATAGAGCCGTGCCGCTGGCGGCATCTTCGTTGTCATCAAAGTCATCTGTAACCGGCGTCTGTTTCCGTCTGGGAACAGCCCGGTTCAGCGGCTGCTCCCCTTGGTTGACATCTCTTCCCCGTCGGTACCAAGCATCTGCCGTTCGGCAGACGTGGACGTCTCGTCGGCGAAATACGCTGACGAGCTTGGCGTCCTTTCCGTACCCTATCTTGACTTTCCCGGACTCACGTCTCGGGTGGATGACTTCGTTCTTGCGCAAATGCCGCTCCAAAACGTAGACTGAATGACCTCGGAAATCTTCAATGTTATTGGGCATGGGTTCGCTTTCGGCGCGCGTCTGTAGAAACGCATCCTCAATGTCATCTCGAGCTTCTCGAAAGGGCTTCTCAAAAATTCGCATAGTCTTATCCCACCATTTCTCGCCTCCCGGGGTGCTTTCGACCCGCTGTTTGCGGATCTTTGAACTGTAGAATTGAGTGTACCGTCTGCTTACGTCCTTTGCCGAGCCATCGTCTTCGAATGCAATCACGTATGTCATCTTGTTGTAGTTGTCATTGGCGTAAGGTTCAAAGCCCGTCTTCGGCTTGTTGATCGTTTGACGGACGATAGGATCCAGAGGGATCCATGTCTGTATAGCCGGAGAGAAAACCTCGACCCAAAAGATCGGAAACATTGACTCTGAAAACACTTTTCGCCTTTGTGCGCTTGTGCCGGATGTTGAGCCGTAGTCTTGAGGAGGCGCACGAATATATTCTGCCTTGGGCTTCTGCGGCGTCTGCCCTTTTGCAACCCTTGAAAAAGGCAAGACTTGCAAAGAGCACACCAAGCGGGCGTCAAGAGCAAGAGATCGAAGCAAGGCACAGAACAACTGAGCAGCTAGATCTCTCGACCCACGTTTTGAAATCGCAGCAGCCTTGAAGTCATCGAAGTCGAGGTCCTCGGCGTCATCGCTTTCCTTGACGGCGTCGACATCATCTCTCCAATAAGCACGTGTCATCCCCCGTCCGTCCATTATCCACAAGTTTTTCCATATGGAGAAGACTTCTTCAATTCCTTTCATGAAGGACTGGTTTCGCTCATATTGAGTCTTCCGTTCATCCACGTGAAGTAACGATGTAGTTTTCCGCTGGACAAGGGGCTTCAAAATGGCTTGTACTGTCTCGCTATTGCACCATTGATTTCGACATTTGAGATTCGCTAATAACATGACGAGATGTGTTTTATGCACATCTAAACGAAGCCGCTTTTCTGCAGCACTTACAGGCTTCCGTTTTGGTGTAGCACGTGTAGGCGTGGAGATTTTGGAAAGGTTGAGCTCGAGAGGCTTCTCGTCTGGTTCATCATCGTATTCAGCTTCTCCTCCAACGGGCTCGAGGTTGACATCCTCGAATTCGGGATCTGACTCGGTCGCAGTATCGAACTCAGTGAGGGTGACCTGTTGGAGCCGTGCAGATTCGGACTCCACAGGCGCGGGAATTCCATCATCAGCAGGTCCACTGAATAGATTGACATCAAGCTCAATCTTGCTCGAGGGCTCCTCGCTTGTCTTGCGGCGCTTTGATGGTCTCGGGGTCGAAGTTGCGGCATGTTCCTCCGCAAGAGCCTCGGCGAGCATGTCGCTATAGACGCCTCCGATCTCATCTTCGGCCCTGCCACGACGGTGTTCAGGTCTGCCTGCAATCTGGGTTGGTCTTTGTTTGATCGGCTTTGATGTTGATGCAGCAGCATGTTCCTCCTCGGCTGCTTCGGCGAGCAATTCGTCGTATACGTCTGGAACATCATTTTTGGCTTTGCCACGCTGACTAGTTGGCTGACGCGCTGTCCGAGTCAGTTGTTTTGCTGTGCGTTTTCTGGGCGGCATTGAATCCGACAGCTGTCGGGACTGGTCACAGCATGTCACTTCTACTCCCAATGCCGATTTGCACCGTCCCTGCCGTTATCATAACGGCAAAATGGTCGCCGGTGACTTCATCAGTGACTTGGAGAGTTCGATGGAGAAGCTGGAGGGCAATCGCTTTTCGGGGAGAGATTGGCCCAGCACCGTTCACGATGCGACAGAACGATAAGAGAGATGGTCTGCAATAAAGGGATGTTCACGATGTTGTAGCCTGGTGGGTCCCAGGTCACATGACGTCATAAAATTGCCATCACGTGATCCTATCATCGGTAGGCACAACTTCCTGCACGACGAGTACGAGTACGTGGCACCGACGCCTAGACCTTTCGAACACAGGCTCAAAATCGCGGGAAGATAGTTCTGATCGATTGACGCAGCCTGAGATAACTTTATGGCTCCCAAAAAGGGAAAGAAGGGCCGATACGTACACCGTAGCGAAACACCGGAACTATGTCTTTAGGGAGTTCTGCGATCTGATGAGTGTCTGAGACGAGCTCAAAAAGTAGCATCAACTACTTTAGCGAAGCGGAGGTAGTGAAGGGTGAAGAACTCAGTGAAGGGGAGCCAATATCTGATAGATAGTGAAATTTCCGCCCACCGGCACACCCCCCACCAACATCCCCCCTCTACACACCAAAAAGAGCTCCCCCCTGCTACAGGGCTATAGGGGCCTTCGGGCTGAACTGGGAATTGAACCCAGGACCTCTTACATTCAAGGAAGGACCCAAAGCAAGAATTATACCACTAAACCATTCAGCCAACAGACGAGGCCGCCTGTGCGGACAATTTGACAGAGATTTTGAAACAAACATTATATATGGGGCACTAATTTTGTGGGGCTTCGGGCCCGGCTAAAGTTCCCCAAATTGATGGGAACTTCGTTGTGGCGGCAGTTTGCGGCGAAATCTCCAAGAATTCTTCTCACAGCGAGCAAAAAGTTCGTAGGACTTGTATATGGCCTAGTTAGCTAGTCTTGCTTTGGGCATCTTGTATCTCGCATTCACAGGGACAATACAATATGGGAAGCCTGAAGACTCATGCGGCGCAAATGGATCGCAATAAAGTCAAAGGTCGGTAGGCGCAGACGTCTTTTGTTGCTTCCCATGCATCGCACTAATACTCTGGAGCAGACTTTGACCCCGAAGACGATGCAAATCTGAGACCAGCCGACAGTGACGCTTCTGAGTCTGAGGAAGGTGAACGAAACAATGCAGGCCGTGAACACTACGAAGCGGTCGATAAAAGCCGGTTGCGAAAGTCAGCGCAGCCCATTCTTGGGACAAAATATGACGGCGTGGCTGTGACTCGTAAAGCGCTGGAAGATGACGATGAAGAGGATCCATTTGCGCCAGTTGACGAAGACGACGAGGAGGATCCCTTTGCCACAAAGGCCGGACATGTTTCCGGCTCCGACGACGAGTCAGAAGACGCTGACGATCAGGATCTGGAGTCAGAAGCTGAAGAGGATGAGGAGATTGACAGTGACGAGGCGTTGGGCGAGAGCGACGTGGAGCGTTTCAAGCACTTGAAATTTCGCGGCAGCAAGAGGAATCAGACACAGGCCGCCGGATCAGATGAGGACGGGCTCACAGGAGCAGACACAGACACGGATCCAGAGGATCGGCTTTCAGACGAGTCCGACAATAAATCCAGCGACCCTTCAGACATTGACATGGGGGACGAAGAGGACGAAGATCATGCTTCCTCGGCATCTTCAGCCACTTCTCCGCCTCCACGGAGCAGCAAATCAGCACGTTCCGTGGATCGCGAAGAACTTAGAAGAGCCGCAGAATCAGCATCAACTGCTGGGCTGGCGTCTGCGCTTTCGGCTGGAGCCAATGCCGACGTGAAGAAAGGTCACGCGGTCAAACAACAGCGGCAGGCCTTCGAACGCCTCTTAGATGCCCGGATCAAGCTACAAAAAGGTGTTGCTGCTATGAACGAGTTGCCCTCGGATACGATCAGCGATGAGGAAGCCAGAGCTGCCGCAAGAAAAGCCGAGGATGCCGCGCTCGCGTTATGGTCAACTATTGATTCCATCCGCTCCAGCATCCTCTCTTCCCAGATTGGCACTTCCCCCGACTCCAACACTCCAGAACGAAAACGCAAACTCATTCCGACACGCTCAACCCCCCTTACACAAATCTGGGAACACACCACGTCTCTCGAGACGCGAGCCCAGGCACACCGCCGCACAGTCCTTGACAAATGGCACGCCAAAACCCAACCAATTCTCGACACTACGCAACAACGATCAAAGCTTCTAAAGCCGTCACAAGGAGGGAATCCCCGCCTCACAGACGTGCTCGACACCTACCTGCTCTCAGAATCCCCCAAAATCACTTCTCATTCCTACTCTCCCTCGACCCAAACATTTGACGACACTACATTCTATCAATCCCTCCTCCGCGATCTGATCGCTTCCCGCTCAGCAGCGAACTCCAGCGGCGTTCTCACAACGCAGTTGGCTGGACCGCAGAAATTACATCCAAGCGGCAGTAAAACCAAAAAGATTGACACCAAAGCGTCCAAAGGTCGCAAGATCAGGTATACGGTACACGAAAAGCTGGAGAATTTCATGGCACCTGAGGATCGAAACACGTGGACGGAGGCCGCAAGGGCAGAGTTCTTCGGGAGCCTACTAGGGAATGTGAATGCATTGGCAGAGAAGGAAGTAGGTGGGATGGATGAAATGGAGGAGGAGATCACCGAAGGAGAGGCGTTGAGGTTGTTTAGAAGCTGAGATCGGCTTGCCCACGCTGTCTCGAATTACAAAGGATGATTTTTTCCCCGCGTATCTTCTGCTTCTTAACGATAAGCAAACGCCCGAGTAATAGTGGTCGTGAGTGGTACATGTCCTGAAGACCGTATATCTCAGTGTCACGTGCGTCGTGTTTCTGGACGCGTCGAATGTGGACGCGTTGACATCATGCGAACCACCGGCCCACATTTCCACCGTGACGGCGTCGAATTTCGAAACCCCCGTGCTTTGTTCCTGCCAGACCACTTTCAGTCATCTATGGCAGGATGGCCGAACTTCCCCTGCCGTGGTCCATCACGAGCTCCAAGCGCAAATCTAAGTCAGGGCCGCTAACCACGCCCGCAGCTCGGAAGCGGCGACGAGTAGGGGAAGCACTAGACGACTCTAAACCAGCACGGAGAAAAAGTCAACGGACTTTGACTCAAGCTCAATGGTTGAATACTCTTTCTCCGAGTCACGATGAAGGCGACATGCAATTGCTGGAGGAAGGGCAGCCGCGAAGGGTCTCAGCAAAGAGGGAACTCGGGCGCAGTATGAAGAAACGCGATTCTACCTTGACCCAAATCGGCTTTTTCGACTTTCCACCCTCCGACCAGCAGGACTTCGACGAGACAGTTGCTGCATCTCCCGAAGGACGTGCTATGCCTCAAATGGACGGAACCCACGACAGTCCAAGAAAACCTCGAACACGCAAGGCGACCCCAGCCGTAGCCGTCTCGTCCTCGAAGCGAAGGGCCGCGCCGGAGAGCCAAGAAGAGTACAAGCCTAGAACAAGAAAAAGAAAGAGCGAGCCTGCTGATCAAGAGCCAAGTGGCTCAGCGAAAAGACGGTCCAGGCGCGTAGCAACGAAGAATGAGGTCTTCTCAGATCCCGTCCGGAATTTTGACTATTTCGCACAAGCACTAGCCACTCCTGCGGCCGTTGACCAGGAGGAGAACAAAGACGAGCCTTTCAACTATCCGTTGGAAATCAAGGACTCTACAGAAGACGCCGAAGATCCTTTGCCAGACCCGCGTCCGGTTTTACGTCCGTCGTTGCTACCGGAAACTCCGAAGAAAAGTACGATGATTGTTTTGTCCAGTCAAACCCCGGAAAGTCTGTGTGCCAGCACACGGAGGACGAAAAGAAGGCTGTGCGAGACTCCGACCAAGGCTCAGAGAACTCCACTGGCTGAGCGTTCGACCAATGTCCCCCTGCATGACACTTCTAAAAAAGCTGGAAAGAGAGGTCGAACTCCCAAGGGTCCCTCGCCGAAACGCAAGGTGGTCGTTCTGAAGCTGCCAAAGCGTAGTCAACGGCGACATGCTACACGCATTGAAGATTCTCAGAACTTGTGGTCGATTCCGTCATCTTCGCCCAAACCCCCAATGAATCCTACGTCGCTTCCGGTGGCTCCAGTGGTACGCAGCACTGAGGATGAACTCGAGATTCCGGCAACAAGCCAGGCACAGGAGACTCAGGGCAGCCCTGCTGGCAGCCAGGACAGTCTACCAAGCTTTACTAACCTCTTCTCCGTACAGGAAAGTGGTGGAGCCAAAATAGATACTGACGCCCATCCTTACTCATCGGGGGCTTCTCCACAGAAGGAAGAAGGCATTATCGTAAGAGATTTTGCTGGTGTAGTGCCGCGCAGTGGTCCTCGTCGCAACTCGACTGACGCCGGGCACCCGCAGTCACCGCCTATGCAAGTCAAGGTAGCACCAGAACTATGCAATCTCCGCGACGAGACCGCAAACATAGGGGACGAAGACTTTGAACAACTGGATTTCGGCTCCCCCGTGGCGAACGATACACAGTTCAATGTTCAGGTGCTGCATCGCGTTTCCTCGCCGCTTCCATTGGAGCGAGCTTCGGGTACTCCAAAAGCAGTGATCGATCATTCACGTCCGTCAACGCCGACATCACATGCATCTGGTGTTACGTTTATTCACGGGCCCGAATCATATCTCCCTGATGTTGAGAGAGTAGGCTCGTCTCAGTCACCAATTCCGGTTCCTAGATTGGTTCCCCGATCCAGCGTTGGCCCGGATCATGCGGACATCGAGCTTGACGATGAAGACTTGGATGAGGTACCTCTTCCGAGGACGCCTGTTTTGGTCCATCCAGCAAGTATGCGCCGCACGACAGGTACCCAAGTCCCGCTGAACGACACCCTCAACGACGCATCCTCGCCTCGGCTGCGACCAGTGCGGAGCAATACACAAAAGTCTGTCCATCCTGCCTCAATTCCGCACCCTTCTCAGATGTCGACTCAAGAGCCGACGCAGGCATTCCTGCCACCTTCATCAATGCCACAGAATGGCTATGACGATTCAATGGGGAGATCCGAGACGTTCAAGATCAAGGACTCGAGTTCTTCAAGTGTGCATTTGAGTCAGATCCCTCCCAATCGCACAAGCAACCAACCCGGACTAGATCTCGGTTATGTTCTTGATTCGGATGATGGCTGGGAAGGTGAGGGAGATCTTGATCTCGACCCTGCGTCGTTCCCAATTCGGCCTTCCCAAACATCGCCGCCCCAGGCAAAGCCTCTGCAACGGCGTCTGGAAACAATTCCTACGAGCAAGGGAACCGAGATGACTACGCCTGCCTCAACTTCTGGGACCAGAACCTTTCCACCGATGCAGCGACACTCCGACCTCGAAAACGATTCAGGTCCTCTTCATGATTCGCAACTATCCCCTCCTAACGAAGTCAGGCGCTCAGAACCTGCAGGGAAGCAAGATACCAGTGACGACTCTCACATCCAACGCTCTCAACCCTCGGACTCTCTCCCATCCACACCCGACAAGCCTCCGCCCCCGCATAAGGAGTACTCCCCGATCGCGGGTTTCAACAATGAGACACAATCGAACTTCACACAGAATGGACACGTTACGGCTGCATTCATCCACCGCCAAAGGGAAGCGGGACTGTATCCCGCGTGGTTTGTCCCCACGCCGTATCAAGTACCGGGGTATACAAGATGGAAGTAGTTTCGCGAAGAGACAATATGATTGCAAGAGCGAAGACCGCAAAGAGGTGGGACTAGCGTATGGGTACACTGCAGGGGGGACTGATAGCGATGGAATGGTCTGTCGAAATAAGTTGTGGGCTTGTCGAATTGAGGACCCTCGATCAAGTGCGACTGTGATATCAACGTTGTGACAGTTGCGTGTAGCACTGTACAGAGTGCTTCGTACTCCAGACTGCGCTGCCAAAACGGACAGAATGAGAGACGGGCAGCCGACCCAGATTAAATACGAGTGAATGACAAGTAGAACTTCTGATCCCGCTTCTTTCTCTCGAACCAGCTTCCATCCACGGAAATAGCTGCCAAATAACCTTCAGTTTGTGAGCATGTCGAGTCTTTGATATCGGTCACTTCATCTGGGTGTCCATCAACCCGGTGCATCAATGAGTTTCCAGCTTGTGAAGTGCCGAATTTCAGAGCGAGCAGTTTGCTACGCACAGCCAACTTGCGCATGTGCGGCGTGGATTAGGAAGGTTCAGGGGAGAGTACAGCAAGGACAGCCTACTACATAAGGCGCCGTGAGGGTAACATTGCGTGTTCAGTACAGTACTTTGGGCTTGGTTCCCAAGGAGCCTTCCTCGCCTCCTCCTCGTGGCCCAGTTGTGTCCTTGGATACAGTAATAGATATACCTTGGTCAAGCTATTGCCCGACTTTGTACAGTAGGTGCCAATGCTGTTCTATCACAACTTGCTGCTCCTCTCCCGTCGCGGAGAGCCAGGGACAGAAAGCACTGCAAGGACTCACAGTCTGCTGCCCCTTTGACTCCGACCATCTTCATTCTCATCCTCCCTGAGCACAAAGTACCACTTGACGCCCAGCAGGTTCGTCCAACCATCCCCGCAAAGACCCTCTTTTCTCGCGATATCCAACATTCCTTCGAACCTCTTCTTCCCTTTGACTTCAACAGTGATGCTCTCCAACCCCTCCGCTTCCCCCTCGACTCCTGGAACGAAGCTCAACCTTGCATTCGTGAACATCAACTGACTCCCCTCCCGCCTGACCCCGAAGTAGTCCTGCCACTGTTGCGCCGCGGCTTGCACGTCCGTCTGACCTGGCGCCAGACGGAGGGTGGCGCCGAGCAGCTTCAAGTGCGAGCAGCGCCTCATCCCGCTCGAATACTTCTCATACTCGGTCCCACAAGCGTGCCACGGACTGAACGTACTCTCAAGGGGAGTAGGGTTCGTCGACGACGGTGCATGCGAGTCTAGTTCGGGCATCATCCCGCCTAGTAGTGGGTGGTCATACCGTCAGTCAGCTCATCAGCTCTCATCGCCACACAATCGGTCGTGAAAATAAATGATGATTCCTCTCACCGGCAATTCCTTTCGGATGGTACTGCACGCACTGGACGTCGTCGTGCGCGTGGCTGAAGATGACCTTGGCGAGGCCCCGGGACTCGATGTGCTCCCTCCTCGCGGCGGCGTCCAACGTCTGCATGATGATCATGTACCCGCCTTGGCCTCGCTTCTTGAGCAGTCTCCCGGCCGTGGTGTCAGCCTTGAATGGGGAGACAACTTCGATGATATCGCCTCCGATGGCCACTGCGCCGGCGCGAGAATGTCCAGTCATGTCAGAATCAAAACCCCGTAGTGGTTTGGGAGCGGGACTGAGAGAGGGAGTGAATCAAAAAGCACGGCCAGCATTTTCTCACCTAGAAAGTTCTTCAACCCCCATTGCGCAACCTGCGGGTCGACAAAGACGACTTCGGTCCCGAGTACGGATGTCTAAATTATTCCACGAAAACTCTTTCAGACGACAGGAACGTGATTGAAGGGTGTTAAAGAAGTCGGGATAAAGGCCCAACCTACCAGGAGAGATCGAGCTCGGTCGAGATCCTCTGCCACCAAAGCGATCTGTCGCAGCCTCGTGGGGGAGGTCGTAGTTGTTGATCCTTTGTCATCTCTAGTGTTCGCCATTGCGTTCCTCCCTCTGTACGGGGTATGAGGACGCGCTTTGATTCAGCCGAGCCTTGCTTGAGTGAGTGAGTGAGTGAGTGGGTGACTCCCGTGGCTTCTCGCTCAATACTGTGACAGACTCGTTACGTCCAGTCGGTCGGTCGGTCGGTCGGTCGTGCTGCTGGCGCTTTTACAAGGGCATAAGGTCAGCGACACTTCTTGGACCGGTCACTTTGTGGACCTCGCTATTGCCTGGCTCGAGTGAAGTCTTCAATTTGTGTCGCTACAGAACGAGTTATAGCAACAAGCTGACGTGCGAGGCGTGCTGTCTGTGTCTTTGCAGAGTCCTTGGACCGACCTGAGCATGGACCTCGGCATATGAATGCATGTAGTAATTGATAGCGGAATCTCCTCACGAAGCGAGAGAGACATACTCCGTACATAGCTATGTACCAAGACCGATCTGTTGAATCCGCTGGGCACCCAGAGATCTGTCCGTTCCCTAGCAGAAGGATCAGGAACTCGTAGATCGAGAATACCTTTTCCTCGTTGGTCTCGGGGCATCGGCACTCGGGGCGTCATAATTAGAACCAGTCAGTCTCTCTCGAAGTAATTACCTCCCGGCATGTGTCGTTCCGGACAGTACAATGCGTGGGTAGAATGCGTCTGGCCGGACGTGGCGATGTTAGACACCACAGGCGCAGAAGATGAACAGGGCGTTAAGGAGTTTGTCTGAAGGGGGACAGAGAAGATACTTGGGTGATTGAGATGGTGTCTAGTCAGTGACATGTCTAGACATCATTCTTCTGCGCGGATGGCTTGGTTTTATCCTATGCGCCGTGCGTTTGATGGCTGTGAAAAGAGCGTACAGGTATCTGCAAGGGCGAAAGAATTGATTCAGTCTGCTGAACGAGTTACTGGCGACGTTCGAGTTACACGCGGTGTTCGCTCTACAGCCGGTGTTGAGCTACACGCGGTATCCCTTCTCGCACCGCGTCAATGCAATTTCGCAGGCAATGTCCTTCTACAGACCTGGACAGGCTTGAGGGTTCTGTACATCGCTGGGCAATCGGATTCAGGAAACTTTTGACCTAGTGCCGTGAGCACAACTACTGTAGATGGGGACCTACGGGAGAGGTCTTAAGGCTTGCTGAGAACTCCTCGTTTCTCATTGCGACAGGGGCGACCGAGACCTCGATAGCAAGCATACGGCCTGTGTGTTGCATCGTTGGCTCAGTTCTCATCATGGACAGCCCGTGCAGAGGTCGGTCAGTCAGTCGTCAGTCCGTCAGTCAGAGCAAGTCGAATGCTCAACAGCTTGTGCCCCTCTAAATAGCGAGCGGTTGCCAGCATGATCGCGATCAGCAGGTACAGTATTGTACGACCTGAGCTTTTCCGAGGGAGACTGAAGTCAGGCGGCCGCGAGATAAAGCTTGGATGGAGTTGGTCAGAGAAGTGAGCTGAGCCACGAGCCAGATCGAGGGGATCGAGGGTTTCAGTGACTGGAAAGGTGATAATGTGAAATAATGCCAGACACTATGCTTTACCCATAGTAGGAGGCGTTCGACGACGGCTAGAGAAACTCTTTATGACCGCCACGACCGACACGCCCGATGCAGCGCGAGACGGTGTTCACCAGTGTCTACATAGGCCCCTCCCAGCTCAACATACTCGAGAAGAAATTGTCAGCCGTCACCCGATCGCAGACGGTCCCATGTTATATCGACGGATAATCCGTCCATGGATGTCAGTTGAGTTGAAGCGTTGACGAGGCCAGATGAAATGCGACGTGACAAACGTGACTGAGTAAAGGTGAGTAGGTCAGCGAGGCCAAGCCTGATGCTGAGCGTTGCACTCATTGGTCTCTCTCAACGAACCATCTATCGAATTTGCATTGACGTGGGTATTACTTATGTATCCTGGCATCAACGACAGCTCATGTCTTGCTTGCCTGGACGCCTATCTCAGCTGTCTTCTTCTCATTCGCTAAACAGCATGAAGTACTCCAGTATCCTCAAACTCTCCCATCACCTGCTCACCAACGTGCAGGAGATGGTTCCGAAAAGCTAAAGCACAAGAAGAACACAGACCCAGGCACAGAATTCACACTTGTGGAGATATTGAATCCTCATCGTAAAGTACATGGTTGGGAGAATAGGAAAGGCATCTGCCGTCATTTCAGTGAAAGGGGTGAACAAGTAACGGTTCGAGCTTTCCAGTCAAGCTCGCGTTCAGATCGCCATGCCTGGTCCGAGCTTGGAAGGTCCAACAGGAGAATTTCGTTTCTCCCTCACGTTGCTGGCGGAGTTGCTCCTTCGTCGACTGACAGCAGCCATGGGTGGCGGGCCATTTCGACCGCCGTAGGGGCCTGGCGACATGCTTCTACCTGGTGGTCCAGCTCTCGGTCCAGCCCTCGGTCCAGGGGACATTGCTCGTGGTGGTTGATTGAACCCTGGGTTCATAGGTCGTCGCATCCCAGCAGGGCTCATTGGTCTTCCTGCAGGACTCATTGGCCTTCCAGCAGGACTCATGGGCCTTCCAGCAGGGCTCATCGGCCTCCCCATAGGGCTCATGGATCGTCCTGCAGGACTCATTGGGCGTTGTGGGCCACCCGCTGGTGACATGGGACGAGACACCGGACCGCCGGGCGTAGGTCGAGCATACTGGTTGAGGTGAGAAGGCTTAGGCTTCGACGGTTTGGCGGCAAGGCATGTTCGAGGAACGACACCTTGCTGAGATCGGTCGAGGCGGATACACAGTGCCTGGTAAATAATCAGTTATGTGCTGGGAAGGGACGTTGGTCAGCTACTTACCCAACCATCATCGTATTCATGAAGCATCCGGACGAGTTGACCACTCTTCAACTCCAATTCGTCATCCATGGAGGGTGCAAAATCCATAAGCACGCGATACACGTTACCTTGAGGAGCTTCGGGATGAGGAGCATTGGAACCTTGGCCGGCGGCGGCGACAAGAGCTGGCGACGCAGGCGCGGAAGAGGCTGGAGACGAGGTGGGCTGTGGTGAGAGCTGAGGAGCAGGAGCAGGTGCGGACACAGGTGCTGGGACTGCCACTGGCATCTTGACAGGGACCGGAGCCGGAGCCGGAGCTGGAGTAGGCTTCGGTACGGTAGTAGCAGGCGGAGCGCTGACAGCACTGGCGCCACCAATGGCACCAGAAGCCATGGAAGCAACAGGAGCGGCGGGAGTAGCAGCCGGTGATTTAGCGGCAGAAGGCGGTACAACAAGAGGCGCTGGCGCTTGGATTGGCAGTTTCTCAGGATCAGCAAAGGGATTCTGAGGGTCGGCAAAAGGATTGTTCGGGTGGTTGTCTTGAGAGCTTTGGGTAGCTGCGGCCAGACCAAGTCCACGAGCTGGACCTGGACTCGGACCTCGCGGTTGTGGAGATGGTGTCTTACGAGTCGCAGCAGAATCCGATTCTCCGATGGTGTTTAGCATGTTGCCGGCGCTGAGCCTGCTCTTAGAAGACGCGCCCATGAACTCTGGTAACATGCGAGATACGGGTCGTAGACTTATTCGGGGAGCTGTTGCACTGATGGGCGGGCTTCTTGTGGCCATCTCGGTGCTGTTAACACCTGGAGCAGGAGTGTTCTTCTCGTTGTCTGTTCCGTTCTGTGCCTCGATCTGGCGCCTCTTCTTTCCGAGTAACCATAAGAGGAAGACAGCAACGAGTCCGACGACCGCAATAATACCAATGGCAAGACCAGCCTTTGCACCCGTCGAGAGTCCACTGCTCGACGAGCTTGAGGATTCCGCCGAGGAACTGGCCGGAGCTGACGCAGCCGCAACAGAACCTGTGTTGGTGCTTCCAATAATACCAGCAGAGGTAGTGAACGATGTGATGGCGGGCGCGATCAACGATGCAGAAGTCGGGCTACTCTCCGTGGAGGATACGAGTGTGGTCGTGGCCGAAGTGGTCGCAGCTGCAATGGGCGAGTTGGTAGCGGAGTCGGGAGGAGCTGTGGTCTCATCGGTAGGTGCTTCGGTGGCAGAAGAGTCATCGCCAGTAAGAGTAGTATAGCCTCCAATCACGCCGGTAAATGTCGGTGTTGCTGTAACGTACGCGATCGAGTAGACTGTGCCATCCACGGTGGTGAGAGCGACCTCATCTTGGCGTCTAGCCAATTCCACCATTCTGTCATGGAAGTTCCGAGGCCGAAGGTCCATGTTGGATATTGTCAGATCGGAGGTGTATCGCTCTCGCGGCTGGCACTCCGCGGTTGACGTGCAGCGTCCCTTTACTGTCGAAGAAGAATGCTTCAATCCTGCAGCTGAAGCTGTTGCTCGAGGACCGGGCGAGGGTATCACAGCGCTGCTGGACCGTTTTACGAAGAGGTGATCTCGAAATTATGGAGAATCTTGGTGTAGAAGGAGTGGCTAGTGATGAATTGTCGATAAAAGAAGGGCGACAATTCACACTCGGTGAACAATAGGATGAATGGGGAGGGTGAAGAATCGAAGAAAATCAATGGCGGCAGAGCATTGAGCAGAGGGTGCGCAGGAAAGAAAGAAGAGAAGGGGAGTACACAGTCCGAGCTGTGAGGGTGGCAGTGACGCGATGCTCACTTCCTGGTGAGATGAGTCGGAAAGTGGCTGCTGGGATGTGAGACTGAGGATCAGGCCAAAGCTGTGGATGCGACGGCGACTGCAAGGACAAACGAGAAGTGCGGAACAGATGCCCACAGCATCTCCTCAGGCAAAGACTAGAAAGATCAGGGCTCCTTGAGGCGTTCGCGAGCAGGGGCCTCTGTCAAATTCCATTGGCGTGCCTGGATTTAGACGGAAGCCACCTGGCGCCCACCCCTCGATGCGGCTTAGGTGCCACCTGTACCTGCAGCTTAGCGGCGGATAAGAGAGATTGCTCCTTTTTTCAAGCTCATTGACACCTGACGCGTGTGTGTGTGTGTGCAGCGGCAAGACTCAACAGTCGTACATGTGCAAGCAGCTTCGCTAGGCGGTTATGCACCCGTGAAATGGCTTGAGCAACCTGTGCAGGAAGTGCACGTTGGCGGCGCGGCCACAACTTCTTGCGTCTCGCAGCTTGGACTGCGCCCAAGAATATTCTGTGTGGTGGCTTGGAATAACAATCCGAGCGGCGCGAGCATCTACTGTAATTATCGTTGCACCTTAACTTTCAAGATGCATAGTCCCTCTTGACAAGGTTTGAGCGGTTGGTCAAAAATTCATCCACAGCTATGCAATCCAATCTCACGAACTGATTATCTTCATTTGATGTTGAGTGCTGAATCTTCGTTTGCCACTTGTGCGGCACTGCTCCCCAGGCTCGAATGGAAGATTCTGCTCTACCGGTCCACGGCGCAACCCAACACACTGCACCGTGCATGGTGACCTCGGGGAACTCCAGGCATCCAACTGTCATGATGTGCGACCCTGTGGCAACCCTACCGCAAGGCGGTGGGCGATAAAGACTATTCTCGGGTGACAGCTGTCAAGAACCACGTGGACTACTGCAGCCCGAGTGGACACTGAGCGCATTAATATGCAATGCTCATGCGGCCCGAATGATCGACCTGAGCTCGTGCTGGAGAGCCTCTCCCGCGGTCAGCCTCCTTGTCATCTCATAACACACGGTTTTCGAGACGAAATCGATCGCTGCTTCCGATGCGCCGGGAAGGAGATCCTTCCACGCTTTCGCCGGGAACTGCTGAAAGCGCATCTTGCCCCAATCAGGACATGCCTGTGAAGACGGCCAGACCACCTCGTCGGGTGTTCCGAGGGTGGTGAAGATCGACTTGATCAAGGCCAATTCACTTCCTACGTCTCCAGCGTCGAAGATTGGTCGGTGGCCCACTCGGACCATTTCCGCCACGACGCAACCAGCAGCCCACATATCCAGCGAGGTGTCATAACTCTTGTTGCCAAACAGGATCTCTGGTGGGCGATAGCAAGTTGTACCAACGTCGGTGATTTTTGAGGCCGCTGGCTCGGAGTCCTTGTCGTCCGCAGACCAAGCAATACCGAAATCGATCAGGTAGACAGGCCCGTTCATCGTCTTCAGTAGAATATTGGACGGTTTAACGTCCCTGTGAATCATGCCCTGCTGGTGGATATGCTCTAAAGCGCTGAAGAGTCCATCGAAGACCATGCCGGCCTGCCGCCTGTCCAATCTGTCCGACCTGAGCAGGTTCTCCAGATCCTGCCTGAGAAAGGGGAAGACGAGTATGAACCGATCTCCAGGCTCATGGATGGTATCAAGGAGGGGAACAACGTGTTCGTGGCGAGCCTTGACCAGGAGTCGAGCCTCCCTGATGGAGTTGTGCGGCGGGCCCATCATTGCCGGGTGAGTGACTTTGAGTGCCACAACGCGGACAGGAGCGGTCTCATCTGTTGATTTCGCCTTGAACACAGTCGACATGAGGCCATCGGCGTGAAATGTTGCATGCTGATACGCTCCGAAGGTTGGACCCTCGGTGTTGAACACTTCATGGACTTCGGCGGGTTCGTCAGCTTGTGTGGGCGGCGTGTCTCCTGCGTGAATTGCTCTTACAGCCTCATCCAGCTTCAGCTGATATTCTTCCTAATCGGGTCATTAGTAAATTGTGGACGCTCTTTGAGGCGTGCCTACTATGGAAGTAGCTGAGCCCAGAATCTCTTCCTCCAGTTCCTTTGCGTTCTTCCGGGCTCCGTCTGTGTCATTGCCAGCTGACACGAAAACATTTGTCCTAGAGCATGGCTCAGCATTACGAAGTCAAACACAGGTGGACAAGACTCTTACAGCTGGAAGATGCGACTCAGTCTCTCAGAGAAACTGACATCGACAGGCATCCTGTCGACGCTTCAAGCAACCTTCTAACGAAATCGTACCTCAAATCGCCGCCTTCCTCAGAGTGATTGGGGGCCACGTCAATGGCCAGAGCACGGAGACAGCGAGTTGGTCCTCATGTCAGCATCCACCATCGTGCACGTGGAAAGACATCAACGCTGTCAGGACGTCGTCAATGATAGAGCAAGTGGCTGCATCCAACGTGCCTCTTCAGTGCCTTGTCTTCACCGTCCGGACTGTGCGCTCGTTAAACCTGCACAAGCTTTTCGTGCTCCAGAAGCAAGCTGCCCCCACTGGAGAGCACACAATAATACCCAGCAGTCAGATGGTTATGTACTGCATCGAATGGGACAATGAATATTTGCAGCTCACTGGCGCTACGTAATCCCGACCCGCCGACCGCCGAACCCCAAGAGCTTCCAGAACCATTCTTTCTACTCGCCTCCAACTCGACATCGTCTTCAATTCCTCGTAGTGGACCCAATGCCAATTGTCCGTCAGGTCTTCTCTGTTAATCCACTTCATCCTTCTTGCCTCATGCTTGGATAGCGCCTTCACCATGGCAAACAACGAGCTCCAGCGCACTGAGTATTTAAACCTCCTCGTAAGACTTACCACGCAGGAGCCGCGACTCTCGGAAAGCAGACTGACTGACATTTGCGCCAGGCCTCATTGCAGCCGGAGCAAGCAATCAACATCCTCAATGATCGCGTCACCCTCATAACCAAGATCAACAGCGACATCGCCGATTGGCTTCAGGTCAGACACTTCTGTGTAACACCGTGAACAAGAGATTGACAGTCGACAAGGAACGTCGGAAGATAGAGGAAGTATATGTCGCCAGCTTGCGGAAGCTCGCGCGGCGGCCTCAACAAGATGGGGCTGCCGCTCTTGGGTAGGCGCAGTCTTTCTTTGGCGATTTGAGTGCTGCTAAAGCGAGCGCAGCATCTTTCAAATGCCCTGGCAGCGGATCGTCTCCGGCACCGAGAATCTAGCAGCCTCCCACGAGACCCTTGCGACCAAAATCGAGACTGACGTCGAAACGCCTTTACGGACATGGGCATCGCGGAACAGAGGCTTCAAGGATCTAAGCACTGCACAAGTGAACCTGAGTAACATCGCAAAAGAGTTATCTGGCGCACAAAAGAAAGCTGCCAAAGGTGGCCGACGAGCGGATACTGCAAGTTCGACCGTGGAGGACGCCTCGCGACAATGGGAATCACAGGCACCGTATGTGTTTGAACAACTACAGGTCGTCGACGAATCGCGGGTCAATCATCTGAGGGACGTCCTCACGCAGTTCCAGACCCATGAGGTGGACTCGATCGAGAAGAACAAAGTCAGCGCAGAGTCCTGTCTGGGCGCGCTGCTCAACGTGGAGACTGCCGACGAGATCAAGACATTCGCCGCGAGAGTAACCACTGGCGGAGGGGGTGGCCTTTTGAGAAGACTGAGTTCAGCCACCGCCGGCACTGGGGGCAGACCGACCAGTTCCCTGCGTGCTCCGCCGACGCCTCCTCCACCCCGAGGCACGACTGATAGCAATAGTCAACGGTCGAGTTCCTTCGCCGGACAGGGCAGGCCAGCTCCTTGTAAGTCACCCTCGTGCCCCACGTTAAAATCTCTGACATATGATAGTGCCCGACCTGCCAACACAGAAGGAGAAGAGCAAGCTGAGCGGTCTCAAGCGACTTGGCACCGTGATGAATCGACGCAAGAGCATTGCACCTCCAGTTTCTTCTTCGACCGAAGAGAAACGACGGACGAGGTTTGTGCCATTTAGAAGAGGCGACTCGTCCCGCAGCTTCCAGGATTTGGATGAGTCCGGCCAGGACCTCACTCCAACAGCAACTCAAGACCGACCCGTAACTTCGATTTCGCAGAATCGACGATATGAACAACCTCTTCGAGATTTACCCGAGCCTCCGCTCCCTGTTCCGCAGACAAATGGCATTAGCCAGCCTCCAAATCCTTTGGAAGCACATCCGACCGGGAATTCGTATCAACCTGGTCTGGTGGACACAATCAGTTCACCATCTACTCAAGCCAACAACAACAACCCATACCAACAGATGGCCTTGAATCAAGCCGCCACAGCGGACACGAATGAGTCCATCACCCAGGCACAGCAGGCGTTGTCGGAAGCGTCAGCCTTCCCTTCTCCCCCTGCAGACGAATCAGCCCGAAACTTCATGATTCGTGACAAACCCATCGAAGAAGACCAGACCGAGGCAGAGCAAGCAATGGCAAACATGGCCAATCAACTCCGCTCACAGGCGCAAAACGCCGGCATTAATCGTGCTCAAGGTAGTGTTCGAGGACGTCGAGACGTGCGAAATACAATGTACGTGCCCAGTAGCACCGACGCCCTGCCACAAATAACACGAGCTTCTCCGCCGGTCGCTATACCAGAGAACGTGACTTCACCAGAGAACACACTCGCCTCTCCCATTCAACGCCCTCCGCCGGTTTCCGTTTTGCAAGACGACCACATCACATCCGATGCTGCGTCGATGACCTCCTCCCGAAGTCTGGGCGGCCCAGCTCAACATCCCGACCTCCACGACGCAGGTCTGTCTGCCAGTGTAATAGAAACCGTCCATAGCACATTCACCGAGTCCGGCATATCAAAGTCCTTCGTGCTGGGAGAAATCGCGTTAGCCTACAACCCTGCTGGTTCACAGAACACCGACACCGAGACAATCCGCATCCAGCACTTCGAACTCCTGGACAAGGTCGCGGCCAATCCCATATTTCTCCACCAAGTCAAACCGACTGATGGGCAGACGGAGGAGCAAGCAGGCAGCTACACGGTCACGACCACACAACTCCGTCGTCCAACACCGATGATCTGCCTCAAATATCAACTCCACCTGGAAGAGGCAACCCTCGCGCAATACTCGCCCATTCTCCTGACACCAGCGTGGCAGATCATCGAGGGACAAGTCAGTGTAATCGTACTATACTCTCTTAACCCAGTCTTCGGATCCGAACCACTCACCTTGAAGAACGTCACCATCAACCTGGGCCTCGATATTTCTGACCCAACATTCCCTCGGGCCCAATCTGCAATGATGGCCCCCACGGCCGGCGCGTCCTTCCGGCGCAAAACATCCAGCGTGATGTGGCGATTGCCTGAGTTCGTGGTCAAGCCTGAACAGGAGCGCCTGTTGGTCCGTTTCATCACCCAGGGATTGGCGAGGAAAGGCGCCGTCGACTTTAAGTTTGAAATCGCCGGGCGCACGGCAAGCGGCGTAGGTGTTGAACGGCTGGTGGAGGGCGCGAAGGAGGCTGATCCGTTTGCAGACGGCGGGGACGACGATGGTGCTGGCAAGAAAGCCTGGGAGGTCGTACCCGGGAGGGCGAAGTTGGTGAGCGGGCGATACACCGCTAGCTGAGACAGTTCAGGCACTCTAACGTGTCGGATCTTCAGCGCCAGGGACGGTCCTGAGACATCATCTGGCTGGGGTTGGTGAGGCGGACTGACGGCGGCGGTGGCGGCAAGCACCTGCATTTTCATGTTACTGCATTTCCCTGTGCACAAAAGATTGTAAGATTGGATATAGCGGCGAGCAAGCTTTTGACCGGGCCTTAGCGACATAATGACCTAGCGAAAAGAAGATCACAGAGAGAAAAAGAGGAAGAGAGAGAGAGAAAGAGCTTTTCCCAGATTGTTCGATACAGCGGTGGAAATTGTTTCAATGCTACGTTACTGCTGATACCGTTGCGGTTGTTGGTTGCGGCTGGGGCATGCGGTACTAAGTAGGTACCTAGTACTCCGTATGCTTCCCCTTCTATCAAATGCCGCACACTGTAGTATATACCACACTATGTACTCCCAGACCACGCTCAGCAACAAGAGCGCACAGGATAGGGTAAAAAGTAGCAAGTAGCAGCCACGATCAGCTGGACTTCTCTCGCCCGACAGACTCATCGAGACCCGTGCCGATTGTCGTTGTTGTTGTTGTTGTAGTATGTTGTTTGCAGCACAACCCAACCACCCTCGAATACTGTACCAGCAAGCATGCATCTACCAGGTACAAGTACGTACCACACAATCTGCACCTCATTCGTCATTCGTCGCGCGCGTCCCCCAGTCTCGACCACACAAAAAGGTGCGTCGTGCCCGGCACGGCAATAAATTATCAACGTGTTGCTGCTGGCCAGACAGAGCCTGGCGCGAGATGTCACGACCGTGCGGTATGCAGGGTACTGTACTGTGTAGGGCGCAAAGTCGGGTTTCCAGCATTTTTTTCCTCCAAGATGATCCCTCATGCTACCCACGGGATGGGATGATGCTTGACAAAATGTTGCGGTGTCCGGGACAGGTCGTCGAAGGAAACCAATGGAGATCCAGCTACAGACTTCTCGCCACCTCACACAACGCAGTCTCGTAAAAGCAGTTTCCATTTGAATGGCCCCTAGCGCGTCTAGTCGAGGTACTGTTATTCTGCCGGCTCGTCGACTGGTGCACCAGGGATGTCTCTCTGCGCTATCATGGTTGCGTACCCTATAGGCAAACCTCTGGCAACTCAGGTAGCTGCATCAACCGCCGGGCCTGGCGGCAACCTTCCCCCCCTCTCTTCTCCTCTGCCGGATGATCTTCTGTAACGGACAGCTTTCGTGGCTCTGGTGGAACACTGTACCGACGTCACCGCCCACCGGGCCCACAATGTCCAAGGGCGGCACGGCGAGAATCCCAGCCACACCACTCCGCGTGCGTGAACCTCTCGCTGACCTCTATTTCGGCAACAAGAGACCCCGGTCCTTGTCCAGACGGGTGATCGCCTTGACCAAGTTGACGAACTCGGTCTTCCTCTCCGCCGGGTGCGGGATCTTGCGAATGAGGTCTCTGACCGAGATACCTTCAGGAGGGATCGCATTTCTAATGTCCTGCTCCGAGGGAAAGGCAGGTGACCGAGGGACCGTGGCAGGCGTTGGGACTGGGGAAGCTGCACGTGAAGACGGTGCTGGCGGAGAGCCACCGACATTGAGCTTGATGCGCCGTGCTCGAGAAGCATCCGACATGGCTGCCCCATCGGTTTCTGTGTCTGATCCAGCAGGGCTTCCAGCAACTCCGCGTCTGCGTATCTTTGCCGCCAACGGGTCAAAGGATCCTGCCGGCGCAGACGAGCTTGGCACGTTCGCCGGAGAACCTGGCCTGGAGTGACCCGGTGTAGGCTGCGTAGAAGATAGATGTTTCGATTTGAGCTTCTTCTTCCTGACAGAGGCATCGGTGCCTGACGCGTCAGACGCATTCGGGGATGCAGGACGTTTTAGGCTACGAGACGAGGTTGACTTCTTCATCCCACCCTCTTCCCGATCAGTATCACGTTTCTCCTTTCGGCCTGAGGGCGTGTTCGTGCCCGAGGACGGTAGATTGGACTTTCTAGCCTCGTCTTCTTCCTTCTGCTTGTTGGCCAGACGCTCACGCTCAAGGCGTTCCTCTTCTTCATCTGTGTCGGTCTACATTATCACTTGTCAGTATACGAGAGTAGCGGCAGCATGATTGTAATCTTACCGATGACTCGTACTCCGAGTCGCTCCCGTGGTTGTAGTTACGCTCTCGTCGCTCAAGGGCCTTTCTCAGATCTCTGAAATTTTTCTTCTTCGCTTCAGCCTCTCGCTTTTCTCGAGCCTCGGCCTCATCGTATTCGTTGAGATCCTTGAAGTCAAGGAAATTGGCTTGCAGTTGGTCTTCTTTGATGCGTGCGTCTGCGAGTTTTTGATCCTCGTCCTTGTCCATGAAAAGATCTCCTTCCTCGTCGTCGGCGAAATCCTCTTCAAAGTCGAGATCGGCTTCTTCACCCGTCCTCCCAGCGAAAGCAGTGGTTTTCGAAGCACCCAAGAAGAGACCCCTGCTCTCCTTTGCAGCGCGCTCCCTCATTTGTTCTTGTATCCGGGCCTCTCGAGAACGTACCAGCCACTCTGGATCAGACCCCCCCTTTTTCATTGCAGCTTCAACTTCTTCGATGGTCATCTTCTGCAGATCATCGCGCTTTGGCTTGAACTGGTAAATCTTTTCGATTGGGATGAGACGAAATTTACCGGTGGAAGCGTCAACTGCGGGCTCGTACACCAATGCTGCATTAGAGTCCCGAGACCCCGGTTGATGGTGGCCGATGAGGGAATGCTTGTTGTCAAAATCTTCCAGATGCCAGGGGAGCTTCTCTTCGTAATTTGTCTGTATCCGGCGCTTCTCTTCGGCAGAGAACTCGGACTTGAACACCTGCTGGGTCTTCTTCTTGAAGTTCGTCCTCTTTCCCGCATTCTGCGATGGAGCTATCTGGGCCAGGTTGGCCTCGCGCTCTTTCTGCCGCGCTTCTTTGCGTCGATTCAGTTCTTCTCGCTCTGCGGCGTTCAGCCCATCCTTGGAGTCTAGCTGCTCGTCCTCCTCCTTCTTCTCCTGGTGGCCGGGTGGAGGTGCACGGGGGTCGCGTCTGTGGAGTCTAGCTGGTTTCGCAAACTCGGCCTCACTGCGAATATCTATCGGCTTCTCGCCGGCTAGCTGAAGAATGTGATATCTCCAGCCCTTGAGCAGATCTTTCTTTGTCGTGACTAGTCTGTAGTCCCTGTAGGGGATCCCTTCAGCGGTAACCCGGGGGTCAGTGAAGCCACTGACGCGCTCGCGCTCGGGCACCGCTGGTCTCGACGGAGAAGGTGCTCGTGGACGAGCTAGGATGGGAGGAGTTTGAGGTTTCGGTTGACCGTTAGTTGGCGGCGTAGGGTGGCCATTCTCACGCCCGGCCGGTGGATATTTGGTCGCCGCAGCTTTGACTTTTGGGCCTTTGAAGAACGGGTCAGCTGCTGGTTTCTTTCGTCTGATCACCGGCTTGTTGGCAGGACCGCCATTTGGGGCGGACCCTGGATTCATTATCGGCGATGGCTGTGTTGTATGGGCATTGATGAATATGCCTGGACTCTAGAGAAGAAGGCCGAGTATGCGCACGGATGACTATGGAGACAATGGGCAAAGGTAGGAGCTTTGGATGATGGGGTGCTGAAGGCGTCGGTGGCTTCAACCTGCTGGCATCATCGGCGACATGAAATTATGTTAATTACTGTGTACTGTGTACTGTGTACAAGTTGGAGTGAGGCGGGCGTGAGCTGGAGGCTTCCTCCGCGAGATCGGCTAGGGCTAGGTAGGGGACTGCTCCAGGCTCGGCCCAGTTGTGATTGCCAAGCAAGGCGCCTGTTAATTAGATGCGGACTGGAGTCCACGGGTGGCGTCACGACCGGCTATGGGCGCGGCTGGTGCCTGTGCGGCAGTGCCTGGCCACGCCCAGTGCCGCCGCCGTTCGCGCGATGCCCCGCAATGAATCGACTTCACTTTGTGCTTCACTAATGAGATTCTTCTGCTGAACACCTGTGCTTCACTCGTTATTCAGCTATTGAAGTCCCATTCAATCCTTCCTATTGTGTTTTGTCACTCTGATGACGTTCTTTTGACATGCTCCTACCTGTCCCTTCACCAATGAGCGCGATCAAAAACTGTGCACGTCTTCATCTTGCTTTTCCTGCAACTGACACTCTGTTTTCACAACCTTGTACCTCTATCTGACTCACTTCGCAACCCATCTTAGATGGCATGGACTCAGCTAGCAACTCATCTGGCTTTGCCGGTAATCCACTGGGCTCGTTGAACGACATGTCTCACCAGCCTGCACTTCGAGGAAGAGGCAATCGTGGTAGAGGCCGCGATGCAGCCAGACATAGAGCTGCCTGGTCTCAACCACATCAGACACACAACCATCAATCAAATCCACTCGCGGCGCCTTTCAATGTGACTTCCGACTCATTTCCTCCTCTGGGATCACAACCGCAGCTTGCTCCCCCAAGCGTTGTCTCTTATGAAATGGAGTCGCGACCTCAACCAGGTCCTCAGCCCCCCACCTTCGATTATGCGCGCCATGGCACTCCCCGGGAGTATCAAGAGCGCGCGAGAGGCAACCGTCGAGGTGGCCATTACTTCGGGCCTCATCAACACCGAGCACAGCAGAACCCACAGCAGTGGTCTCAACCTGCCAGTCCAGCACAGTTCAATCCCAATGTGCGAGCCCCCCAACGCCATGGTCGGCTCTACAACCCGAATGCTGGCATGCATTACGGGACCGTCCAGCAGCAACGAGCCATGCGCCATCTTATCATGAAGCAATCTGACTACCTGACTGGCATCGGCCGACAGGTCTATGGAGAGTTTCGGTTCACCCAGGAGGAAAGAGACGTCAAGGAGAATTTTCGACTCGCCTTGGAGCAGGTGGCCAGGAATGCGATTGGGGCCAAGTACCCCGACCTGCAGCTCGACCAAGTCAAACTGAAGTGCTACGGTAGTCTTGCCAACGGTTTTGCACTGAAAGACTGCGACATGGATCTCCTCCTCTCCTTGCCTGATTACAAGGGAACTGAGTTCAAGGAGCCAGAACCGACTGTCCCACTTGATGGTGATCAGACCACTGCATCGAACCATGGAGAGGAACAGAATGGTTTCAAGGCTGATGTTCAGCGCATCTTGGAGAAAGCCTTTCTCGACCACGAGTACGGCGCCCGGCTCCTCGCTCACACTCGTGTCCCGATCCTTCGCATTTGCCAGAGTCCGACACCAGAATTGCTCGAGAACCTGCGCAAAGAACGTGCCGAGTGGGAGAAGACTATTGACCATACTGGTGTAACCCAAGACGACGTTCCCGAAACCGAAGTCACCCCTGCAGAACTCGACGCGGTCGAGCAAGCTGTGACAGCAATCTCCTTGGACACAAAGACAGCACCCGCGAAACGTGGCAATCGTGGCAATCGTCACAATCGTGGCAATGCAGGTCTAGAGTTCACCGACGACTGTGGGATCCAGTGTGATATCAACTTCTCCAACTTCGTTGCCCTCCACAACTCGACCCTGCTTCGAGTTTACCACAGCTTCGATCCTCGTGTCAAGGAAATTGGGATTTTTGTCAAGATCTGGGCCAAGCTCCGGGATATCAACACGCCATACCGTGGCACATTGTCTAGCTACGGCTGGATACTGATGGTGCTGCACTATCTGATGAACATCGCCAGTCCCCCGGTCATTCCCAATCTACAGCATCTAGCGAAGATCGAAGACTCCTGGAACCCAGGCAGACAAATCGAGTTGTTTGAGGGGTTTGACGTTCGTTTCGTCCAAGATCATCAGGGTCTCCAGGATATCCAGCGAGAAATGGCGGCCAATAAAAACCGTGAGTCGGCCGGGCAGTTGCTGCGAGGTTTCTTTCAGTATTACGGAACTCAACAAGGATTCCATTGGACTCGGGATGTCATCTCGATTAGAACCAAAGGCGGGATTGTCACCAAGCAAGCCAAAGGCTGGACCGAGGCCAGATGGCAACAAAGTCAGAACAAATCAGTCCGCAATCGATACCTGCTCGCCATTGAGGATCCTTTTGAGGTTGACCACAACATCGCCCGCACTATCGGTCACCACGGTGTTGTCGCAATCCGCGATGAGTTCCGTCGCGCGTGCCGGATCATCGACATGATTGGGACGGATGAGGAGCTTCCAGCTGAAAACTTCCTCAGTCCTGTCACAGACCGCGTCGACACCCTGAGAAAGGACTTGGACTATCTCAAACAACGACAAATGCAAATGAGGCAAGAAGTGGAGGCCAAAGAAACGGCGATGCTCGAACAGCGGACCACTGAGAACGCCGAGCTGCCGGCAACTGATGGTACGTGGGGAAAATCCAAGCAGGGAAAAGCTCACACCGATTCCCCTTCCAAGAGCGGAGGTGAATTCTCCGAGTCCAAGCTGACCTCGACGCCACCGGTGCAGGAGCAGAAGCAGCTGAAGACGTTCAGAACTTGGCGACGGAGGAAAGTCTCAGCTGACACAGACGACGACGATGATGACCCGATCAGCCAGACAAGCGAGACAAACCCAGGAAGCGCTGATAATCTCAGTTCAGAAGCCCAAGACGAACCGAAAATGCGAAATCAGGGACTCACGTCCAGAGCAGAAGTCCTTCTCGCCAACGGGTTGGACCTCGACGGAAATCCTATTCCTTGGGATATAGAGACGCAAGATGGTCGCTGGCTCCATTGGAGAGACCGGAAGGTGAAGAATGGCACCATAGGCCCGTTCTTCAAAGCGTCTTATCGCGAGTTGAACGAGCAATGTCCTTACGATAGCAGGCGACCCAGCCCCGACTTTAGCAGACGATGCTGGAACAAAGATCGGCAAACGGCTTATGAAAGACCTCCATGGCCAGCAAACAATGTCAACAAAGACAACAGCATGAGACCTGACTCCAGCCAACCCCATCCAGGCGAAAGCAAGATAGCTGTGTCATGTACGGATGGCGCCTGCTCTCAAGCCAAGATGCCGCATCTGTCTAAAATAGAGGCAGCGCCCACAGCTGTGGCACGACGCGGTTCCAGCGATGATGAGAGAAGCAATACTATGGCAGCGCGTGAACAAGAGAAGCTTCCGCAGCCTCAAATTGATGCAGGTACGGTTGGCACAATGATTCCCTGGGATAACAGTACCAGAGGTGGGCGCTGGCTTCTTTCCCGGGATAGGCGCATCCGTGAAGGGACTTTCAAGTCGCGGGATCAGAAAGGCTACTACAGAAAACTTGATGCAGAGTTTCCTTACAAACCAGAGATGACATGGGCCGAGCTAGATGTGCTCAATGAACTCCTGCGGCGCTATTACAAACAAAGTCTTCGTGCCACTAGGCTACCTCCCAGCTCGTCAAAGCCGCAAGCAGAACCATGGTCAGAGCGAGCTCCATTCTCCCAAATGGTGCAGAACGTGGAAGTCACAGAAACCCACCAGTCGCTAAGCCAAGCCGCGACGGCCGTAAAGGATTGTGTTCCAGCGCAACACGGTTCTTCTTTGGCTTGCGCAGTCTCTACTCCAACAGGACGATCATCACAGGCTGTTCCTATGTCCGAGAGCCATGCGTCTCAAGATACTGTATCCGACAGAGATCCCACTACGCCGCCAGACAATGAGCGTGTCCCTGATATGGACTTCCTCCGTATGCAGCGTTTGGCGTTCTTTACAAAGCACATGACCCCATTCAGCAGTGCAGCCGACACCAACGAGCTTTTCTTCTCGCAAGCGCAAGCGACCGGTTCGGTAGCACCAACACACGAAATGTTTCAGACACCAAGCGCGCCTCAGCTTCCCATCGAAATACCACGGCCTCATGAAATGACACCACCTGAGCCAGTCTCTCGCAAGGCCGACGACGCTGGAGCTGGTGAAGATGTGGATCAGCCTTCTCACCCGTCCAAAACTGATTTCTCTGAACTTTCGGTGGCATTCAGTGACAGTCCGATCATAGAGGATTCGGCCCTTCGTGTTCCTAAGACTCTCTACCCTGACGTCGCCGACGAATTACGTCCGAGAGATGAGAACCCTGACATCATGCCAATACCCCGAAAGATCGGCTTTCAGTTTGATCCGCGGCAACTGCAGGATCTCCGGGTTATCTTGAAGGGCGGGAACGGTTGTGCGAGAGACGGTGCTCAGTTTATCCTCGAAGAGCAGGAGTACGAATGGGGCGGAGGGGGCATGATGGGATACAAGACAAGTACTGGTCCACAGATTGCCACCGCCACTGGTGGTCATACTCCGTACGAGGCTGGCAAGGGGGATGAAGAGGGTTTGCTCGATGAGCTTCCGAGACTTTGGGACGAAAATTCGGCTACAAACTGCTGATGCCCTAGACAGTCAACCACAACTCCGCAGTGTGCCATCAGCTTGGAACTTTCAACATTGAGGAAGGCCAATATTTCAGCGACTGTATCATCAACTGCATATTGTACGATACGAACACAGAATTGACGACTTTCGGGCATGTCACCATGTCTATCAGGCATCAATAAAGGGACAACTCGACTTCAGCACTTAAACGACGATGGCAGACACGAGCTGCCAGGTAAGGCACAAGCATTGTTTCTCTCTCCAAATGTATCAGTGTCATCAGGCATCGGTAGAGGAATTTCTACGAGTTCGGGCAGGACGGCAAAAGAGCGGCGGATGGATAGACAGCCTAGGTCTTGTACATCATCGATCCTACAGATAGCGATAGCCAGCTCAGCATCCTTCAACACGGAAGACATCGTTAATAATGAACAGCGTGGATTCGCTCCGATCATCGCTGTCACATAGCGTCAAGTCTCCCTTTTCGCGTCCCTCGTTTACTTGGTTTCTGCTTGTTTCATCTCCGTCACAGATTCGAGGCTGCTGATTGGCTACGCAGACGCCCCTGGTTTGGTGTTGAATTTGATGAATGATTCCATTCTACAGGAGTACTGTATGGAGTAGATATAATCTTTCATTGACGCTGGCTCGTCGCAGTCCATGTAGTTGCATTGTCCCACAGCGTCATCCATTTCCACTTCCATATCCACTCCGAGCATTTCAAACGTTCCGACATTTCAGATCGGAACATAACTCTGACGCAAAGCACGACTTCATAGCCCAGCTCCAGCTCCAGCTCCAGCACACGCACACACACGCACACACACACGCACACACACACGCACACACACGCACACACACACGCACACACACACGCACACACACACGCACACACACACCGCTCGAATCGACGACGCTGGGAAGCTCTGGGGCCTTGTTCTGATATCCCGCGCGCAATTCAAAACCAAGCAACGACATCATCGAACAAGAACAAGAACAATGGTGCTCAAACCGTCGTCATCGTCAAAACTACCGGCACGGACTGCTTCCACCGCCCAACTGACGCCGAAACCATGGTACAAACACGTCACTCTCGACCTGCTACTTTTGATCCTGGCAAACTCGGTCTTTCACCCGTGGATCACGCTGGTTTTTTACCTGTGTTTGGCGTCGGTGCACAAGCACAAGACGCCCCTGGCGTACTACACGCTCTATTACACGGCGGTTCTGGCCGTCGTGGAGCTGTCCATCTGGGTGAATCACCGGTTGACGTACGGCAAGCACCGCGCCGTCAATTGGGAGGATGAAGTCGTGGTGATCACGGGCGGGGCGCAGGGGTTGGGGCGGACATTGGCCGAAATGGTCATGCGGAAGGGAGGCAAGGTCGCCGTGCTGGACGTGCAGCAGGTGGATGAGGAAGCGAGCGAGGAGATGGAGAGGTGGGATTTCGTGTGGGAGCGGGTCGATGTTACGGACGAGGTGCAAGTCAGGGGCGCCGTGGAGAGGGTGGTGCAAGAGGTACGTATGGATGGATGTCCCTTTGGTTTCGCTCGACTCTGGCGAATGTTTTGATTCATCTCTCTCCCGGTAGCGGGCATAACTTATATGCGTGGACCGCTAACCAATCCCGACAGCTCGGTTCTCCTACGATCCTCATCAACAATGCCGCAGGTTCTGTCACAGGGCTACCTGTAGTTCCCGCCGACAATGTAACGACGCTCTCGTCCCGCCAGGCTACCAGGACTCTCACGACGAATACGCTCTCCCACTTCACAACCCTCTCGGTGATTCTACCGTACCTCATCTCCTCGCCCCAGGGGGCACATATAATCACCATTTCGTCCATCCTGGCTCATCTCTCCCCCGCCCGTCTGGCCGACTACTCGTGCTCCAAGGCCGCCATCTCGTCCCTCCACAATACACTTTACCAGGAACTGCTGACCCATCCGGACTCGAGCGTCTTCTCCCGCGTCAAAACTCTGCTGGTCGAGCCAGGAATGCTCTCCACGCAGTTATTCTCCGACATTACGCGTGTGCCATGGTATGCCAACTTCTTCGGGCCCGTGCTGGAGGCCAAAGACGTGGCCAAGGAAATTTTACGCTGGGTCGAGCGAGGCGACGGCGGTGTGATTCGGATGCCCTTCTACGCAAAGTGTGTGCCCATGTTGGGGGTCATGCCGGGAATTCTGCAGTGGGGCGTGAGGTGGTGGAGTGGGATTGATCGCGCGATTGTTGGGAGGCAGAAAAAGGCGTGACGGCCTCATGGGCGTGGGTGCCGTGTACTGTGTGCCATACGTGTAGATATACCGGAGATTCACATGGACGTTGAGATGATTCCAGATTTGCTAACACTCCTTGCTCATCACGGCCAACCTTCGAGTGGGATATGCCGCTGTTTCGTGGCGCCCATTTGCTGGCTTCGACCTTCGTGCCAGTGAGCCTCCTTCGTGGCTACTGTGTGCCGTCTGAATTCGTCTTGGTCACATTGTGTCAAGCATCTCTTCAGCTGTGCTGTTCTTGTGGTTCCTTCTTCGATTCTCGATATCCACGCTGTCGACAGCCGGTCCGAGTCGTCTGTGTTCGGTGGCTTCAGGTCCTTTTTCCCCGGGTGTCTGGCGCGGTTGATTCTTCTGCGGACTCTCCAAGTCCATCTTGCTCAGTAGGTAGATCACGGTACTTTCCTAATCGTCATCGTGAATTGTAATGCCACTCTCCTGCACCACTGCTGCAACCCCAAAGTCAGTCGTCCCTTGGGCCGACTCCTGATTCTCGGCCCTTGCAGGGACAGCCAAGTTCGCACGCGGTTTCTTGTCCTTCTGACCCTCGCTCGTTTCGTGTCCGTGCCCGTTCTCTGCAGCCGCCGGACTCTTACTCTTATCCTTCCCCTTCCGTTTATTGCGCCTCTCTCGATTCTTGCGCGTCTTCTCCTCGTCCTTCTCTTTCCTCTCCCGTTCCTTCTCCGCCCATTCTCTGTCCTCTTCCTCCTTCTTCGCCTCCTCATCCATGATCCTCAGCCGCTCATACTCGCGCCGCCGACTCGCCTTGTAGACGTGGAACTCGCCGGACCCCGCGCCTGCAGAACTGCCTTGGACGTTCGCAACAATCTCCGGCGGCGCTGGAATCGATCTCTTGACCTCAGACGACGGGGCCGGGATTTTAATCTCGCGCGCGGGGTCGAGGAAGAGGTTCTCGATCTCGTTTGCCTGCGCGGATGCCGCTTTGGCGTTGGGGTTGTTGGAGCCTGGCACACGGGCGCGTTTGATGGGCCGTCGCGACCGCGGGTCCGCGGACGTGGGTATTGCTTCGGGAATTGGTTCGGACATGTCGATCGAGGCAATGCCGCGATACCGGGGTATCGTTTATTGAGGGTGTCGGAATAAATACGTATCTAGAGCGAGTGTTGTTGCACGCAGAGTTCTATGGTGCATATGCCTTGGGAAAATGTCGCGGGCAGCATCCACGAAGTTCCAAACCCAGTGACGTACATTGCGCATAGTGCCGAAATACTTTACTGTATTGCTACGGTCACGCATAGTACCTGGCCCGCTGTGCCCATCGCTTGTGCGGCCGCATATATTCACTGGCAGCAAGCTTTCATGCGTCCGCTGCCCCTCTCCGATTGTCACGTCAGATCTGATAGGCAGAGCTCCGAGACGAAGGCTGAATAGTAAGCAAGCTATTCAGCGCCGCGCCCAGGCACACCGTCGACCGTGGACCGTGGACCGAGGCATCCACCAGCCTCCTTATTGTGGGGTTGTGCAGCCGGCCGAAAGAGGTATCTCAAGAGGAGGAATGGCGCCCATAATACATCGTTCCTCCGGTCAGCTTCTATTACTGTCTACCGTGAACTGTGACCAGCCTTTGCACATCTTCTATTCTTGCTCGTGGCAGTATCTTTGGCACTTGCCGTGTCATAAATCTTGAACGACGACAAATTGAGGCCACGCTCATCGACTCAGGCTCTCAGCGTGAAAACTAGATCCTCGCTCACGAACGTGGACATCTCAGCATGGCGAGCCCGAGCAAGTACAAATATGGGGACATTATCTTTGAGGTCAAAGGGAAGATCGGCATCATCAAGGCATGTCACCATTACTACATCGGCTACGAGTGCCAGGGCCATGTCTCTGACTGCGCGACCAGTTCAACCGACCCAAGTCTCTCAATGCGTTCGGTGGAAACATACTTATTGAAGTCGTGACGGCACTCCGAGAACTCAACGAACATCCCGACACCGTTTTCACCGTCATCACTGGCGAGGGCAGGTTCTTCTCCTCGGGCGCAGATGTCAAGGGTAAGTCGAGTTTGGGTTCCCTCTTCTAGATGTGGAGCAGTGACGGTTCAATGGAGTCTGCTGTGACTCCTCTACCTGAGAGTGGCTCTTAGGACAGGTCATGGCCGGCCTGTCGTCCTCTCATTTTCACTCTAAATGTCCCTCGTTCCGAGGAGTAGCGTTGATGCTGAACCATCTGCAACTTATAGCAACGGCGAGCAAAAAGGAGGTCGAACATTTCAGTCCAGCGGCCAAAAAGGTCGACTTCATGCAAAGCATTAGTACTGGTAGGTACCTCGGTTCTTGCCACCACCGTCTCGACCCATCGCTGACTGGTCTTCCTGCAAGCCGTGGAGCTTCTGCGGTCAATGATCGACCACAGGAAAGTTCTCGTCCTGGCACTCAACGGACCGGCTGTCGGCGGCGGCGCGGCCTGGTTCCCTGGTGTTGCGGATATTGTTCTCGCCGCGGACACTGGCTACCTCCAAGTGCCGTTCAGCGCCTTGGGCCTTGTTCCCGAGTTCGGCTCCGCAACCAACTTCTACCACTCGCTCGGCGCCCACCGCGCCAACGACTTCCTCATGTTCGGCCGCAAGTTGACCGTCCAGGAGCTCGAGCAATGGGGACTCATCAACCGGATCTTTCCGACTCAGGGGTTTCACGACAAAGTGGTGGAGTTCTTGGACGAGCAGTTGAGCGTCAATGATGGCAAGTCAATGATGGAGGCAAAGAGGCTGCAAAATCTACCATTGAGGAGAGACAGGATGCTTGCTGTTTACGATGCTGCGGAAGCGCTGGCCGAGAGATTTGTCGAAGATGCTCCGAAGCAGAGGTTTATAGAGAAGAACAGGCTGTTGCTTGGTGAGTGACATCGTGAACCTGTGCTGTTGTCGAATCACGCTGACAAGGGAACAGAAAAGTCGAAGGGTCGGTCGAAGTTGTGATTAGTGATGGTAGTCGACTGCATCCATCGCCTTGCTGGCTGGCATCTCTCTCTCTGTGACGCCGTATCATTGGGTTGCGCCGTGGGATGGCTCTGTGCTGTTCATTTCTTTCTTTGCTGCTGATATCAGCTTCTGCTGCTCCACGGATGCCTTCTTTGTCGACATGACTACATTGTCTTCCCTATCTTCTGCTGTGTCCTCCACAAAGCCCATTATGCTCCGGACCTCTCATTGTTGAGGCAGTCAAAGACTCAAGCTGTTCTTTTCAGCAAACCCCACAAAGAACTGCCTTTGACTGACCTGGCTCCTGACTGTCGGTGCTTCATCTCTCTGAAGCATCTAGCAAGTATGTATACCCTTGGATTCTTACTGTTTGCAAATCCCTTGCTCCATCAGCGACAGACACTTTCCTCAACCCACCTGGCCGAAGCGCAAGCAAGCACAATCCACGAAATCAACTTCCACAAGTTGACCCTAAAATCCGATCCTTGCACTTCGGCTGACCTACAATCCCCGCCGCTTCATGGTTCGCGTCCGATTTCTTGACCTCAAGCCCGAGTCTGGTCTCTCGTCGAGCTCCGGTAGTTCGACATTGACCATGGCTAACCCTGATTGCGACCGAAATCTCCGACCCTGGGAGTCGGCCCATGGGCAGTCCTTCTCCGAGGCGTTCACTGACTGGCTGTTGCAGCTGAGTGTTCGGTCCTACAATGAGCCCCAGCGGCGAATAATCTGGCACAATACGATCGGGCTAACCCAGACAACTCGATCCAAGTGGCACTTCCCTGCGCATCCGTACGTGGGGGAGACCGATGAGAATGCCGCTCGACTTCTTCCCACATTCAGCTACGACTTTGCGAAGCGTGGCGACCGCTGGATCTTCTACAATTTCCGATTCAGAGCAACCTGGAAGTGTGATCCCGAGACCGGCAATATCGTCGTCCCGACACTCAGCGCTTGGTCGAACATCGTGGATACCCTTCCCCATTACCGGCAAGCCCACGGATGGCCCATCCTTCCTTCACCTTGCTATGAGGGCCTATACGACAAGTATATCTGCACGTGGCATTTGTACCCCGACGCCCCTCGTCACCGCGACATTGGCAAACAGCGCAACGTTCTGACCACGGTCAATCCTCAGTCTCAAGTCTCTGAAAGCTCACCGACTCGATCTGCTACAACTTCGATCTTGTCATCGCCTGACTCTGACTCTGATATTCTTCCACGATGTGTCCGGTTCTTGGTCTCTTCGCCCGACGCTTCGCGCGTTCGCTTCCTGCTGAGCTCGCCTCGGGCTTCGTGTGATGGTCCTTCTAGCTCTCCACCCTCTCCCGCACAGCGACACTGGCGAGACCTCGCATGGAGGGTTCCACGTCTGGTCACCAGAGTCTCAACACCTGCGGCGATTTCGCCTCCGGAGATAGTACGTCTCAATGTGTCCACCTCCACTGCTCGGACTAGGACCAACATCGTCTCAGCTATCACCAGTCTAGGTGTGAGTACCACCACAACTGTCACCACCACGACCACCACCACTACTACAACTCGCGTGGAGGCCGCCCGATCGTCAACAACTTACCTCCAGGCCGAGGCTCTTGTATCGCCACCGAATCGTAGTGAGAGTACCATCTCATCCCGCACTGGGTCCGAGTCTACCTCTATCTCTAGCTCTTCTTCATCCGCCTCTATCTCCTCTTCTAGCTCGTTAGCGGCCTCATCTCCACCCCACGCGCCAGGAAATCCCTACTCTTACGATTCCGACCCGGACAATTACGACTGGCCCAGTGACAGTGAGAGCGACAGTGAAGATTACGATGAAAATGCCGATGCTCACAGCACGGGATCTTGGTCCGAGAACCATGTCTCCCTGTTCAATCATTCCGCGGACGACGAATCTCAGGTCCTAGACTGGGATGATGACGAGCGGGCCTCGCAATGGTAAGGCTGATCTCAGGTCGCGTGCTCACCGCCTATCCAAGATGAGGTCAGTCAACGCGCGGAGTGAACGTACACGAATCCATGTACACATGCACGAGCACATTAGAAGGTAAAGTAGGTGAGTAAAAAAAGGGGGGAACGAGAATGCTCTGCAGGAACACCATGGACAGAACACAGTATCACCTTGGTGCATTGTATACTCCGTAGAGCGGCTTTACTCGAAACGGTGAGTCGGTCAGTAGACTGTACACATCCACGTACAGTGAACACAGGCACGACTGGGCAAGAAAGGTAATTTATGTACGGTAGGTACGGTAGGTAAGTAACGATTCAAGCACGAAAGTACTGTGCTGTGGATACACCGTGAAAGACACCAACGCACTGTAAGCCAGGGTGTATGATCATGGTTACTAGTCCGGAATACAAAGGAGCTCGCTTGCGGAGGGGACTAGAAATGAGGAGTACTCTCAGTGATCAACTAGGTAATTGTCACATTGATTTCTAGGGCAGAGGCGGTTTCGCGCCACGAGGGAGCGAGGACGAGGTACTCAAGCTACTGAGACACCACACCAATATCGATTTGCATTTGAGGGCGGTGGGACTTTGTAAACCACTGTACGATGCATGTAAGCGCCAGAGGTCCCCGATGCGTTTCTCGCTGTCGACTCGCAACGGATTTGTTCGTATTGCTGGACCGCCATACTACGTTGTGTCGAAGCTGAGGATGTCCTTGGGCCCAAGTGCTTAGCTGGTATACCTATTCGTCTGTGAATCAAGGGTCGAGAGGGTTTTATAAGGTTTGTGGAAGGCCTTGCAGTACTGTCACTGTGTCATGAGTTGATCCGACTTCCCGTCCGGAAGGCTGTGGGCTCCTGCTTCCTGCAGCTATGGAACACCGGCCAGCGAGGGAAGATGCCATAGAGTCAGACAGAGGCAGCAGAGGTATGGAGTGCCAGCCCACTACGTACCTAGGTAGATAGTGCTGTAAGGCGTCCGGTATGAGCATGCCGAGACAGTAGAGCGCGTTGGCAGAGGTTGGAAGTCGTTAAACATTCACCTCGCTTAGCGCGGGCGCCGACTGCCACAGCTGGGGGCCTTAGTCATCGGATACCGGCCCACCAGTTACAACGGGGTGCCAGTCCCAGGTCACTTGTCAATTGTATCTCGCACTAAGCTTTCAGCTCAAGGAGCCAACGCTTCTCGGTAGGGAGCGTAGACATGGATCGGCCTGTTGCAGATCAAGGCGTCGAAGCTTTCCTCGTACCATCTCTCCGTTTTGAGCAAGGTCAGAGCCGTGCCAAGGGAAAGCGTGGTACCTGAACGTTCGCCAGAATTCAAAATCGAGCTAGTGTACCTCGACTTCTTCGCCGTGGGAAGCGTTGCACCTTTGTTAGTGCGACGAGCTGAGCGTGGACACATGGTCGATTCGGATTCTAAGGACTATATAGTCCGCGCTCCTGGTGAGTGAACATGGCAAGTCCGATCATCTTGAGCGCGCAGAGACACACAACGCCAGTAACTTATCCCGTGATACAATCCTAACCTCGAAGCATTGCGCACAACATGACTAGCATTCTCGCTCCAGGCGACTTCGCGGGCCTCAAGGGCAGGTCAATCCTGGTCACTGGCGGCGCATCTGGCCTGGGACTGGAAACAGTCCAGCTACTCGTCTCAAACGGTGCATATGTGACCATCGCAGATGTACAGCCTCCGCTCGACGACCTCACCAAAGAAGACCGACAAGTCCAGTACGTCCACTGCGACGTCAGCGACTGGGCAAACCAAGTTGCCGCATTCAAGGCGGCGATCGACTTTTCACCGACCAAAAGCCTCGACGCGGTCGCAACCTTCGCCGCCGTCGATCCGCTGGAGAACCTCATCGACCAAGTGAAGGCCGTCAAGGACGTATCACTCGACATTGACCCTGCACCTCCGACTCTCAGAACAATCGACATCAACCTGAGGGGTTCCTACTATTCAGCGACGCTCGCGTTGCACTACTTCCGCCTCGAGCCTCAAAGTCCAGCCTCCTCAAATCCACAGACAAAGGTGCTCGTATTCGTCTCCTCGCTGGCGGGGTACCTAGATGACGACCACAACATTGCTTATACGACCTCGAAATTCGGCACGAGAGGTCTATTCCGCGCCCTACGACGCCGCACGAACGCGGACTTCAGTCCTGGCGTTCGAGTCAATCTGATAGCACCATGGGCGATCAGGACGCCTATGACGGAGCCGCTCCTCAAGGTCATGGCCGAGTCAGCCGGACCCGTGCAGGGGATCACGTTCGCGAAGAAGGAGACGTGCGCCGAGGCCGTCGGGACATGTGTGGTCGACGAGTCGATCCATGGACGCGCCTTTGCCATCATGCCAGAAGGGGCGTTTGACATCAAGGACGATATCACCGGCGGGTACGGTGGGGAGGAGTTAAAGGTCCTGATGAGCTGGAGAAAAGCCGCTGGTGATTTCCTGCAGGGTTGAGAGCTGAAGGTAGAGATGTTAACCTCGTTTGGCATATTCATGCTTCCTCCACCCAGACAATCACAGTCTCCGGATCGACAGACAGTGTGGACCAAACAACAATCCTGGAAGTCAAACAACCTCGACAGTTGCTAAGTAGTTGGGAAACAAGCCCCATTTGACTCTGGCTCAACACTACAAACCACAGCTATGGCATCATATGCTCGTACTTAGTACCGGCACAATGATCGTGGACATGTACGTATGTATCGCGTCGGAGTAGTGCGAGCACTGCCCTCGCGAGGCTGATATCCCGGCGGAGTTCGGAGCCCAACAACTTCCTCCACACAATTATCTTTTCTACGTACAATAGCTTCACCACCAGCTTCAATTTCTCAAGCTAATCCTAGGTCCCTACCCCGTACAGAGCACAATACACACACAAGGTAGACGTCTCACCTCCGCTCCGCCCTGCTCCGCTGCATGCCACAGTAGCATTGTCCCCTCCTCTTCTCTCTCAATGTCCGAATCAGACCCCGGCTTCCTCGCCGCCGTCGAGGAAGCAAAACAGGGCTTCGCGGAAGGAGGCGTCCCCATCGGTACGGAGTCCATGATCATCTCATACGTACATACAATTCACTCCCACTGTCCCTCTAGTCCTCTCTCCGGGTCGACGAACCCGGGATATCATATCATACCTATCATACCTATCATGTCATGTCATGTCGTCTCATTTCTATCATGCCTTGCACACCTTTCTCCTCTTCTGTGACCCCCATCACGTTTTTGACTTGGACTCTGACATCGCACGTACATGTCATAGGAGCATGCCTCGTGTCCAGGGACGGCAAAATCCTAGGCCGCGGCCATAATATGCGTGTCCAGAAGGGGAGCGCCACTTTACATGTGAGTACTTACTTGATTACTGTCTATCATCCACGAAAACACACACCTTATCCTACCCTCACTACGCTACGCTACGCTACGCTGCCCTACTCTCCCATACTCCCCGACCCTATCACCTACCCAGCCGATCCAGCAAGCCACTGCACCTTGTTGCTTACTTACTTGACTTGCTTCTTTCTTTCTTCCCTGCCTTCCTCAGTGGCAGTGGTGGCCGGAAAATGAATGCCCGAGAAGCATATTGCCGCTTATGTACGACCCCGAGTCAGTGAGCCGGTTATAGTGAGCCGGTTATACAGTCATGTCTTTTACACGCTCCACGCCTCTATCCCCGCCACGCCCCGTCACGTCACGTCTAAGAGGTCCACTTCGACCCGACTCCAATCTAACATCGACATGAGGGCGAAATCTCTGCGCTGGAAAACTCGGGCCGGCTCCCCGCGAGCGCCTACGCCGGCGCAACCATGTACACGACCCTCTCGCCGTGCGACATGTGCACGGGCGCGTGCATCCTTTACAAGGTCGCGAGGGTGGTGATCGGCGAGAACAAGACCTTTGTGGGAGGCGAGAAGTATCTCCAGGAACGGGGCGTCGACGTTGTCGTCCTCGAGAGTAAAGAGTGTATGGAGTTGATGGCGAAGTTTATCCAGGAGAAGCCGCACGTATGGTGAGTGAGGCGTGGATTTTCTTTCTCTTTTTCTGCGTCTTATGTACAGTATTTCGTTTTTCTTTCTCTTTCTGCGTCTACGTACAGTATTTCGTTTTCTTTCTCTTTCTGCATCTACGTACAGTATCTCGTTTTGCACGGTACTGTACATTATTGTCATGGAATGCACGACTTTTTGGTCTTTCAATTGGAGAAGCGAAGACTGACTTTGATACAAGGAACGAGGACATTGGCGAGGAGTAGACACATTACAGGACTGGGGCATTCAGAGCTTGGCCCTTTCGCTGTATGAGCACTCCAGTGATCTGCCCTGTCAGGCTGTACATCGGTGGACTTCCTCGAAGAAGAACTTCAGGTCATCTGGATTCACGCCGGGTGTGATGCCATGTCCGAGATTGACGATCCATCGTTGCTTCCCGCCTCCGAAGCCTTGCACCATGTTCTCCACGACGTCGGTGATGGCGTCATGCGTGCCGTAGAGGACACCCGGGTCGGCGTTCCCCTGGAGAGTCACCCGACCTCTCGCTATCCTGACGGCCTCTGCAGGATCGTGCAGCCAGTCGAGCCCAACCACGTCGTAGCCCGAGTCGCACAATTCGTCCAGCGCGTACCACGCTCCTTTGGCGAACACCACCATTGGAACCACGTCCTCGCCCATCTCCCGTAGTCGCCTGGGCAGGTTTTCCGAGATATACCGTAATGACGGGAGGGAAAACTCTTTGAAGCTCGCCGGCGACAATTCCCCGGCCCACGAGTCAAACACCTGCACGATCTGGGCGCCCGCGGCAACCTGCAAGGCGAGGTATTCCACGCAAATCTCCGCCATCTTCTGCAGGAGCACTTTACCCTCCTCGCCATACTTGTACACCCACGTCTTTGCCTCCTTGAACAACTTCGTCCCCCCACCTTCAACCATGTAGCAGAGCAGTGTCCAGGGCGCGCCGCAGAAGCCAAACAAGGGCACCCTGCCCGCGAGCTTCTCTCTCGTCAGCGTAATGGCCTTGTACACGTAGTCCAACTCCTTCGCCACGTCGACCTTTCTCTTGACAAGTTCCTGGTACTGTCCGTCCTGTGGGCTCCTCAGTGGGTTCGGAAATTTCGGCCCGACGCCGTCAATCATCTGAACTTCCATGCCCATGGCTTGCGGGATCACGAGGATGTCGGAGAAAATGATCGCCGCGTCGATGAGACCATCGTAGCGGTCGATGGGCTGGAGGGTTAATGTCGACGCGATCTCGGGGGAGCGGCAGCATTCGAAAAAGTTGTGCGTGCCCTTGGCCTTGTGGTACTCAGGGAGGTAACGCCCAGCTTTTTGAGCGTGTTAGTCGGGGGGTCTGAAAGAAGACGACAGGGGAGCGGAGGCACTGACCGCTACGGCGTACCTTGTCGCATCACCCATATTGGTGGTCTGTCGACCTTCTCGCCTGCGAAATACTTTTAGTGAGGGTTTGCTCTGCTGAGATTTTGTGTGCCAAACGGACCTCGTGCGGCTCGAAGAAGTCGGTCGTTCTTCAACGGCGCAAAGTCTTTTGGCATGTTGGATCTCAGCACACCTTCTCTTTGAGGGAAGACAAGATCATCTGCACAGTCCTTCGTACAACTTAATTAACGACAAATCGGAATGACATGGTCAGTGTCAAATCAGCTCTGGAGGGGCTCGAGGGGGCGAAATATTTCGTTGGCCCGAAGTTTTGCCGGAGAGCCAGCCTTGCCAGCCTTGCATAAGTCGGACAGTGCCTTTTCATCGCCAAGCTGCGACGAAGCTGCGACGAGGCTGTGCACTTACATACCCGGTAAGCACGATGCAGTTTACTATGTAGCACGGTCGTGTTGCTGCTCCTTTCAGTGGAGGTCGGTGTGGTGCAAGCGGAAACCTCTCCCAGAGCCTCAGTCAAGGCCTACTATCAGACGTTGCCTTCTGCATCCGGTGGAACAGTCTCTTCCTCGCCCGCTTCTTCTTGCTCGGCTTCGACAGCAGCCTGACCTCTCTTCTTCCTCAAGTTTTCGAGTCCGTACAAGATCTCCCCGGCCGGACTAAAGTTGCTTTTGTTCTTGTCTTTCTGTGGTGTTGGTTCTGATGGAAGATTGCCCCTCTCGACTGTTGCAGCGGTATTGTTTAATAGCATTGCCAGACTCGACCGCTCCCACCGCAACTCTGCCTCCAGTGACACTTCCGCTTGACTGTTCTCAACGCTTGTATCATCAGGCAGGTTTGAGAACAGCCCGAACGTCTCAAAGTGATCTGTTTTCGGTACTTCTTCCGGGTGAAGGACTTTCATCGACCCGGGCTTGTGGATGGTATCAATACTGACGACAATTTCCCAGAGTGCTGGGCCTACACCGACGTCGAGCACATTGCCTCCCACCGTCAGAGTCTGGTGGTGCTTCAGCCGACCCTCGTCAGTGAGGCTATAACTCAACACAATTGGAACACTGTAGCTCATGGTAAGAATAAATACTTCACAGGCCTGGGGTAGAACTTACCCTTCCAGGGCGACGAGGAGCAAACGCGGGGGTCGTGTAGACCGCGGCGAGTGTCCCGAGACAGGGTAGTGGACTGGCCAGATCTTGGACACAGCTAGGTGATCTAGTGAACGCTCCCCATGTTCCACATCAAGACAGCTGACGATGTCTTGTTTGACATCACCGTTGAAAAGCTCTTCGTCAAGCACTTGCCCAGTCTGCCAGCGATACACCTTCAGAGAAGGCTCTCCGCTGCCTGCCACAAGTAGGTCCGAGTCCCACGGGACGATACACAGAGTGGTCACAAATTCATGGTGACCTAGACAGTAGTTCTCGATGATGTGCGCTTGCGTAACTCCTCGAGAGACTCGAATGTGTTCGTCGCGATCTGCTGTCAGGATGTACTGGCGAGTCTGGAGCCCAACGGGGACTTCGGTAATGGCAACGTCTGTCAGCAAAGAGACGTGACCTAACAGCAATTTGTGTTCGAACTGAAGGCCATCTTTCTTGGATTGAGGTGCCTTTTGTAGCCGCTGCTGCTTCAGTGCTTCGAGGTTACCCTTGGTATGCACGGTTAACTCTGTAGCCGAGGGCGCGAAAGATTTTGGTTGTTGGTCATCTTTGGGGCAAGGCGGAGTCCAGCCGTCTGTAGGATGAAATGGCAGCAAGTAGACATCTCCAAACTTGTCCCCAACCAAGATGTTTTTTTCGTCTGGTGTCAGGACGACTGTACATATCCTTTTTGGCATCGACCTGGATTGCCTCAGCGTAAGACCTCGCAAGACTGGGAAAACGTGGCATACCTTCGGCTTTTCAAATCCAATACCCCTCCTAACTGTACATCGAATACTGTGATTGATTTGTCCTCACTCGTGACACAGATCACCGTCTTCCCATTGCTGGTGACAACGATATGAGAGACGTTCGGGAGCGTAGTATGTTCTACCTTGGGTCTCCGTCGCTCACCCTTTTTCCTCTCCGAAATGATCTCGATGGATTCCTCTGACTCCTCTCGCGAGAGCTCTACGGGGGCGTCTTCCTCGAGCCTCTGTCGCTTCGCTGGCCGATCAGCGTCGCCGTCGGCTGTGGTGCCAATCTGGTTCCGCTCCTCCTTTGACCGCGGCCACTGACTCAGTAATGAACCATCTTTGAGGTTAAATGTGGAGATTAACGGTCCGGAGGCTGCCAGGAGGAAAGGTTGTGGGTTTTCCACCGGCTGGACACAGCACAGCGTTTGAAATGGAGCAGCTACCATTTCATGGACGTTCAAAAGGTGTCGGTTCAGAGCAGGACTCCAGCAATCTCATGTCACTTGGACGGCCTTCAGCACACTTGCTATGCTCGCTTTCAGATCTAGGACTATCGGGAACCCGCTAGGCCTTTGTAAATTATCAAGGAAACAAAGTCATGTAATTATGTGCAGTGCTCCAAGACGAGAAGCATCGCAACCGTTGAACCACCAAAATGCTCCACCGTAGTTGCCAAGAGAAGCCTTAGGTAAGCCACGAAGCTCGCACATTACAGATTTGGCTCTCGAAAGTTTGAACTTGCGAAGTGCACGCATCGAACACGTCCAAACCATCACACACACAGTTTGCCCTTAAATATCCTAACTTCATCCCTAAGAAGTCATGGGGGGCAAATCAGGCACCAAAGCTGTCTACTTCGACAAGCTCAAGGGCTTGCTCGATGAGTACAAGTCCATCTTCATCGTACGTTCTTCGCGGAGTTGTAGCAGACACGGCCCATTAACAATACCACCAGGTCAGCGTCGACAATGTCTCGTCGCAGCAGATGCACGAGATCCGCAGTAACCTGCGAGGCGAAGCGGTCGTGCTGATGGGAAAGAACACCATGGTCCGAAGAGCGCTCAAGGGTTTTATCGCCGACAGCCCCGAGTACGAACGTCTCCTGCCTCATGTCAAGGGTACGCATAGCTATTAGAGGGAAAGAGAAGACCATGACAATCTGACAATGGGCAGGCAATGTTGGCTTCATCTTCACAAATGGTGACCTGAAGACCACTCGCGACAAAATTCTTTCAAACCGAGTTGCCGCTCCCGCGCGTGCTGGCGCTGTTGCCCCCGCCGATGTCTACGTCCCAGCCGGAAACACTGGCATGGAACCCGGCAAGACCTCCTTCTTCCAGGCCCTCGGTGTCCCTACCAAGATCGCCCGTGGTACCATCGAAATTACCACAGATCTCAAGTTGGTCGAGGCCGGCGCGAAGGTCGGGGCCTCCGAGGCTACCCTGCTCAATATGTTGAACATCTCTCCTTTTACCTACGGCATGAAGGTGCAACAAGTGTACGAAGAGGGCAACTCGTTCTCGCCAGATGTGTTGGATATCGAGGAAAGCCAGTTGCTGAAGGCCCTTACCTCGGCCATCACGACCATCACGACCATCTCACTTGCCGCTAACTATCCTACTCTGCCCTCGATCATCCACAGCTTGATCAACGGCTACAAGAAGGTCATCTCTGCTGCTATCGAAATCGACTACGAGTGGGACGAAATCCACGAGCTCAAGGATCGCATTGCCAACCCCGACGCCTATGCAGCGGCGGCTCCCGCAGCGGCTGCGGCCACAACCGAGGAGGCCGCGCCTGCAGCCAAGGAAGAGGAAAAGGAAGAGGAGAAGGAAGAGTCCGAGGACGAGGGTAAGTCCGGTTCCTACAGTACAGATACAACGGTCGCTGACATGTGCCAGGCTTCGGTGGTCTCTTCGACTAAGTGCAACGCCCGTTGGCGAAAAGTTGAACATGCAATCGCGCATCAGGGTTTCGAGGCGGTGCCAGCTAGATCGATAGAGAGACGACATAGCTGCAATGACATGAGCTGCCTGTCTCACCGATCATATCACCTGCCAACTGTGACCAGCGATGCCCGTCCTGACATGAATCTGTAAGCCTGACCTTTCCTTCACTACCTCAGAATATTACCTGTATGATGATCAATTTTTAACCCCGAGTACTTCGTTCAATGAAGAACAAAATTACGCAACAACACTCTAATTTTTTACTGACTTCCTTTCCTTCCACTGACCTCGACCATGCGTTTGGTAAAGACCGTCACTGACTCCTCTAAAGGCCTGAGCACTAGTCGCTGCGTTTCAAAGAACCCCTTCGGCCTTCACTTCCACCGCAGGAACCACGCATAGAGGCAGTCTGAATGACTCCAAAGCTCAAAGGGTCTTTCTTCCGTGAACGCAGCGCGCTTAAGCACAGTGACCAAGTCTTAGCTGACTTCTCTGCTTCGTCCATGTTGTTACACACTATGCCACGCCTGCAGGTATCAAATGTCCCACTGATAACAGAGTCCATGCATTGTTGTTGAGCCGAAGATGCGCTGAAAGATGATCCGCCACTTCCGTCTAGCCCACACACTCTTTCGCCTTCTTGTCTCCCTGTACGGCCACTTGTCTTTCGACTTCCTGCATCTGCAGAAATTTAGGGTCTGACACCACACTGCTTGAGCTCTTCTCAATTGAACCTGCAACGTTTTGCTTCGGCTTCTCCCAGCTCTCTTTGTACTGGCTCCAAAGGTCGTCCACGGATAGGCCAAAGATACCTTTCCAGAACTTGTCCTCATGATATCTGTGCCTTCTCATCATTTCGTTCATGTAACTGACAGTCCCAGCCCCTCGCTTCTCTTCGAGCCACTCGAGGAACCAGCTGCTGCGCCGTTAGCATCCGTGAACTGTAATACCTGGCCCGGATTTCGGAACTGTTTCAATCGGTACAGGTAGCGAGGAATCCTTACGCTGTCTTCTGGTAGCCCTCATCCCACTTGTGCCCTCTGTTCTCGGGTGCACGATTCCAATGAGGCGGCGACAGGCCCGCTTTCAGCCGAACAAAGTCCGCAACGCCTTCGACTAGACCGCCTGGTGCTGTTCCTTCGCAGTTGCCTTGAAAGCAATGCACCATCTCATGAGTGATAACTCCAGCCAGCTCATGCCGTAGGCCGGCTGAATTCCTTGAGAGCACACCTTGGACGTAGTCGAGGGACAGATGGATTTCTTTGTGCAGATCGTCCAGTGGTAAGCCTGTGGTGTAGGCCACTCCGCCCATGGATCGTAGAACTACAGTTACTGATCTTACTCGGGGAATGTCGTCGGGCCCATAAGGCCGGTACAGCCAGGCGACTACGTGTTCAATGGCGCGAACCAGGTACAGACCACCGTCCAGAGAACTGCTGGCTACTTGTGCTGCCGGATGACTGATATCGTCGATGTGAAGCCGTAAGACTGGCTTGTGACGCAGCTGCGGAGGTATGATGGGAGCCATTTTTGCTGATGAGCAAGCCTCGGCGGGTATTCGAGCCCCGTAGCCGTCGGACAATAGCCAGAAGTATGTTTTTGCTTGCAATGGACACGCTGGCGGGTGGCAGATGGAGTTTTGTGACCGCTTGGTGCCTATCAAGGAGTGGGAGTACGATTGGATCGTAGACTCCTGCCGTCAACGAGGCTCTGCAAAACGGTTACGAGTAAGCTTGAAGTGAGCCTTGTCCTGCAAACTAATGACGATCGTGCAGGCTGCGGTGGGCTTTCACTCTTTCAAGTGAGGTAACTGTCAACTCGCGTAAGGCTCAGCCAATGACCGCAGGTCGCGTCCTGATTGGCTACACCTCCACCACACCCGATTGACTTGCGCTCCATCAAAACATCCACCCTCAACAACACAACACCAGTGCGCTCTCCTTCGCACCACACAACACATGCCCCAGCCACACGCCGCACCACCACCAACACCAACTGCGGAAGTCTTTCCACAAGGTCTGTGGATCACAACAAGCCGAAGCCTCCAAGCGTGAGTCACCAGGTACGCGAAAATTTTCCTCCTCATCAGCCCGCCTCTGCTCCTGTTTCCTTTCATCCCAGACTCAACTCCAGAATCTATCTCGCAGATCCTGCTTCGGCTTAACCTCTGCACAAATAAAGCACATCGAATCCGCTCTGCTTCATTGATCGACTCTTCTCGCTGCTGCAACCACCTCTTTGCTCTTCATTTCCCACGTATCCCTTGTAAAAGACATTATGGGTGTCTTACAAGCGACTCGCCGATATGGCGTTCTTTCGCAACCGTATGCCTTCTAATCTGCTGTTCTGTTCTGTTCTGCATCTGCGTTCCATTTATTGACAGGCGCGTGAACAGTCGGTATTACAACTACCAGAACCGTTGAAAACGCGTTCAAGAAAATCGACGCAGCTCTCCCAGTTGCTGGAAAGGCCATCTACTTCGCCATTGCAGGCGCCAGAGCCAAGATGCTCGGCAAAACCTATCAAGATGTGCTCAGTCTATTGCAATACGAGTATACTCTTCCAGAGACCGAGGAAAGCTGGAAGAAGCGTCAAGGTGAGCCTTTGAAGCGCGACCGCCGAAACTTCTCGAAGCTGACAGCAGTGCAGATTTGCTCTCCGAACTCTCTGATTACTTTGAGAAACGCAAGGAAAACAGCGCCCTTCCAAATGATCTTGTCCAGAAAGTCAAAGCTGTCTTGCCCCACATCCTGACTGTGAGTACTGCAGCTGTCTAAGATATGTCCTCTTCACTGGCTAACCGCATCTTCCCAGAATGCCGGCTCTGAGCGTACCACACTGTCTGGCCAAGCCTGTCGAGCTCTCTCAAGCATTGTGAAGAACCTGGAAAGTCACCTCCAGCCTCACCTCGACCTTCTCCTTCCAAGCCTCATTACTGTCTGCGGCTCTACCAAGACTGTCAATCAGAAAAACGCCAATGATGTGATTGTCAACCTCTGCAAACATGCTGGCTACAGCTCACGCCTCTTCTACCATGTCTGCGCAGCATTCAAAGACAGCCGCATACCTCCCCGCACTTATGCTCCAGAGTGGCTCAACATCCTCCTACAGACATATCGCGCTCAAATGGATCGTGACAGAGATGGTGCTCTCGCTGGCACTGCCATCTTTCAAGGGCTCACTGATGGACAAGTCAAAGTCCGAGAGAACAGCCGCGCTGTCTTCTGGACATACCACAAATACGATGTCTCGGGTGCTCGCATGATTATGGGCGGTCTCAACTCTCATGCGCAAAAGGCTCTGCAGGCTGATCCACACAACCCAGACAAAGCCACCGCTAGTGCTGCCAGACCGGCTGCCGCTCCCAGACCAAAGTCTGCTCTTGCCAGCATCAAAGCTCAGAACAAGGAGCGCATGGCTCAATCTCAAGAGACCCAAAAACCACAAAAACTTCATAACCCCAGCGATGAACTCAGTTCACTCAAGTCAACCGACTTCAAGCTTTTTGGCAGCATGGAAGTCGACGACGGCAAAAAGCCGAGCGGCCTGCTCTCCGCGCCAGTCAGGAGACGTATCGTTGCCACACCCATGGCCTCCTCTAGCAACACCAATGTTCAACGACCTGAGTCCCGTGGCAGAGCTGGGCCACCAGCTCCTGCCGTTGCCAAAGACAACGGGATCAAAGTCGGCCCTGAAACCCTACCAAGCTCTAGTTGGGACACCGTCAAATCTAACAAGTTGGCCCCAGACAGCCTCCCCACCTCCAGTTGGGAGAGCCTCAAGTCCGAGGGCAAAGAGAACGCAATGGCAATCCGACCAAAGAAGAAGCGGTCGCCACGGCGGTCGCCAGAGCACGACCGTCTTGCCTCTGAGAAGAAGACTCTGGCCATGGCTATTGAGTCTCTCCGCCGCAAAAGTCTTGACGCTCTTGGCTGGCGCAGACTTAAGAAGCTGCTCGAAGAGAATCCCGGTGTTTTAATCACCAAACAAGCACAGTTCAATGAACTGTTTGAACTTCTCATCACCAACGTGGCCAACCTGGACATGATCGCGGAGTCCAGAGACAAGCGGCTCACTAACTACAATCACCCTGCCTATCACACTCACACGATGCTCGTCTGCTTGATGCATCTTCAAGACCAATATCCCCAGTGGCCGGAGCCACAGCCTGGGATGACCTTGTCTGCACTACTCATTGCCAGATGCAACTTCAGCACCAGTTATGAGTCCGTTCTGACAGCTGTTGACGAGGGCGCTCTCTACCTCTGCAACCGCTGCAACACCCTTCTTCCTACAATCGACGCCGTCCTAGATACTCTTCAGACGGTCGAGCGTATCATTGCATCCAATGATCCTATTGTTACCCCTATGTCGACCGACACCATTTTTTTCAATAGCCTTCAGTCTCTGGCTTCCGACTTTGGCCCCGAAAAGCCACGTTTCGCCAACAGACTCCCTATTGTTATGGACTTCGGCTTGAAGATCATCAACCAGCTTCTCTACCGGCTCGAGCAAAGCGGCGAGTCCCTCTATGAGATCCAAGAGGACCGCCTGGCCGGATACGCAACTTACCTTCTCGCCACATACAACTCTATCATTAAACGCGGCGTCATGAACTTCTGCATCAGTCTTCATGCTGTCGTCAAGCCAGAAAAACGATTCTACAACTACTTCAAGAAGGAGTCGGATAAGAACTTGATTCATTATTATGTTGATATCGCTGGATCGCCCTGAGTGGGCTCATTGTTACTGGGGAGCGTTTCGTTAAGAGCGGCGTTGCACTGTATTATTAGTATCATGAAGAACGCCGTCGCTAACGTGTGACGAGACCATGGTTGGCATTGGAAAGGACCCCAGTCTTCATGACATTAGGAATGGTGTTCGGGATAGATGGGCTCTGATAATGCAATGGATAGAAAGCTTTCAATATGTCCCATGTTTCCTCTCTGCCAGTCGGCTTGTGTTAACCCTTCAA